TCTTCTCCCATCCTCCCTCGTCTCACTGATCAACCAACCTGTGATCCTTTATTCCAACAGACGTCTCCCTCGACCCCCATTCACGACCCCCAGTAACACGCAAGCTCCGGAATAAGCTCGGCACCTCCCCGCCGCCAACCCCACACAACGGACCCAACTCGCACCTCCCAGGCGGCGTCGGGGGACACGCGCACCCGCTCGCAAACGCCCTAGGGCTCGTCAACATAAACGGGCTGAACCCCACGAGCCTGCCCATCACCACCGGCCCGTTTCTCAACCCCCACTCGCTCTCGGTAGACGACCTGCCGTCGCCTTTCCCACTACCCCTCACTTCCACCGCGAACGCACACACGTCGGGGGCGAATTCGACTGCTGGTGCGGGGGGCGCTGGGGGTGCGGGTGCTGGAGCTGGAGCGGGGAATGCGGGGAACGGGCCGAGGAGGAGACCAAAAGGCCAGGGTGGCCATCCGGGGCAGACGTTGGGCGGACTGGGGAAGAGCTTGCTGGTTTTAAATACGATCAAGGACGCAGAAGTCGATTCTGATTTGGGTGATATTAGGAGGGGAAACAAGCGGAGGAGAACAGCGCAGGTTGGCGCAGGAAAGTAGTATTGGTGTGTCTTTTCCCAAGACTTTGACTTTTCTTGCATCTCAATTCGCGTACTCTATTCCGAGCTCCCCTTTCTCTTCCTGATCGTCTCCTGCGCATCCTCGAGTTCCCGGTACCCCCGCTTTGTGGTTTGTTTCCTGTGCTACATTCGTATTTATTCGATACTTCTCTCTTTTCTGTTTGTATCTGCTCCTGTAGAGTAGGAAACTCACACACGCTTTGATTTGCAGTCAGGATCCTCTCCTGTAATCTACGCTGAGCGCTGAACGTGAAGTTTTGGTGTTGTCAGAACGTAGGTGTGGGCAAAGATAGGGGCTATTTCCGAACTCGGCTATATCCCCCATTCATGTCTTGCGGGCCTCGACCTTCCGCGATCATGTTCGTGTCCTACTCAACCGATGTAGTGCGTTTCCTCAGTACAAAGTCTGACTGGAAGGACGAGCTTCATATATTCGCTTTGTCCGAGTTTTCCCTTCAGTCGCCACGTCCAGCCCAGTCAGTTAGAGGAGTTCGTCCCTCTTGAACTCAGTGAGTACCCTCCCATCACAAGCGCATGAAAAAATATTTTCTAAATTTCGACGGCTTTACTGAAAATGCCAGGATTCCACAATCGACGTCTTCCTTACGGAATACCGATTGCTTGTTGATGCTGGCAGACTCCCCAATTTCCGCGCTGGTACCTGTTCAAGTATGCACGAAGGTCGTTCCTTGGTTCCGGTGTGATTTCTTCTTCAAGTGCCACTTTTGATTCGTTCAAACAGATGTACCTTTCAAAATGCCCGTTAGGCGGCTACGTTTGACGCTTGGCTGGCCTCCCATTAAGCGCTCGCTGACGTCATATAATATTGCTGCTAATGCCTTGGCCTGCTGTTCCCTACATATGATCCTCAGGGCCAGCTCCGAGCCCTACAGTGATGTGCATGCTCTTGGCGAGATGAAGAACTTCAAACACACTCAAAACGCTCACGCAAGTTCATGGGCATGAAAGACTTCGATTAGAAAATAGAAAATACGCTTTAAATCATATTAACCCCCGAACCCTCCCTGAGAAGTCAACCAGGGAGCTCACGAGCGTCCTAACGGACCACATCGCTTCACTACCCACTCCCAAATTTGAGGAGGTGGCTGCTTGCTTTCCTCCTCCAGCCTTCATACCCCAGATTCCGGAATTCCAGAGGTTCCGGAATTCCGGAATTTCGTCTTCCGAGCACATTACTCAGTACCTAGAATATTCAATTAGGCTTACCAATAGACTATCACTTACCTCATCCTCTGCGATCATCGCCACGCTCTCGGGGTGCCTACCCTCGTTATACACCATAAATGGTGGTACCATGTCTATATCTGGATGATGGAAATTGAATATCAATGTCCTGTCAATGACTCAGCGTCGTAACCCAAGCCTACTCGAGTACTTCCTATTGTTGAATCTCCATGAGAAACACTGTTCGAGCGCCAATGCCATCACACATTACAACTGTCAACGAGTGTCAACGGCGGGTCACATATCAAAAAATTCCCAGTCGCATCAACAAATCGCTCAATCTCGAGGATCACGGCTAACAACCGAGATTGAGTAATAGGAAATTGTCATGATTGATAAGGCACCCTGGGTTTAGCTCGCATTGACCAGTAGGAATAGAAGCTATTCATAATGCTCTGCCCCGTAGATGCGTTGCAAGTTGGGGACACAGATCCGAGGGGATTAAATAGAGACGAATTTCCTTCAGTTCTGCACCGTCGGACTGTCAACTGCCCACCCATCAATCAGGATGAGCTTGTGCAAGGACTGTATTAAAGGTGCGCGACACCCACAGCTGTGATTTCTTAAGCTTGAAGGTTAACGAGAGTATTTTCTACCATAGGCGTCACCTGGGAAGGCACTCCCAAAGGTAGGCGAGAGAGTGAACTCAATTCAGGTAAATATTAACAATAAGGTTCAGGCAAATGGGAGAAAATGGGAGGCGTCGACTGCTATGTCGGAACTCCGTCGTCGGACTACCCGAAGGACAAAGTAGTCCTGTTCCTTTCAGACATCTTCGGGCCCCAGCTCGTCAATGCCCAGGTATACTCCTTAGTCATTTACCTTGCTTTAATCCTCACCAAATGCAGCTCATGGTGGACGACTTCGCTGCGAATGGGTTCAAGGTATGCCAGTCGATCATACTGTGTCGCGTACGGAACACAAAACTCGGGATAAATACCTACTTCCTTATCACAGATCATCGCTCCGGACTACCTCAATGGAGATCCCGTCCCGCCAAACGCGTTGGAACCAGGAAGCAACTTCGATGTACATGGGTGGCTCGCGGGACATGGGAATGAACAGACACGTCCCGTTCTCGACAAAGTTATGAAGGCACTTGGCGAAGAAGGAGTGACTGCGTTTGGCGCAACGGGCTACTGCTTCGGGGCTCGCTATTGCTTTGATCTCGCTTTCGAGAACCTTATTCAGGCGGTCGTCGTGTCCCACCCATCGCATATCCAAGTTCCAGCTGATCTTGAGGTAACCTATATATCTCTTTCCATGAGCTACGCAACTGATCCTCAGTAATGTTGCCCACAGAAATACTTCACAACATCCAAAGCGCCTCTCTTGATCAACTCGTGCCCCGTCGACCAGATGTTCCCCTTGGAGTCATGCGCAGCCGCCGACTCCATCTTCGGCGACGGCAAGTTCGCGCCTGGGTACAAGCGAGAGTTCTTCGAAGGATGTGTGCATGGCTTCGCAGTTCGAGGTGACATTAATGACCCTAAAGTGAAGGCGGGGAAGGAAGGTGCATTTAGGTCAGCCGTGGAGTGGTTCGCGTCCAACCTTTGAGCTCGAGGACCGATAAAAGGACAATTTGGGATGGTGTAGTAGTGGACGTATGTAATTCAAGCTGGCGGTGCTCAGTGTTCGGGCGGCTCAGACCTAGCAACCCGAGCTCGCGGAGTAGTTTCCTTCTGGGCAAATGAGCAGAGAAGTAATGTCGATCCTGTTGAAGAGACGTCACTGGCGTTGGCGGCAGACCAGAGCGGAACGCTTAAGGGTCGCGACTTCGGGGGCTAGGGAATACTGCATAGAGCGACCTGCCATTGGAAGGGCTATGTCGTCGAGGAGTTCTTGTGCGAGAGGCTGTAGAGAGGCTCTGGCTCGCAAGACCGGTTCGCCCATCATGGTGGTGCGGTTGAGAGTTGTGAACAAATGTGGCTTTCGTTGATCTGAGTGAGCGCCGGCCCGGTCACTGCCACTTACACAGGGGCATGTTGTCCATGTTCCATCATGACTTTTTCTCTCTCGTTTGTTCATTACGATAACAAGTACTCATTTTCATCCGCTAAGCATATCGTGACGTTAATAAAATACCGTGGCATGATGTTCTGCCATTGTTCTGACGAAAACACGGTCGCACCCAACTCGCGCCAAGCGCTTGAGCGTGTCCCGAGTGGCACCGGGCCGGCGCTTAGAGCATTGTGGCCTTCGCCGTATATAACGCCGAGATCCACGAAAGCCGCATCCCTTCATAACTCTCAACGCACCACCACGATGGGCGAACCAGTCTTGCGAGCCAGAACCTTTCCACAAACTCTCGCACAAGAACTCCTCGACGCGATCATCGACGAAGTAGCCCTTCCGCTAGGCGACAGTATACCCCAGCATTTCCCTACAGCCACCGTCATTGTTACTCTCAAGAACTGCGCTCTAGTTTGCCGCTCCTTCCGCCGTCGCAGCCAAAGACACCTATTCCACACGATAGACGTCACCTCGCTCCTCTTTCGTCCAAAAGGCAGCTATTCTCATGATAACATTCGCCGACAGAGCCCGAAAGCTTGGAAGCGGCTGAACGAAATTCTCCAGGAGAACCCTCTACTGCCGACGTATATCCGCCAGCTCGGGCTGTGGATCGATCCAAAAAACTTGCCATGGAATAGAGGAGACTTGGAAGAGACGTTCTCAGATATCATGGGAGCTATTGCGAATGCAGAAAAACTGTATAAGCTGGTGCTCTCGTCCGAAGGAATGGAAAAGCGTTTTGCAGCCATCGGAGGGCTCCCTGGTCTCCCAGAGCCCATTATCACGCGAATTTGGGACCCGTACGTCGCCCCGTCCGTTAAATCTGTGGAATTAAGGTACTGGGCGATCCCCATCGACCTCTTCAGCCACTGCATCCACTTGGAGGAGATGAAGCTTAAATCTGTCTATTTCATACCAGATGATGGTCCAACGGCTGGCTTGACTCCACCATTGTGTTCCTTAATCTGCTCCAGTTCTTCCACGGCCGTAGAACAGTTACTGGTTTGCACGACCTCCCCTCTGGGCTCCCTGCATTTGCTTGAGCTGGACACGGACAGTAGTACCGTTGCACCTCAATCATTTTCGATCGTCGCTACGTCAAAGAATTCTCTTGAGTATCTGAGATTCAAGACCAAAGAACAGGACTGGTGGTGTACGTCGTCTATGTCACCTATTTTTTTTTTATCTCTCCTAACGCGACGCTCTATACAGCCCTAGGATTCTGGCACAGGGTGGATTCCTGTGGCTTGGAGTGGCCTAGCCAGTTGCCAGCGTTGCGGGTGCTAGATGCCGACATCGTCTTCAACCCGCCGACACCCGATCGACCAGACCACTCTATGAAGGGCATTTCAACCCTTCTCAAGTCATGCGGAAACCGACTGGAAGAGCTGAAGCTCACTCTTTATGTGTCATTTCACGAACGCATGTGCCCTCGGATGCTCGTGGACCGTTTGGACTGGAAGCTTGTCGAAGATTCCTTGTGCGATTTACTTGACGCCTCGACTGACAACAGGCTTGCAGTCTCCATCACTCTCGCTTTCTGTTGGAATACAGTGGATCGAGAAGGCACCGGCATGTGTGTGTGTGAAGACAGGCAAGAGAGATACCGCGAGGAAGGGGAGCAGGAGCAGGACCTCGGAGAAAGTGAAGATAACGAACAAGGGGAGGAAGAGCCAGAGAGTGGACGTTCCGACGAAGAAGAATTGGAGGAAGAAGACGAAATCCCTGTCCGGTTCAAGAGACTTGAAACGCTTCCTCCTCTCGCGCGATATGTCAAACGTCAAAACATCTCTCCCGCCACCGACGAGCATATGTCGGACGAAGAGCTATTGGCAGAAGGTGCTCGGTCCCGAGACGGATACAAACGGCTGTGTGGTTTGGTTCTGGAGCAGGTCGTAGACGAAAATTTCACGAGAGTTCGGGACCGCGTTCATTTCGACCTCCGCCACTATTTACAGGTTGTTGAAATTAAAAAGATGTATTGCTAGTATTAAGTTATAGCTTGTATTACTCAACGAGAGTTCTGTTGCTACTGCTCTTATACTTCCAAGTTGCTATACGACGCTAAACGCATACCTTTTGATCCGACCGCATAGATCGCCCGTGGCGTGGGGCCGTTCACTGTATGTCAAAACGCAAAGCGCCAGACTATGGGCCTGGACATGTTTCAAATTCCCTTCAAACAGATGAACATAAAATGGTATTCTTATTAAGTGGTATACGGATGAACACAGATACTTGGTATCGTAAGGACCGAACGACGAGAGACAAAGAAATTCATGAACAAGCCCCATAGTTGATAAATGCCTCCATCGACCACTGCTCCTGCTGTACACTGTGCGCGCCAACTTCTATTGCGCTCGAATAGTCAGGATAGGTCAGCTCTTCTATCTCTTCTTGATCGACAATCGTCTCTGACGCAGCCCTTGACAGATAGCCATAGCCAAACGCGTCCGCGGGTGTGGCTCCTGGATAAGGCATGGATAGAAAGTCCGGCTCCGGGAAGGAGGAAGATGCGGAGGTGAGATTTGGGGTATCTACCGGGACTTCGTTGGAATGATGGAAAGCGGGGGTGGATGTCGTGGGCTCGAATGTGGGTAGGGAGGGGATGAGAGCCGAGAGCTCGCTGTCCGGCGTGGAGGCCATGAGCCAGAGGACGTAGCCTATAGGATCTTCCATATATTGCCGGAGCCCGGCAAACTGAGCGTCGATGCAGTCGTAGTTGAACGGACGAGATGTGGGATCGGACAGGAGCTGGACAACAAGTTAGGTAACGAGGGAAGATGATATATGTGTAGGCACATACCTTCTCAGTGGCTGAAGAGGGCACGTCGTCGACTGGGACGGCAACGGATTCGTATGCCGGCACCGAATACAGAGGAGGCACCGCGAAAGTCTGAGCTGGCGTATTTGGTCCAGAACACGACGACACAGAGGACGATGGGGCAGGCGAAGCTGACTTATAAACGCGTCGCTCGGGCTGTCTGGCGATCGACACTGGTGCTCTCGACGCCCTGGTCCTGGTCGCCTTCACCTGTTCCTTCTTCTCTGCACTCTTTCCCTTCCCCGGAACGCGGCCCGGCGAATACGAGTACCCAGGATACTTGCGCATATGCTCGATCTTCTCCAGCTTCGCCAGGTGTACGAACGGCTCCTTCTCCTCGTCACCCATCCCGTTCCAGACGGCCGCCGCGCCCTTGCTGATCTCGTTCTGCGAGTCGCGTGCGGACGCGTGCGTGGCGATGTAGGTCGATCGGAAGATGATGAAGGCGTTGCGCGGGCGAGGGATGTGCGAGGGGTCCTTACGGCGTGCGTGGCTGCTCCGCTTCACTGGGGGTGGGGTGGAGAGGGTAGAAGAGATTGGGTGTGTGAGCGATGGGGCCGGGGGGGTGCAGAAGGGGGCGTCGGACGGGACGAAGGGTTGTGGCATGTAGGCGTCGTATGGCGCGTGATTGGGAGGATGTGAAGAGATCGAAGGTGGCATCAGGGAGTCGGTGTTCTGTGCCTCGAGGACGGAGTCTATGCAAATCCTTGATGATTAACCTGTGGCCAAAATAGATGGGTCGTTTTACTTACTATCCAGATGGACAGCTGGATAGCCGTAACCAAATCGCGCAGACGGGTGAGGTTTGACATTACGGAACACAGGCATGTTGAACTGGTGATGGTAGAGGCGAAAGCCGCGAGCTGAAGAGTGCGGCGAGGGTAGAAAGTCCTGCGCTGGGTGACTCGACATAGGCCATGTCGCAGCCGTTTAAGTAGATAACCGAGGTTTCGTTGACAGTTACTATAGATGTAGCGTTAGGACTCTTACCCTCCTTTAATATCACCTCGTTGCACCATCAGCCTGCCTCGAGGAGTTGGTCTTTGACAGCACCTTCCTCGATCGGACAAACGAACCCAAAAAGGTCCAATCTAGGTCACGGGTTTGTCTTGCACTGTGCTTTTCCCAAGAAGTCAGACAGATAATCAACGACGGATTGGTGGTGGCGGCACTCACGGGTTCTCTTCGGAGCGCTGCGCAGTGTGGTGTACAGGCATGCGTTCCAGGAGGTCCCAGCGGTGACCATGCACAGCAATCAACAGAAGAGAGTATCTGTAGAGTAACAGGAGCATACTTTTTTTGAAAAGAGGTTTATAACCCGGGAATTTGACCACTTGAATACGTCGGCCTGCAGGACAGAGCATGCATCAGCGCAAACCCCCGCGTCCATCCGCAGGGCCGCGATAACAGGAAAATACGATCGAGCCCAGTAGATAGTATACGGCCTGCATAATTCCAGAGTCTATGCCCATTGAACACCATCTCCCGGGTCTGGGTTGACGTTGAAGAATATCTCCTGTGTGCCAGGATGATGACGCTTGAAGTAGCATTTTGGTAATTGTTTCAAAGCCGAGAGGGAGCTCAATTTTGTGACACCGTAGAGCCATAGGGAATGATTCCTTAGAATATTTTGCGAATCTGGAAGTCAGAGCAGAATCAGAGGCTTTGGATGTGGAAGACAAAGAGACGTTGGTGGACAACAATGGCGGAGTTTTGCACCGACTCCTTTAGGGAGATGCCATTCCCACGCTGATGGGCCTAGGTCGGTGAGTCAACAGCATTGCAGCAACCCCCAGTAACCCAATCTCTACCTTGTCGAATCGTATAGATGCACACTACTCTAAGGCTTTGCTCTTCTAGGGTATTCAAAGGGACGAACACAAGCATCTTGTAGGTACGGACCACCGTTGTTCGTTCTCGTCAGGTGACTCATATTCGACTTCAACTCATGATAACTCTCTGTGAATCTTCCTCTGAACAATTGCTCTCGGATTGGATCGCCATTCTCTCAAAAGTAATTCAACTGCCTTCAAAGTGTCCTCACAATCTCTGCAACGACCCAATCCTGTTCCTAGCATGTCAAGGCTTCCAACTGACTCGGTTGCAAAGCTCTCCATTGCGGAGAACAATGGTTCATCGTCTGCGCCTTCTGGAGCTAGGCAGCCCAAGAACAAGAACAAAGGAAAGGCGAAGGCGGAAGGAAACTCCGGCAACTCTCAACCACAACCAAAGAAGAGTGCCGGCGGAGCAGGTGGTAGTGGTGGTTCAAAACCCAACCCCTCGAAGAGTGCGAAGTTACGTGGGATGGAGAAGGATGCTCCTGAAGTGCGCGTTTCGAAAACTGTTTCTTGGCTTCTGCGGCATGGAGCACAGGGTGAAGGCCTTGCGATGCGGAAAGATGGGTATGTCAAGGTGGTGGATCTAGTACGTCGTCTGCTTCTCTATGCACTTATTCGTATCCATATTAATCCTTGCTTTTACAGCTCGATAACCCTAAGCTGAAAGCTCTGAATTTGGACCTTGAGGCTATCAAGAACCTCGTACGCGCTGATGCGAAGAAGAGATACGATCTAGTGCTTGAGAGTCCAAACGGCGTCAAGCTGGAGATAATTGGTGCTGAGCCTGTAGCTGTTCCTCCCGTAGAAGTGGGTGTAGGCGCTACGGCTGAAGGCGTCGCGACATCGTCTTCAGAGGCAGCGGGAGATAAAAAGGACGGTGGATGGTGGATTAAGGCGAATCAAGGGCATTCTCTCAAGGTTCGTAGGCTTCGTGAGCTGGTGGAGAATAAGATTCTGATTATGTTTTTTAAATGTAGACTGTAGAGCTGGAGCTGAAACCTATCACTTCGATAAAGGATATCCCGACTGGGATCGCCGTTCATGGGACAAATCGAGAAGCTTGGAAAATTATTTGTGAGTTAACTAAATATATCCTCACAGATATTGATGCTGATATGCCCATAGCTTCTGAAGGTCTATCGAAGATGAAGAGGAATCACATCCATCTCGCCCAGAACGTCGCGGGAAAGAACGTTGTCAGCGGTAAGGCTCCGTCACCTATTTTACCTGGTATCATTTGTCTGAAATCCATTCAGGAATGCGCACCTCCTCACATATCCTCATTTACATTGACGTGGCGAAGGCTCTGAATGCTGGAATCAAGTTCTGGATGTCAGATAATGGCGTGGTTCTGACGGAAGGGAATGAGCGGGGATATCTGCCTAAAACGTTCTTCGAGAAGGTGGTCGACCTAAAATCAGGAGAAATACATGGCTGGGAGGAAGCCTGATACGACATGACCCCGTCGTTCTGTGCATACTTTTTTTTGTCAGGCTTCCAGGCTCTTCCAGGGCTTTGAGGAGTTTTGAGGATCCGCAAGGACCGCATTTTTGCGATGCGCCTGTCACGTGTATGCGTGCCACGGTCACTCCTGTCAATTATCGACGTTGCCAAATTTGAAACCAACAATCACATACTTTGCTGTCCTGATTCTTGAACTCTATCTTCTTGGGACTTATACCGCAGGCTTTCGAGAGGCCTGAAATTCGGTACACTATAAAAAACCGAAGGAACCGACCTCTCCTGCGAAGAACGGTACAATGCGATGGAAAACTTATTAGGCAATCTGAGCAAAACTGGGGCAACCCTCGAGAATGCCACAACGCTGCGTCTCCCAACGCGCCCTCGCGACCAACATCTCGAAGATTTTGCGCCCACATTAGGTCCAGGCTCGTCGCAGAGGAACGGCACGTACGGCACTAAGGGCTCGAGCCAGTCGAGCACCCAAAGTCGAGTAGGGAACTCCAAGTTCAAACCTGCTTTGGCCCCGGTCTCGAAGCATTCTGGCACGCGCCCTTCGAGTAGCGGTACGGCAGGGACGACGAGCAAGAGCAAGAGCGGGTCAAGTAGGCCAGGCACACAGGAGGCGAAGGGTTCGATGATCAAGAAACCCCAGTTTACGACGTTCACTGGGTATGCTGACTACGATGAAGAGGTCAGCTCGTCGGAGGATGAGATGGATTTGTTCTCCTCTCAGCCAGGATACTCAGACGATGAACGCCGCGGGTACAAGTCCTCCAAGGCGTCCGAGAAGACCAAGTCTCCCAAACGCGGCGGTAGTGGGAGCTCCTGGCCGGCTGGTTTCGACGCAGGCACGCCGCGACCGAAGGCTAGTCAAAGCAGCAAGACAAAGGCAGATAAGAAGCGCGCGGAGGAGGTGGATATCGACTTTACGGTGGAGACCCACCACCAGCACTCGCACGACCCTGCCGTTCTGGACCAGAAATCAAGGAACCTGTCCAAGTTGAAGATGAACAAGACCAAGAAGGTTGGCGCTGGCCAGGATCTCCTTGGGTCTTCTTCACTTGCGCCATCATCCTCCTCTACGTCGTTGAAGCCGAGCAAACCCCCGTCTAAGGAGAATGGTCCGTCGCGCACTTATAAGGAGAAGCCCAAGTTTTTAGACCCGCCCTCGAGAGGCAGAGACGACCAAGCACCGCCCCTAGTAATTCGCGTCAGCCCTCTCAGCGCGAAAAGCGCCAATTCCAACCGTCGCAGATCGCCCACACCGCCCCCTCCTCGACCGTCCCAGTCATCTTCGAGGCCAACTACAAAGCCTCTTCTCATGACTGAAGTCACTGCTGGACCCTCGAAACCCCGCCCCAAACCGCGACCCATCACAAAATCGCAGACAGTCGCCGACCTGCCTAGCTCGCAAGGCAGCCGGTCATCGTTTGGGCAAGGGGGCTCACAAACGCGTCCGGCGTTGTCGATGACGGATATCCTAGACCTTTCGCAGTCGCAAGGACCTTCAACATCTCGGAGGAAGTCGTCTCAACTTCGACATCGTTCGCGTTCGCGGTCAAGAGAGAGATCGAGAGAACCGTCTCCTGAGTGTGAGGTTCGCGTTGTCCCGCAGCCCTTTCCCCACCTGTCGCCGACCTCGTCTCCTGCGAAGCCCCGTCCTGCAGAATTTCCTCTTATGTCACCTCTGAAAGAGTCGCTGGAAGAGGAGCCGCGACATAGGTCGAAATCCTCGTTTGCACGCATACCGCAAGCGTTTCCAATGTCTCCGCCGCTGTCAAAGGACGTGCAAGAAGATTCGAGTGACAAAACCCGTGCGAAGCTTTCAAGGACGAGCAAGGAGAAGTCCCTATTTTTGGAGGAGGAGGACGTGCCCGCGGTTGTGAAGAAACGCGCAGGCAAGGAGAAGGAGAAGGAGAAGGAGAGAGATACGCGGAAGACGATCGGGTCGACGATGATACGTGTTAGGAAGCAGAAACTGGACCCATTCCCTATGAGCACGCAGGTGTTGGCGAGCATTAGCTCGCCTAGTGCTCCTAGGACACTATCCTCTTCAGGATCGACTCCTCCGTCCAGGAAGAGGGCATCGGAGGATGGCAGTGGAGACGACCATGTCTCGAAGAAGTCGAGGAAGTCCATTTCTGAGTATGTCCTCTCCTTCTCGTTATCATTCAGGATGCTTTTTTGCTACGAATGCTCGTTTCTAAATTGCATGTGTGTGTACGAGGTGTTAACGACTGGATGTATGCAGACTTCTTCGATCGCCAACACGTTTACCCTTCGAGGACGAGGGCGATTCAAGTACGTTCTCTCTCTATTTCTTTTCAACACGATCATTAAGTGTTATCTATGGTCTGCAGTCACCATTTCTCCAAACGTCGATCCACGAACACTCTGTCCTTACTGTGATGTGCCTCTGCCCTCCAGCCCATCTCCTCTCCTCCTTGGAATCTTCTCAGACATCAAGAAGAAATCCACACACGATCCGCGTCCTTCCAATCCACTTGGGCTCAAGGCCCCACTCGCAATATTCATCGCTGCCTGCCAGAGACACCGGTTCGAGTCGCAGATCCTGCCTGAGGCAGAGAAAAAGGGCTGGCCGAAGACGATTGATTGGAAGAAGCTCGGTGGGCGGATTGCGAGGATGAAGAGGGATTTGAAGGCTTTGATTGAAGACCCTGGAGAGGCGCGCAAGGAAGGCGGAGAGGAGAGTGAAGAGGATGATGATTGGGACGTGGTATACAGTCGGGATAAGGGCAAGCAGAAGGGGGTGAAGAGCAAGAAGGGGGCGAAGGAGAGGAGTATCTTTTGGATGGAGATTATGACGGAGATCAAAGCGAAGGGGGCGAGAGCCGTCGCGGGTGTTCGTGGACAGTTTACGAACTTTGAGAAGGCGCAACCTGGATAGTAAGTGCATCGGCAGTCAATTCTTCTCTCTTGAACTGACCTTTTCTTTCAGCTATGGAGAGCTGGGCTCTGTCATCATCCATCAGACGTTGTACAACATGTTCCCTCCGTCAGAGATGGAACCCCATCTCATAGCACCACTGACAGCGAACGAGTTCGTCCAACGCATCCTTGTGCCCGAAGTCGCCCTTCGGTTGATTATGGAAGATAATCACCTCAATGGCGAGGATGGGATGCGCGAAGCCTTAACAATCTTGAGAGACAGCTCAGCATATGGTGTCGCCATGTTTCCTGAGGACGGCGGAGAGTGGGGTGGCGGGGGAAGGAAGAGGGGCGAGGCAGACGAGGAGAAGATGGGTGTCGGAGATATGATCGTCATGGAGAGGGCGAGGAAGAGGAGGAAGGAGCTTGAGGAGGAGGAAGAGCAAGAAAGACGAGCTGCAGAGGCAGAGAAGGAGAGGAAGGCGGCTGAGGAGAGAGAAAGGGAGCAAAGGAGAGAAAGGGAGGCTCGGCGGAAGAGAGGAGATATAGACAAGCAGGAGGCAGCCTCAGATGTGCTGCCTGAAGCCATCAAGCCCCCACGGCCCCGACCACGACCTATTGCCAAAGGGTCGAGCGCCATGAGCGTCGTCGCGCCACGAGAGTCGGAAGACGATTCTCGAAGACGACAGGCCCATAGAAGCACAACTCGAAGCAAGAGCCGAACCCAGAGCGTAGCCAGCAACCGCTCACACATGGACACCGACCCAGCGAGCGGAATCGAGACCTCTATTGAGATCAGCGACAGTGACAGCGACAATGCACACCGGCCGACGTCGGAGGAGAGGCGGCGGTCGCCGTCTGCCAGCGAGAGCCGTCCGGGACAGAGAGCTAGCAAGCCGAGTTCGACACGCTCGATGAGCAGAGGCATTGAACGACTCGGCTTCGAGTCGTCGGGCAGTAGCACGAGTACGAAGGCGGTGGTTGACTCAAAACGGACTCGATCGAGGAGCTCATCGAGGGTACAGATGCCCAAGCCACAGGCAAGAGGGGACACGAAGATGATCATTGACGATGAAGATAGCGAGGACGATCTCGTCGAGTTCCAGCGATTCCTGAATACAACGACGCCCGTTCCGAAGCGTCGCGGATCTTCTAGGCAGACTACTCTAGAGATCTCTAGCGACGAGGAGAATACACCGAAGGCCCAAGCTCCACGTGGTGTCGACGATGTGTCTCGCTTGCCACCCCTCCTGCGCGCACAGGCGCGCCCAAAGGGTTCCCAGAGCTCTCTTACACAGTGTGTCTTTTTTGGTCTCCTGGTCTTCGGACAGATCCTCCGAGCCTGATGTTTTTTCCTTCTTCAGCTTCAAGCAGACACACCTGGGAACTACAACCTCGAGCAAACCCTCCAGATCGTCTTCGAAGGCCAGCAGTACCCTGGAGCAGAAAGAAAGCTTTGGATGGCTCCTGAGCTCCCAGAGCTCGCCGTCGCCTCTTACAGGAGAGACAACACTACCGAAACGATAGACTTCACGACGGACCACGATACTTTATTCCTTCGTTGTTACATTGTTTTTACGGGACTTGGAAGATATTTACTGCTGTTAAAGTACGTTACTTGCATTGAGTACTGTCTATTTACGCGTTTCAATAATTCAGCGCACATTTTAAATGGAAAGATAAGGACTTGCTTCCTGGAGACGATCAGGTCAAGCTACGTCGAGTGAGCTTTCGGTCCCATCAACTAGGGATTCCGACCAGAGGGATTTGCGAGCACCCTGAACAGATCAAAGTGCCCTCAAGCCTCTTTGTGATAGGGGGAACCTCCATGCCTTGACACGACCTTGGGCTTGGAGCCTTGAACGGACCCTCCATAAGTAAACATTGCGCCTAGATCGTAAGGTGGCTTGACGGTTACCCCTTTCTCGAGGTATCGCGATAAGTGAGCACAGTTGTCAGACGATCATTGATAGAGATCACTAATCATAGCTTCAAGACTTTTCCCTGGTCCGCTAAGATGGTTGACATGAAGTCGGCTCCGTAGTGTAACGGGAAGATAAGCCAGCTTCTTCCTTTTATTTGAAGCGTCTAGCTAGCCTGCGGAAGAGTTGTTTCTGACAAAACTCTCACACAACCACGAAAAGAGCTGACTTCGAACCTAAGGAAGACCCAACACTCCAAACCTTTGAATTGGATCTGTTCAGACTCAAATCCCTCACTCGAGCGTCTCAATAAATCAGACCGTTAAACAGCTGCCCCCAAGCGCCAGATTCCATGCAACAACTGTTTTTTGCTGCGGATAGCCGCGATCTTGTCATCTGGAGTATTACTTTTTCATGTCTTGGCGCAGATATGGCGTGAGAGCAGAACCTATGCCGTGAATTCCCTTCCTTTGCACCACTAGGGGAACCAAAAGGGAACGATGGCTATCCGTGTGCCGTTTACGTGGGCTGTCCTGTCAGCACTCAAATATGCTGGAGTAACAAAAGGAGACAGCACATCTCACCCTGCCCATCGCTATCATGGATTCCATCCCCCTACACGTCGTCGCAATTGGTGTGCTCTGCCACCTACCAATAAACTTCCTTGTGCATTGAAGGCGAGAACGCCATTGAGTCCAGTACGTCCATACATAACGTCAAGCTCATGGATCTGAAGTGGCGCATGTCCACTTTGGGACGCCGAAGCCCAATTGGCGGTCTAGACAGGGTCGACGGATCACGTGTGCGACGTGTCATCCCACAGAGGGCGCGAGGCATCTTACGTTCCAGTGTGAGTACTGCTTCCTCATCGTGAATTATATCTAATTCTCGAAGAAGTCATACTCGATAAATTTTGTCCATTGAACTTAAGAGTCGCTTGTTCCACCAGTTCGCAATTGCCGCCCCAAACCCTGTTACTTTGTAGCCTGAGGTTGACGTCTTCTAAACGATCGTGGACCAGTCAGCCGCTGGTCAGCCTCCCGTTCCAAATTCAGAGCGCGGAAGACAAACAATCACAATTTCTCCTAGAGTATAAAAAGCACAACCTACCTCGAGAGAACCCACCATCGTCTCTTGACCTTCATCCACCACCATCTCGAGGTCAACTAGCCTTTCTTAATGACAATGAACTCCACTCTTGCCCGTCATCTTCTCGAGTGCGGGTTGGCGACATTGGGCCTTCTCCCAGGTATGCCATCATTGTTGGTGTTGTATTCGTGCTCAGCTCACGCGAATCTTGAACAGCGCTATCGTCACACAGCGCCACAGCAATGGCGGGTTCATGAACGCTTTTCTACGAGGCCGCCTTTGGTGTTCTTCCTTGGCGGTGCGGCCAATATATCCCTTCAAGCACCCTGCACATTGGGCAAGGTGAACCCTTCGCCTCCATCGTTCTTTGACACCATTCATGATAAAGCCATTTCAGGGTGCTGTCGCCTTTATGCTACCTCGGCTTTACTCCAAACCCTCCTTCGTGTGAAACAGCAAAGGCGGGTCGTCGACAGCCTGCTACGACACCTCTAGAAACTAGCGACGGCTTTCTGCAAGGCGAGTTCTTCATGTCTATTGATCTCCTACAATGTTCACGCCGTACGCATTACAGGTCGTCGACAGTTCTTCACGGCCTCGCCTTTCATCACACACCAGGGCGGGGTCCTCGACGTTCTCGAAACCACCTGCCACGCAGACAGGAACCCAACATTCAATCTCTCCAACCTACACGCACTATTCGCCGCATCATGTAGCCCTAGACCTGGCATCGTCTAGCCCTACGCGGTATGACCAGTCGCCAGCTACCTTCGGTAGGGAAGCGGCTTGTGTCTGGACTGGGACGTAGGAGCAGAGCACATGCCCCCCACACTCACCGCAGCCAGGCGGCGTGGAAGGGAGTCACTCAGTCCGAAGTTCCAGTTTAGAGGTGGATCCTTGGGTGGTAGTACGTGGGATTGCATGCCATCGTCGCTTTCTATTAGTCGGAACCCACCCAAGGATGAAGTGTGGCGTTGGTTTGGTTGGATGGTGGGTCCCTGTTCGGTGAGCGGCGGACGTTGTCAACTTGTGAGGTGAGTCTCTTATATCAACGTTCTTCCTGGTTTAGAGCTGATCTAGACATCCATCAGCGATGCGATATCGAAAACAACATCCCGGGATGCCCCTTTGTATTTTCTTCCTCAAACATCTCTCCAATACGCGCACCATTCTGATTGCTCATCCAGATACGCTCTTTTTTCCTCGGGGGCCGCCATGATTCTGCTCCTTTCCGAGCTTCTATCGCTCTTGGTCGTTTGCTCAACATCCCGAGCTTGAACATAGCGGATGGGCTTTCGCTATGGTGCGCCTCCTTTTTTGGTGCTGTACCGGGCATTCATTGACGGTACATCGCCCTTTCTATCTCGTCTAGCGACGATCACAACACATGTGCTTCGCTGCCCATGGTTTCTCGGACATGTCAGATCTTGTAAGTCCAGTTCTGCTTCTGAAGAGAGCTTGACTCTGATAAAAGCAGTTTCTTTCTTTCGTTAGATTAGTTGTTTCGTACCATAATACTGCACACGTTTATGTACACCATTGCCTTGCATTTCTTCTGTCTTTTCTCTTTTCTCTTTCTTTTTATGCATCATTTCTACACAAACAAACTAGAGACTCACAAAACCCATATACACCCTCGTCTACTTCATTTCTTTTATCATTGAATTCAAGTGTGCCTTGAAACGATCAAACTGTCAGTGAGAATCTGGACTTGTTAGGCTTGGCATCCGGGGACCTCGGCGATCTCCCTAGCTGACGTGGACGCGGTTATAGACATCCTTTATCCTCTTCAAGTCTCAAGGCAGCCTGCTCATTGTTTCCTCGTTGCCTCTTCAATTAAGCGTACACTCTCGAACGGAGTCATGGCTAGTCTTGATCTTCCGAAGAGTGAGCACTACGTTTCATTTATTTTGTCTGGTGATAGAGAATGCGTTCGTAATCGGCCACTAGATCATATCACTCCGCACGACGCTGTTCTCATCAGCTTCTCACAATAATATTAATGACTTCTATTCATTCGATCGTGTACGCTTAGGGCGAGCGCCGCTTGTAGGCATGCATCATAACACAGCAATTAAGCGCGCGGTGACGTCATCATCCTTTTGTTCTGATGGACGAACTCACGGCACGTAGATAGTGTTCCACCTGTCAATTCAAATTATATACGTAGACTTTTCGACATCTAAATCCCACAACATGATACCACGAGGCGTGCATTCTACTACTAATGACTCGGATACCTAAGAAAATCGCCCAAATATGCAGGGCTGATAGCGTATCCCCGTGTTGTCGAGGAAAGAGTGGACGCTGCACGACGATAATCTCTTATCGATGGTTTAATTAAGCGGCTGCGTCAAGCCCATAGAGCCCTTGCATAAGAGAGGCGATCCAAATTGGGAACAAGGCTGCCGCTTTTAGGCGCTGTGGATAATCACGATCAAGTCAATCATCCACCGGGTCAACCGCCAGTCCAAACTGAGAACGCGGAAGACAAATAATGACAATCTCGCCTAGGGTATAATAGGGGCGTGCACTGCAAACGGATCCACCATCGTTTCTTGACCACCATCCACCGCCATCCCTCTGCAAACCAAGGCGGGCACCCACTTCTTCGACCATGCCTTGCACTCGCACTTTCTCATCCTCTCGAGTGCGGGTTTGTCGTTAAGACACATACGAAGTGGGTGCTGCTTCACATACCTCACGCTCCTTATTCACTGTCGATAGTTCATCCTCAATAGCGTTGGTACATTTGTACAACGCCACAGAAGGGCAGGATCGTCAACAGTCTTCTATGACCTCGTGATTGACGCTGTTGGCGAATCTCCCACAAGGCGAGTTCTTTATTTGTCTCCTCCCATCTCGCCGTTTACGCCAGACGTCTTTTAGGTAGCCGACATGTTTATACGACCCGGCCTTTCACCATACCGATGGCAGGTCGTCAACCTCACTCTCACAACCACCTGCCACGCGGACGGGAACCCAACATCCAACCTCGCCAGCCTACACGCACTATTCGCCGCATCATGTAGCCCTAGACCTGGCATCGTCTAGCCCTACGCGTATGACCAGTCGCCAACTACCTCCTGTTATCGTTGGTAGGGAAGGGGCTGTGTCTGGACTGGGACGTAGGAGCAGAGCACATGCCCCCCACACTAACCGCGACCAGGCGGCGTGGAAGGGAGTCACTCAGTCCGAAGTTCCAGTTTAGAGGTGGATCCTTAGGTGGTAGTACGTGGGATTGCATGCCATCGTCGCTTTCTATTAGTCGGAACCCACCCAAGGATGAAGTGTGGTGTTAGCTTGGTTTGGTTTGCGGGTTTCCGTTCGGCGAGAAGTGGGCGCAATGAGGTGAGTCGCCTTCAATCAACGCGCGTCTCATGCATGACCTGATTTTGGCGTTGAAGGTTTCGGAAATATCCAGCCTAGGCGGGCCATTATCTTTGTATTTCGACCACTCCCCGCCCTTTGTTACGCGCCTTGCTGATTACTTTCATGCAGCCGTCCCATCACTGGACCGGTCGTTATATTGAGCACTCCCCTCTTTCCTTGGTCCTTCTTTGCGCCTGCGCTCGCCAATACCACCGCGTGCGAGTCTATCTATGGTACGCCCTTCCAATTTTATTCCGTAAAGGATGGAGGTCCTTACTATGACACATATTATTCTGTCTAGGCCTGCACTGGGGTCTCCCATTCACTTCATCTTCGAACCTTTGTAAGTCCCACCCAATGTCTCTCAGGCATAGACTATTCTAATAGAACCAGTCATTTTTACCTGTAGGATACTTTCTGCAACACATACCTTACACGCACATCATCGATTTGCCTCTTATATACCCTTTTTTTATTCGTCCTTCATCACAAAATCACAAACATACCAAAAATCGATAGCTTGTCACATTTCTACCAATGTATCACCAGAGATATAAATCTTTTGATCCTGAATGCCCTGTGGCCTACCCAAGAAGCGCTCCTGTTCAATACTAACAGTGGAGGCAAAATCTGGAGCTACGAAATACTGTGCGCAGAGTAGAACGACTTTTAGATCGGAAGTTGGGACGAAAGACTCCTAATGCGGACCAAATCAGGCAAAAATGGCCCAAATCAGACTTACACCGAAGCTCACCTTGGTCTCCTTCGGTTCCGAACCCAGTCAAACTTCCACCGCATCAGCCACGGAACGAGAGTTCAAAATTTCTGAGCGTGTCGCCGCGTCCAGAGTCGGAAGACGAGTCTCGAATGCCACCGTCTCATATGCATTCGAGTTCACAAGTCGAAGCAGAGCTAAGTACAACCAAAGCATACTCTGATTCACTGGTTCACAGCTGGATAACCACTCAGCCAACGGCATCGACTCCTCTACCATGATCTGCAATAGTGGTAGCGAGTAGGTCCATCGACCGACGTCGGAGGAGAGGAGGCGGTCGCTGTTTGCAATCGCGAGCTGTCAGCCAAACTTCTTGTCGAGCAACTCCAGCGTCGGGTGCACGATAGCAAGACGAGTACGAAGGATCTCTGTCCAAGTGGACGTTGAGAGCTCGGACAAGACTGATATCGGCCGTGATGGGGACGATCTCTCAGGCTGTCTCGAGCAACGAAGAGAACTTCCCAAGCTCTGGCATTCCGCCTCTGCGTCCACAAGCGCGCCGAAATGGCTCCTGGAGGTCTCTCAAAGCACACCCGAGAACGACAACTGTGAGCAAGCCCTCTCGATATTCTCCGAAGGCTAGTGACCCTGCGGCGGGGCAAGAAAGCTACGGATGGCTGTTGACCGTCTAGGGGCGAGACACAACAAGACAAAAACGATAGTTTTCACGACGTACTACAATACGTCGGACGTTCGTCGTTATTGTTTCCACGCTGCCTGGAGGATATTTACTTGTCCTGAAGTACGTTACTTGCATTGAGTGTTGTTTTCTTACGTGTTCTGACAATTTTTCCGTGGATGGAATTGCGTGTCATCGACCACTTGGTCATCACTGGGAAATTCGGCGAACATCCAGAACACACCAGTGACTGCAGTGCTGCAAAGCATCTTTGCAATAGGCGAAAACGTCAATCTTTGTGGCACAGTCTCCTGTCGTTGTTGTAGCAAGCTTCCATTCCTTTCTCAGTACGTCATCTCGCGTAGCAATCCTTGCGTGTTCCGGGATGAGTCCCAGCATGCATATACTCGTACACTGTCCGCCCTGCTGCTACAACAGCTGACACGAGTTCGCATAGGCTCCCACTGGTGTGGCTTATCTTCTCTTCTATGCCCTGCGGAATGAACCCTGCATAAGCAAAAATTACGCCCGGGTCCCACGGTCGCCTCATTGCTACGACCCCAGTTCGGTGCATTATGATGGGTAAGGATGGTCGTCTAAACATAAGATTGATAACCACTAACTTCAGAGTTCATTCAAGACTATTTCTTCACAGATAGTTGACGCGGAACTGGTTATGCGGCAATCTGGAGAAGATTGTCCTCCTTTCTTTCGTTTCAGATCGTCCATCTATCAGACAAGACTCTTAGCCGTGAAAAGCAGCGGGAGCATCGAAAGCCGATCCGGAACCACAATGCCCCAAACCTTTGATTGTATCTGCCTCTTTTCAGACCAAATCCAAATCCCTACCTTGCGCGTCTGTACAGCTCAGACGTTGAAGGCTCCAGCTGCGGACAGTTGTAATTCGCTTAGTTTTCCTGGCAAGCATCTTTGCGGGGTATTGTTAATACCTTGTTTCCCACTTCTTAGCCCGATTACGGTCCGACGGTGTCACGTTTGTCGTATCATCAGCGCGTCAGCCTCCGCGTAAGTCCAGCTTCGCTGAAGAGAAGACGGCGAAACAGACTCGGCTCACTGGAGTTTCTTCTCATGGTCCAGCACATCTTAGAAATAGAAGTGGGGACCGTGTCCGACCTTCTGCGGCTTTACGTGGGACATTCTGCCTCAGCATTTGAACGAGGAGAATATTAAGGAGAAACACCGCCGTCTAGCCCACCCATCCAGACCATGGATTCCACCTTCTCACGAGCTATTGGAATCGCAGTGCTCGCAACTTGCTTGTGGGTTTTCCGCCGCCGCCGCCTCCAAGTGACAGCTCTCGACAATTTACCGGGACCGCCAGCCAAGTCTTGGGTCTTCGGTGAGCGATCGGCCCTAATCTCGCATTGTTAGCTTGCCCAACCAATTCACTCTTGGGATTCGTATCTAGGCTCCTTGGAACAATTGTTCAGTCGGAACGCATGGGACTACCACCGCCAGATATCCGAAACTTGTGAGAATCCAACTCTGAGGGCGTCGTCATTGAACGACCTGATGCATGACCAACAGATGGGGATACCATTCGAGTCAAGGGCCTGTTTGGGGTAACAAAAATCCATTTTCGCCCGAGTCCTATCTCCCAGACTAACAGTCTTCGTCGTTAAATATTAGACCAATAACCTCTTTGTCCACGACCCGAAGGCCGTACACCATATTCTCGTTAAAGTACGTTAAAAGTTCACATTCTTGACTCGGAAAATGACGTCTCATTACACCGTGCCACACAGGAGCAAGACATCTACGAAGAGACACCAGGCTTCCTCGAGTCAGTTGGATTTCCGTTAATCTGCCTCGCAAGCCTTACGCGAAAACAGGACCAACAGGTTGACCTTTGGGGACAGCTTTTTTACTGCTCTCGGTACGTGTACACCCATTTTCGAAATAGAACCTGACATCCATTGGATATGTAGGACAACGGCATCGCCTTCATAGGAAGATGCTCAATCCAGTATTTTCAATTGCGCATATGCGAGAGATGGGTAAGTTTTAGGTTCATGATGGGCTTGCCTCTTGTCCGGCTCACTTGGTTCCTGTAGTTCCCTTGTTCTACGAAGTTTCTCACAAGGTAAAACGAGGAGCATATCATTACGCTCGCCACCCCTCTGAGTCACCCAAACATCTCTTAGCTTGAGAATACCTTCATGAAGATGACGGCAAATGGTCCAAAAGAGGTGCGTAGTCTCTCAGCTAAGCATGACTGATGATCTGACAGACCCGTAGCTTGACATCTTGGAGTGGAATACTCGACTTGCGCTCGAACTCATCGGCCAAAGCGGCCTCGGATACTCGTTCGACACCTTGGAGGAAGGGTCAATCCCGCATCCATACGGAATCGCGTCGAAACAATTTGTGTACGACTCACTTTAATGGCCATATTTCTATGCCTCTAACGTAGCCTTGCGCAGACCGCTTTCGGGTGGGTTTCAAGCCAACATCGCGAAAGAGACGATAGCGCCTATCGTTTCCCGTTTCGCGGGCCCGAGGGCAGGTCGGTTCTTAGCGAATTGGATCCCCTGGAAGGATCTCCGTGGATTCCGCGATGTCATTGACTTACTCAACGGTACGGCATCTGAAATTCTTGAGGAGAAGAAGAAGGCCATTCTTGCAGGCGATGAGGCATTGAAGGCGCAGATCGGCCATGGGAAAGATATTATCAGCATCTTATGTGCGTGTTTTCCTTCTTGAGTCGATTTGTTGTCATTGACAGCCTAATAGTGAAGTCGAACATGAACGCATCGGGTGAGGACAAGTTAACTGACGCTGAGCTCTATGGTCAAGTGTCGTAAGTTCTCATGTCATTCACAGTGCGCATTTGTCTAATCGGGACCTCTCAGCGCTCTGACCTTTGCGGCCACCGACACGACTTCGTCGGCGCTGTCGCGTATCTTGTCTCTTCTTGCCACAAACAAGGATTGTCAAGACCGGGTCCGACAGGAAATTAGGCAAGCCAAAGAAGATAACGGAGGTCATGACATCGACTATGACACTTTGGTGTCTCTTCCATATCTTGATGCCGTCTGCCGTGAAACCCTTCGCTTGTGAGTGAAAAGTATTTGTAAATTCAAATGCATTCCGACATATTCTGCAATAAGGTATTCTCCCGTCCCGTTTCTGCTGCGAATGTAAGTGCCGATTACGATTGTATTGCAAAGATGAAGCTAATGACTGTTGCCAGCGCTCGGGCGGACATGGTCTTACCACTAGCAACGCCTATCAAAGGAATCGACGGCAGCGACATGCACGAAGTACTGGTCCCCAATGGAACCACAATCTTCGTGTCCATAACCTCCTCGAACACCAATCCTAGATTCTGGGGACCAGACTGTTACGAGTGGAAACCTGAAAGGTGGTTGCAGCAACTCCCAGATACTGTGACCAATGCACGTATTCCTGGAGTGTATTCGCACTTGTAAGATCCAGGTGTCCAGGCTGCTGTTGCGCCTAGCTGACACAATCCTCCAGGCTGACATTCTTCGCCGGTGGGAGGTCTTGCATGTGAGCCCGAGCGTCTCTTTGATTTTCCTCGTGTGCTAAGTGTATTTCTACCCCAGTGGATTCAAATTTTCGCAGCTTGAGATGAGTGAGTTGGACCTTTCTAATATGCCCCTTGATTACTTATGCAACGGACTTTCAGAGGTCGCACTTGCACTCTTACTCGATCGGCTCGAGTTCTCGCCGTCCAAAGATCAAATCGTCTGGCAAATGACTGGTATTGTCCTTCCACACCCTAACTACGAAAGTACCAGGCCGAGGCTCCCTCTCGTGATTAGTAGAGCGGCATGAGCTTCTGAGCTCTCAAGCCTGCTATTTTCTGCGGGGAAAGGCAATGCAAGTAATATGTCATCCTCTATCTATCGTCTTATGTAGTCCAGAAATGAAATATATCATTCGTACTGTTCCTTACGCCTGGAAAGGCATCTTCGAAACCACTGAGAACCACTGAGAAACAGAAGGGAAGTGCAGCGACGGAAGCGTCACAATAGGGCCCGAAGTAAAGCCCGAAGTGGCGCATTTCCGCTTTGAGCCAAAATTCTAGCAAATGCATCCAAATGGGTCGAAAATCAGGTAAATTTCCAGGACCTGGCAGAAAAGGCAAAATCCGCATTTTGGGACGTGAGCGCCCTTTCCCAAGTCTTTCCTCGAATCTGACTTGTGCACACCCAGCATTTCAGCACGAATTACAATGCCTATCAAGCTCCGACTCTCTGAAGGTATTCTAGCGGACGGATCCAACCTCGGAGCACGCAGCGTTGTGCGTCGCAGCAGCCTGAATCTTCTGCGCACCAGAACCTCCTCGTTTGCCCGCAATGCCGCATCGACCCCAGCATTTGTGAAAGCGGTTGTGCCTACGGAAATCTTGGAACGTATCATCGTGCTCTACGTTACTGGATTAATGCAGCCAAGCTGGCCGGACTCGCCCAGCACCGAATACTCGTTCAACACCGAAAGCTTGTCGAAAATCGGGGCCTTGGCGGCTGTATCAAGAGACACGTTCTTCCTCACTGCACGAGAGGTGTGCAGGAGGGAGATCAGCTTCGTTTGCTCAAAGGGGGCGAAACGCCTCTGCGGATTTCTCACTTTCGTTGAGAACTTCTTTCGGATGCGAGGATGGTACGGCGGCAGCACCTGGCTCAGGTCCGTCTTCTTTCGCTGCATTAATATCAGGTCCAAAACACTCCGAATAACCTTTTTATCGCGCATATATTAGGTCTATCTTTGTCCCCTCATTCATGGTGTCTCTCAGAGTCCATGTGTTCACTCATCTGACGTCTCTCAAAACCCTCCGCGTCGACTTCTCTCATACGACCTTGTTCACCCAACGCTCATCAGCTGCTAACCTCTTCAACGTGGTGGAGTGCGGAAGACCGTTCCCCAATCTGACCGAGCTCATTCTGACCAAACTTGCCCGCGTGGACGCGCATATACTGACCCTCATCTCTCACAACTTCCCTCGTCTTACTCTGCTCGTCCTCGATGCTGTGAGAGCTCTGGAAATTGACTGTTGTCCGACGTGCTATGAAGAAAGTCTAAGCAGGATAATGCACTCGCCTATCCCTGAATGGTTTCGCGATGCTCAGGATTTAGGCGTGAGTCCTCTCGTTGAGATCTTGAGCAAAATTTTGTGGATGATCTTGTGCTGAACTATCACTTTCCTTACAAGATTATTTTCGGAATGGCTCTCAGCCCTCTGAAACATCTCCGAGATCTCTCTCTTGGAATATTTCTCTCTCACTATCACCTTCTAGACGTTCACACTACTCACGGAAGTAACGAAGACGATCCTTCTACCGTGACGAGTATCTCAGGCTGCACGAGCTGCTTAAAATACAAGCGAAGCACTCAGGAACGCGAACTCATCGCGAGTTTTTATCTCGCTTGCTACCTTCCTTCTCTCTCCAGAATAACATGGGCCACTGCTTTCTGCATGTGCCGCGTTGGAGAAGACGACGGTAATGACGGGATCGAAGGATCGCCTGGGTTGTGCAGTGTCGCCTTGGCCTTTGTGAAGACGAAACGGCCCGCCGCAAAATCTGTGCCCATGGAGAAGAAGGAGAGTACGGCGAGGTGCTCTTGCAGTCCCGCCGTTTTGAAACGCACCGTCCTTGAAGTCCTTCGGGCGGAGAGTATTGTGATCAAGAGAGTTCCTTGATTAATTACTTACCCGATACTGATACTCATCCATGCTTGGACCCACTACTTACCATTCCCATGATCATATGTACATGTACGCATCCACAGTTCGGCATTTGTAGCCTTGCTCGGTTTCTTTCTATATAGTATTGCAACCGCACGAAATTGTATTCCCTTGACGATATGTGGCCAAATCATTTGACGCTGTGAAATAAGGCTTGAACTTGAAGAGTCCCAACGAACAATGGCCCGTGGCATGAGGCAAAGGCGTTCGGCTAAACGTGTGGCTACGGAAATTTTGCGGTGGTGGCCCGGTGGCCTCTTCAATCAGGCAAGTGCCAGTGCATGAATGCCACAGCAGAAAGAAGAATATATAACCATCATTCTTTCTTGAGCGTTCCTTCAAAGACTTGTCCACAATTGCAAGGTCAAGCCAGCATTACCCCTACCCCCACCACACGACGTCTATTCAACACTCCGCCTCTATACCCCGCACCCCCCTACATCCACTATGATGTCTACGTCCGACGCGAAGGCCGCCGAATTCGCGCGGCTTTTCAACTTGTTCGACCGCCTAGCGTCCCGACGCGCACGAACCGCCACAACCAACACCACAAATAATGACCGCGATGCACCAGCTACTCCCGCTGAGAGACAAACTCTCCTCCCCCTCCCAGACAACTTCAGCCCCGTCCTCAAAAACCTCTCCACTATCGCCACCGCTGGGGTGCACAAGCCACACCTCGAGTACACCCGTCGTCCGCGTCGAAACACCTTGGCATCCATCTCCGGCTCGCGACGCGCGAGTGACATGAGCGCCGCCTCTGCATCGGGCGAGAGCGCCATCTCCGATACTGAGGGCGATGCCGACGAGGAGTCGCTCGCGCAGTTCCCCCTGGCCGACGAGAGGAAGTACCCGTTCACGTTCAAACACATGGTGCACAAGCTATACCCCAAGGACGACTGGGCACGCGCGGTCAAGGAGATGCTCGAGAAGTCGAAGAACGAATTCAAGCCGCTTGCCGAGCAGCTTGAGGGGCAGGCCAAGGACTCCGCTCAGAAGGAGGACGACGAAGATATTGACGCAGGGAGGAAGGAAGAGGAAGACGGTGTAGTGCGCTTCAAGGTTCCGACGAGTCCTGGAGCCGGCCGACGAGGCAGCGTCTTCGGGGGAACGCACCAGCGCAGCCAGTCCATCATAGGAGGTACTTCGAGGGCAATCAGCCCTCAGCCCACCCGCTCTCCGCGCTCTCCGGGCAGCGGCCTCCAGCCCGAGGTCCGGGCTCTCAAGAAGCGCTGCGTCGGTCGCCGGTCGTCAACGAGCGGGCCTCTGAATGTCGCTGGACCCGCCGGCACCATCGGCGGCGGCTGGGTGTACGCTGCGGCCATCTCCTCTGCTGAGCAACCTACAGCAGATACATTTTCCTCCTTGCCGCCTGCCCCGCCCCCATCGCCCACGACGAAGACCAGCTTCGGGAAATACGGTGCTTTGGCTGCTGGGAAGCCCAACTTGCCCAGCACGCTCCAGGCCCGTGGGGGTGTCAAGCGTCGTGTTAGTGCAGGCAACCCTGCGACGATGATCCCTTTTCAGATGTTGACGAACAAGGACATGGATGTAGAGAGGCAGATCGTCCGGAAGAGGGCGATAGTACCTGAGACGATGGAGGAGAACAACTAGGAAAGCCAGGCGAAGATGTCAGGCGAAGATGAAGCACGCCTGTTAGGAGGAGTTTTCACGCTTTTGCTCGCGAAGCATTCGATGACCTAACGAAGACGAAAGGCATCTATTTTTTCACCATTAGGATTTATTGTTCATTGATATCTCGAACGCATACACACCTTGTATAACCAGCCACCTATACATATCCCATGTAATTTTAACTTTTCGTTCTAAACCTTGTCCGCTATAACTTCCGAAGTCGTAGTTTGAGAGCATTTGGCGACGCGCGTGACTGTGGGTCCAGGCACTTGAGAATCCTGCGATGAACTCCTCTGCTTTGATTCCGAACTGGTTGTACAAAAGCTATTCCACCACTTAGTATTTTCGCTATGATTTTTGCTAGAAGCGTACCAGAGCTGAGCTGTTTACGGAGACGGGCAGTGTGATATCTTTGTAAGGGTTCATTTGGGGTTCATGATAATGTGTCCCAACCTGATTTCACGGCCAGAACAGTGACGTAGGTTTCCCGAGGGGAGCTCATGATCGCTATGCAGAGATCGTTTTCTTCTACATTGCGACAACGGTGACTTTTCGTGCTCATAATCCAGTGAATAAGAGACTGAAATTGCGTTCAAGCAATCGAGTAAGCGTCACGACCGCTCAAGGAAATCATGCACTTGAGGGAGTTGGTTCGCGTGGAGGGTGGAATAGGTGATTGGGGCTCTGTCTTCGACTGGGTGTTCTCTTTCAGGACTGTATATAGCGCACGTTAGGTGGAGATGAAGAAAGAAGATGAGGAACTAACATGTAATGGTGCTGTATGTCCATCATGAGATCCATCCAAGGAGTCCTCGTCCCCCAATCTACCGCTATGGCCCCCTCAGGCATATTTTGCTTCGTCCTATACAGCCTTGAAAGGAAGGAGTTATTGAACGGGGTCTTTTCAATGCTGTCTAGGACTTCGGGTTTGAAGGAAGGAGGACTCAGAGAAGGTGTTAGAGTTGTCAAGGCCACGTCTTCTGCACTGCTTCTTCTAGATCCCAAAGTCAGAAAGATAGTTTGTTGACAAGGAGAATACACACCTGTTCCGACTTGAGTTTACGGAGAGCCATTGCTTCGAGAGTTGGAGATGGGGATTTCTTTGAGAGGTTATTCATGTACATAAGTAGCGATTTCTTCTCTTCCCAATGGCCGAATCCTAGTACCCTGGAGTCGGGGGATTGAGTGATGCTCGTACTTTCGAAATGTGAAGATAGAATATGAATATGTTGTAATCCACTTCGATAAGACTCTCTAGATACGCGTCGCGAGCTTGCATGCAATCTTGGAGGCAAGACCCCGCGAGGTCTTCAAACGTGTCGTCATCTCCCGCGTAGTCATTTCGGAAGACTTCAAACAGCGAGGCGGCGATGAGAGCCACTCTTTCTGTGCTTAATGCTTGCTCTTGCTCCTGGTTGTGGGCGTGCTTTCTGCGCTTTCGTTGGCGTTTCTGGCGAGACTTTACCATCAGGGACTCGGAAAGAAAAGCATGTTGTCGTCGGAAAGTGCTTTATCTTGTTAACGTTGATTGAGACGTGCTGTCACATGACCCCTAACGGGTCACCAGCAGTAACGAGTCACCCGCAGGTTTACGGAAGATCGAGGAAGCCTTGGGACATAAAAATTTGTACAACCATAGATACATGTCTTATGAAGTACTATGCTAATAATTGTGTGCTCATGTTGAGTTTAAACATGAGAATTGCTCAATGACTGCCGGCCAGTCTAGTGAGATTGCCAAATTTGGCCCAAACTCTAAGCTCAAGAGTTCTGAGCGGGCTCTCCCTCCTCAGAAAGAGGTCATGAGGTCGCAAAAAATTCTATACAGACTGTTGATAACCCTCTCCTTTGGTATTTAATTTTTTTCTCTCTATGGGTTTGCTCAAAACTGCAGCAAACGAGGCGCATCTGGGTTAGTTAGATCTTAGATCATTCTCACATCAATACCCTTCATCATAGTCGCATACACTGTACATGATACTCGCTTCTGGTCTAATACATGTATCGCAATTTGGAGTAAAAATATTATTTGTTTTTATTTTTTCTTTATTTTCTCGACCAAGAGGAAGGTCTACTAACGGTACATCTTCTCTGAGCATGGAAAAAGGGTAGAATTCCCGTTATCTAATCATGAGTTCCAAGTTTGATGATTATTTCAAGGAAAAATAATAATAGAAAGATAGAGGTAGGTCCTACGAGTAAAATGCAGCTTGGATTTCAGAGATAGAGCAAGAACTCATCCAGCTATGGAGGTTGCGAGTCTGCGAGAACAAGAGGCAGACGACCGATCTTGGACCAATCAGTGTGCGATCTAGATCTATTACATCATTCGGTAACAGCCGAGCTCGTGTTCTAGCGTGACTCGTTTCCTATGGTTTCGGTCATATCCGGCAATTTCTGACTCTCCTTCGTAGAAAATTCGTAGGGCCCTCTATATGCCTTCTAAAATCACGAAACAAGCTGGTATACACAAAGAATATGATTTTTCACCTCTCTGTCAGTGTAGAGTCCTTCTGTCCTCCAAAATTTACAATTTACGCTTAAGTGACCCGTTACTGGTCCCTGCACAGTAATCAGAGTCTTCTATTGACAGACATTCTGAGCCACCTATCACATCTTGCTGAAATTTGAATCGTGGACCGACTGAGTTGTTTTGCCCCGCTGAAGTCGAAGAAGAGGTAAAGAGCAGGTTGGGCTTATTTAGAAGGAAGTTCTCACGCCTAGTCAACTTGGCACTGAGGCCACACATTTTCGAATGTCGGGCTGAACCCGGCCTTCTCGACGTAAATTACTCATTAAAATCCACACTAGAGCAGGAGAGCTACATGGCGACTCAATGAGCGTAATTGGCCGGCTACACCAATCGACCCTCATTCTCGTGCCACGGTAGTAAGTACGATTACTTGCAACCGGGGTTGGAGAAGGTATTTTGCGAGCTAAAAATCTCTCTGCAGAAAGAAGCTTGTAAGCAAACCGTCACTTCTGAAAGTACCGGCGTACGCACCTCATATTCTCAGATAAAAGAGAATACCCGTAGGGCCATCCATTCTGGTCGAAGGCGGGACTTCTAATATATTCAGGCCGTCGCAAATGAGCAAAAAACGTAGGGTTTGGGAGCGAAGCTTCAACGTACAACCAAGCCAATGATGCGCGCTCCATCCATGAAAATGTCGTCGATAAACTCTCCATCTTTCATTTCGACGGATTTTGAATGACCTGAAAAAGGAGATATCGGAGTGCGTATAGAGTCGGTGAATGGGCTGTCTATGTCGGGGTCCAAGTAAAGCAACTCGTACAGAGTTGCGGTTCCTGCAATTGCCTTGTATCCGAATCTGTTGCCTTCAGTAATGTAGTCAGGAAGCTCCCTTTTTGTCCTCTCCTTCCGAGTTAAAGGAACATTGAAATCCAACAGCTCGAAGGCATTTTGTCCCCACCACAGAAAACAGCATGTTCCCCCTGCGTAGCTTATCCGACGGTATCCATTATGGTGCCGGATGACCGTCACACCATCAGCAGCCCAGTTGGTCCACGAAAGCGCCTCTTCTGTCTTGGTGGCTACGTATCCCGCATGTCCGCGTTCCGCCAAAGCGATTAATTTGTCCCATTTTACAACCAGGGTGAATTGTTGGAACTTGTTCGAGCGACAATTTCGGATATGAATATTGACGAGGACAACGGAGTTGGCTGGCTTGGTCGTAAATGGCTGGCTCGTGCCTGTTTTTCCCGAGGCAGAGAGGGGGACTTGACCGTCAAAAATAAAGGAAATTGAGTATCTATAAAGCCCATCACTATAGTCGACGTATGGGAGCCCGAGAGCGAGGATGAAGCGAGTTCGCGTTTCTTCGTGCTCCTGTTGAGCCGTATCCGAGGGCAATGCGACATGGTAAATGTCGAGGCTTCCAGTGAAGGGATCGCCGATGAGGAGGAAATCTTCCCTCACGAACGCCATTCCGATTTTCAGGTCCACATTGTGTATTACACCTTTCTTGACTCCGGTTTTCCAATCCAAGATGTAAACATACCCTTCCCAGTTCACAGTACCTCCTATGAAGACTGCCAAATTCGCCCCGCAAATGTCAACATTAGCCGAGGGGTTGCCATTCTCGTCCGTATCGTCAGTGCAGACTTCGATAGTGGGCGTTAGCGCATCTGGGTGAGTTTCATGGGTAGAATGTTTTAGTAGTCGAAGTTGAATCACCATATAAGGGGCATTGGAAGAATCGCTGTACCGTGTTGTGGTCGTTAGTAATGCAACGATACGATGGAACTACGGATTTACCCGGTTACAACGACGAGTAAATCACTCTCTTCAATCGCGATACCATACGCCAATAGCTGCTTCTCCAATTGTAACTCCCTCCATTGACCCTGTTCTCTATGTGACTTTGGGAGCTTCAAACACCACAGGCCAACAGTGTCGCGAAAATAGACGCCCGACTTCATCTTGAAATAGAGATGCCCGTATTCTGCCTTATCGAGCTCGAGCCTCCCGTGAAGGCCGGAGATATGTGGTCCCTGTATCGCTGCGCTCGACTTCCAATCCAGTGTAGACCAGCGTTGTCGTCCCTCCCTGAGCATTTCCAGCCAGTCATGGAGAGGTATTGTCCAATGAGTGAAGTTGGGATTGTCTATCATTCTGGCCACCTCGAGCTCTTTGCGGTAAGTTAGAATTTTCGAGTGGAATATTATACTGTGAAATCGTCTGCAGGCGCATGAACAGGGTGCCACGGACCTTGGAGACAGTTGGCAGAATATGTGAGTAACGAGAATGTCAGTGGGAAGAGAGAGGATGGGGCTGTGATTGGTCAGTGAAAAAGATCGCGCTGGGTTTGACATATTGAGCTGTGAGGGCGTTAATATCAAAGTAAGAATACAAGGCTCGATGATAGTGGTTGATAACGATGCCTTGTCCATTAAGGCGCCTACACAGGCGCCCAAAAGCCGCATCACGTGAGGATCCGGAACATCCCGTCGCGGTAACTAACGACTCCAGGGCATTTATGCTTCTCTTGAACTCAAACCACCACGTCGATACAGACGAAAATCCTGAACTTACGGAAACGGTCGATAATCACTTCTTTCGTGAACAGTTTTCGAGCATTGGCTTGCAAGTTGTTTCATAGCCTTGCGACAGCGGCACAAGGAGATTGGGGCAAGTACACCGAGAACAAGGTTGAGGCATGAAGACATACCACGAGGTCTGCGACGTCGAAAATCCAATTTCGCTTTCTCTTTCTTGTTTCTCGTCTAATCATTGAGTGCTTGACTTCAGGCTTCAGGTTTTGACGTTCGTGACAGGGTGTGGGACCGCCGAAGTTCAGGATTGCGTCGGCAAAGCCCGTCCGTTACGACAAGTGCAGGTGAGTTGAGTTGTAATAGCTCTTGCGAATTGTCTCATACAAACATTCTCGTCTTGCTCAATGACATCCATCAAAGCCGACGATCTCACTCTTCTGACGCTTCCAAAGAGTAAGCATGCTCTCTGTGCCTGCTAATCTACTGATTCAACGTCGATAATGAACATTGATACGGCAGCTGCCGGTGCGTAGACTTTCTTTATTCCAATGAGAACTCAATATCCTAATATCGTCTGATAGAAATCCATGCTATATTGGATGTCAAGGACGTACCACTTAGATTTACTGTGACCACCAGTGATAATACTTCGACCGAGTGGATTGGGTTTGCCAAGCAGCAGGAATCGTTTTCTGTGGAGTTTCCTTCGATCACAACCGTACGTGGATTAGGAGGCTGCTCGTGGGGGAACTCTAACAATTCTCAGGATAATGCCGTGAATGCGATCATCGTAAAGAGCACTCGTACCCGCACACTGCTATCGCCCCAGGACGAAGAACACCTGAACAACTTCAAATCAAGCCGCTCGTATGAAATACTGCAAATCTTGGATCAGAGTAAGAGATTGGAGGCGAGTATAATGGAGCAGTGCTGCGCCATTGCCACTCTGCGCTGCAACGCATTCCGAATCCAACATAAGCTGGAAAACGTTTCGCTGCTGAACGTGCCAATCCATGCTCTTCCTCCAGAGATTCTCTCCATAGTGTTTAACATGTGCGTCTCGTCCTCGGAGGACGAACGAGTCTTGGACAAGGACAAGGTCGCCATCCGCCTTGGGTCAGTCTGCAAACTCTGGCGAGACCTGACTCTCTCCACTCCATCGCTTTGGAATGCGGCACGCATCAAGATTGCCGAACCACACACAGGCTCAGTTTCATGCAATGCAAATCTTTTGCATATAATCACGCAGAGAGCGTCTGCTTCAAGGCCATCCGCGCTAGAGATCTGCGACACGCTCCAACCCAAATCCCAGAATTCGCCTAATTTGCAGCAATTCTTTGCATCGCTTGCCCCTTCCCTCCCCTTCTTTACCTCCTTAGACCTCACCATCCAATCGGCAAGCTCATATGAGAACCTCGTCCAACTCAAGGCCCAAAATCCCGCAATCAATTTTGCCCGCCTCCAATACCTCAACCTTCTCATCAAGCGCCAACACATCTGCCCGGGCAAAGACACTTTAATCGACCTTATACCATTCACCCTCTTCCAATCTGCTCCCCGGCTTTCTCAGGTCTTCCTCGACATGTGCCACTTCCAAGCGCTTTCGATGATTCGGCTCCCGTACCAGCAGATCCGGAGTCTGTCCTTCAGGTTCATAATTGATAGGAAAATGCCCCCTGAGTTGGTTGCGAAGGGCTGGCAGAGAGTGTTTGCGGGCTGTAGGAGCCTGCAGCAATCGAATCCTTGCGCTATCCGAAGGAATTTCGCCGGGAGTACATCCTGGAACGGGAGCCCGATGCACCCTTAATAGAGACACCGATCCAGTCTCTCTACATCAGGAATCGCGTAGGCGGAGACGCGGTGGCGCTTCTGGATGGCCTGAGGATGCGGAATCTACGCCTGTTGCATTATGAGAGTGTGGCGAACGGCGGTTGCAGGTTTGTCAACGATCCCAATGAAAGGTGGACACTTTTCGTTCACTTGACGCACCTTAAACTCCTAGACGTGAGGATCAATGACGACGACATGCTTTCATTCGCGGAGGCATGTGGGAATCTCCAATACTTGGATATTCGGAACGCGATGCGCTGCGCGCCAATTGCCAAACACGAGATGCCGCATGACATGATCCTCGTCCAACTCCTCACTGTGACACCTAGCGTTATGGTTAAGATGGGCAACAAAGAGGAGAAGGTCCTCATGCCCTACCTATGGCACCTCCACCTTTATTATCCATGTCACGAGGACGTAGACCTCCACGACGACCACGCGGATGCTTACAGCTCACTTGTTCGTTCACGCGCCGAATACCGGAAGCGCATGAATCAAGGCTCGGATATGGTTCCAAAATCGCCACTATACTACTTCGCTTTCAAGTTGCCATTCACTCTCGAAGGCACACAACCTCTGGAGCTTTATCGGGGGAGCATTTGCAATAAGGTTCATGCAGCATCGACGAAAGAGTGCCCTTTCCGATTTGCCGCGTCGACGCTTCCGAAGTTCGGGTGGGATGGGGTGTTGAAGGATAAATCTGCGTATGATTAACACAGGGCTACACTGGGTGTTTTGAATGAACACAATATATGAATCTGATAGGTACTTGGTGTTCGGCAGCCGAGTCGGTGTTGGTTGTGCGCCAGCTTAGACAAGCTGTCAGATCTTCAGATGTCGTATCCCTCCGCTGACAGGCATACGAGAGTCCCAGAAATAGAGGTGCGGTGGATACTACTCAATAAATATCTAATTGAATAGTGGCTTGGTATGAGAGTCCCTTGCCGGTATCATTCTCTTCCGCTCAATAATAAGCAAAGAAATCAAGAGGTCCTCAAAGAGCTCTTGTCCACGACGGGTAACTTCCAGCATCGAAAACGACTCTTCCTCCTCGACGCTACCGTCCTTCTTCGGGTTTGTCAACCACTTCGCAGGTGTGTACTTCGCGAGAACAACTATCCCAGTGTTCGGGGTTTTCGTCTTACACTGTATCACGCGTTAATTATAAGTTTAGAACCTAAAAGTGACACTCACTATAGCAGGCGTTTTCCCATAATCCCATGACAAATGTGAACTTCGCTCATACGGCGGTATCCACATCCAATGGGCAGTCTCGCGCGAGCCCGACTTCACCAGCATCGTCTTTATCGGCGTGTCCTTTCCGTGGATGCGCACGCGCCCTGGGATGTTCGATATTCCCAACCTGTTCCACGTTCAACCATCACCTCTTGGACCATTCCATAGAAGAATATACGCACTCGAAGCACCCAACCCGATTTCCCGCCTCCACCTCCCCTCGATACACAGTCGTGCAATGCACAAGCGGGTTGAACACGTTCTGGTTAACAACAATATGGAAGCGCGGGAGTTCGTCCGATGCGCCTATTGGTGGCAGAAGCGTAACCGCGTTCCCCGCCGTCGGTGTGAAGGTGTACAGCGTCGGGCCGCTCTTCCCACGATCCCCTCTGCAATATTCTGGGGGATCAAAGTCTGGGGCGTCTTCTACAACGGAGAGTTGTGCAGAAAGAGAGAGGGATAGTGCAGACGAGTGCGTGTGGTATGATAGGCCGCTGAGAGAGGATGAAGGCGAGTGCCGAGACTCAGAACGGGAGGACGCGCCGCTCCGAATTGACGCGCCGTCAGGAGTCCACTGCGCGTCGAGGTATGAAGGCGATTGTGACTGCGGGGGTGTGGGTATCCAACCGTCTATGGCCGGGACGGGAGGGGGATCAAGTTCGGAGACCACACTGATGTTTGGTGTGTCGTCAGTGTCGCCTTCCTCTCGGGACTTGCCCAGGCGAGAGCTTTCAGCACGTTCATGAGATGAGAACCGTGCCGGCATATGTAGAAGTGTAGCGGGTGGACGGGTTGTACAAGGGAGATAGGCGGTGAGGCGATGTCCCTTTCCTCGAAGCTTTATATCTCTAGATGCTTCACTCTCAGTCAGGTATATAGTATATTCGAGAGATCCTGTACCCCGCCAAGGCACTGTAAACAACAGGAAACTGTCTTGCCTGTCAAAATCTGTCGTGCCTCGCAGTGCAAAGCCTAGTATCACGTCGACAGTTTTCGGGTTGTTCGGGTTTGGGCGGGGGGTTCAAGATGGAAAGATCAGTCGAAGCTTTCATGTATATCGAAGGGAAGCCGAAAAAAGATGATTCGCCGCAAAGCTGTGCGCCGGCAGTGTTTACATGTGGGTGTGAGGCTGTGGCTCCACGAAGACGAGTCGAGAGCCTGTAGAGGTGAATAGTTTGAGTTTTACATGGAAAATATGGCTGAAAAGCGACCCCATAGCATCGAATCGGGACACGCTGACGACGAAACCAGATACCCTCCAGAAACGGCTCGCAGTGTGGCGCATGTATTCCCTTTCCGGGAACTAATTCCGACAGTGATCACGAGGCGAATCGACTGACTTCCCCCCGGCATCTAATGAGAAATTTACGCCATTCGGGGATGTTGGAGTTTCTCAGGCGATGTCGTTCACTGATAAGGTGGCTAGCACTCACCGAATGTGTGTACAAGCAAGTGATTTGCTTCCTGTATTGACGGCGTCGAGAAGAAAATGCGAAGATGGGAATATAGACGATGGGCTGCGAGGGCTGTGATGTCGAAGATATTCTAGCCTTCTCGTGCCCCAAAGGCTTCGGGAACCGACAATTCATGATCAATATCAGTGGAGGTATGCTTTGGAATATAAGCTAGGACTTGGGAAGGGCACGTGTCCACTCCATCATCAGGAAAGAAAACAACCAAAGAGACTTGGTTCTGCCACATTTTATTGACCTGAGCCCTTTCCATTTCTCGCTTCGTTGGTCGTTGTAAGCCTACCAAAGACCGATAACCCTTCGATTTTTTAAAACATCATGAACTGTTCAGTAAGCTATTTTATCCTTGATGCCTCCGAAATTCTTCGCGTGATGGAGTATACCATTTGTGCGATTCATATTGCTGGGCATCTGCGCACCCTTCCCCACAGGTATTGCGGAAGCCGTGGAACCACACAGGTAAGTTTTTTGGACCTAGGAGGCCCTGCTCGGGTAGCCCGGGCGCTTCCTTGCAAAGTTACATGTTCAGGTGTACTTGGTTTTTCGGCAAACGTAACGAGGTCGATCAGCAAGGAAGCTCGGGAGGCGGTGCTCGCCGTATCATTAGAATGACAGCATGATGTCCTTTAATTGCACTCATCGGCGTTCTCACGGAGTGGGAAGACAAATGGCAAGAGTGTACAAATTGCATGCACTGGGATTGAATGAGGCGGTCTCTGAGGCGGACCTTCGCCCAAACGAGGTTCTGTGGTACATGCATATGACTCCGTGTGCAGGCAGAACCGCTCTGTCACACGACGTCGAGATTGTCGTCCTCATCACGCGAATTCGAAGGGGCTGATGGCTTGCTCGCCCGTCCGTACAGTATGTCGCGGAGAATGTTCTCGCTATTTTTAAAACCGCTGGACTCGATCACCAATCCTTGGGGAGTCTGAGTAACAAGAACGATGTTTGGTGCGCATGGCTAGTAATACATAAATTCAAAAGATACCCCAGATCATAACAATATGCTACATAAAAATAAAGCGAACATAGCATAAAACCCCAATTAAACCCATTCATTTTCGAAATCCTAATTAAACAGCCGCTTGACGAGCTTATTCTTCCCCGGCGCCAACCGTTTTCGTTCAATAATAAGCAGCGAGACGAGGAGGTCGTCGAAGTGATGTTGACCCTCGGGGCTAACGACGAGTTCAGCTATGGAAGGCGCCTCCCCCTGCTCGACGTGTCGTGAGGGCGTGAATTTTGCGAGAGGCCTTTTCGTGGTGAGGGAATGGCACTGCATCGTAGACTCGTAAGTAAGTAGGAGAGCAAGAGTGAAGGCGGAATGAGACGGACCATGAAAGGCTGGCTCTTGCAGTCCCAGGTCAGTACTTTGGACTTCTTGGAGGGAATCCATAGCCAAGACCCCTGACAGGTGTTAAGATTAGTATCGTGTGCACGTATACGAACGTGCGTTGAAGATAAGAATACTTACGGCTTGGCGCGATCCAGCAACTTTCTTTAGCACCGAATCGATCTCCATCTCGCGGTCCTTGATCGTCACCGTGGCTGACTCTGACGACATGCCCATCCTGCGTTGTCTTGTTAGGATCCTTGCTTGGTAGTCGGAACTGAGGGCGCGCAATAGACTCACTCGAATTGGGCGACGAGCACCCCATACCCCGTACCTCCACGTCGGATCGTAGTGATATATGAGAAGGGAGTAAAGCAATTCATGCCAATCGAGATGTGGTATTTTGACCGGAGGTCGGCGGCATCGGATGTGGGGGTGACAATCATAGTGTTAAAGGAGGTCGAGGAGAAGCTGTACTTCACGGCCACGTCAGGGAGTTGGACGGTGTCGATGTAGCTGAATTGCAATGAAAACATGAGATCGATGTTGGATGGAGAAACGATAAGGAAGAACGCACTCTGGAGGGCTATCGTCCGCCGGTGTCGACGGAGAGGACACGAACGAGCTCGAAGCTCCTGACGATGGCATGTACGAGTTCGACGACGACGAGTATATACTCGAACTATCGAGTGTCGGGCTGTTCGCATCGAGGACCATGGAATGTCGTGCCCACAGTTCGGCGTCAAGAGGCTCGGATGATTGTGACGATATCGAGGCAGGGGTAGTCGGTCGTTCGATGTGAATGCTGGGGACGCTAAGCGTGTCCATATCCCGATCCTCCCGGGAAGGCGCCATGGGTACTCTGGAAGGTGATTAGCGATAAGCATACACCATTGTCGATGAAAAAACCAGCGCTTACGAGGATGAAGCCAGGAACAACGACATATCGGGATCGATGCGCAATTAGACACAGGTGAAGTGGTGTGATGAAGGGACAAGTGGGCATGAAAGTAGCGCTGAACTACTATCAGAGTCGAGGAGTGTAGTGTCGAGGAGCTTTCATTGGCGAAGCAGGACCTTCCAGGTATCGCGAGCTTTATATCACGTATAACGTGGGCTTAGCACACAGCCTCCAACGCCACCTTTAGAACACCAGCTCATGTGCGTGATCCAAGGAGGTCCGACGTCCGAATTCCACAGGCAAAAATACCACAGCCCACTGGTGCCAAGGCGTTCTTGAGGTTCTATAGTGGAAATCGATTGACTTGAGGTCCCCTCGAGGGAGTCCAGCATCAGGAATCATACACGCGGCGTTGGGGGCTGCGCTACGAGTACGATTGGAGCGAACCCCGACATTACTTGGAAGAAAACATAGGCGCGTTTCCTCAGGCGCGAAGAGCACGGGTAGCGTTGAGTTAGGTCGGTGGGAGTGTGGAGAGAAGGTGAGAGAATCCCGTCGCAAGCCGTGAGAAGTACACGGTCCGGAATGTCCGGAGGCAGCACTGCCTCCGCCAAGCTTCGATTTCGCGCTACTGTTTGTTCCGCATTTTCTTTGTGGTTTTATAGAAGGAAAAATAAGGAAATATAGCACGAAATCAGGATGAAATTCGGTTCCGTCGTTCAACTGGTACGCCGTTGCAGTGCCAGTATGTATAAGCGCGATAAATGATGGGACAGTACATGTTAACCACGAACGTGAGGCGAGTCAAGGAAATAATAAGAATAAAATGAGAAAGTAAATTTTGCCCCTACTGCTCGGCAGCGTAAGAGGTACTACAATAAAGTAATAAAAAAGCTGATTCTGTTAGAATAGATGATCACTTAAGAGTCGTTGATGTGGACTTACAAAGTGTCAGAGTGAACAGAAAGTTGGAGAGAAGCATCGGCGCTAAGCTGGTGACTCGGTGAGACGCTGTGAGGGCGCATGAGTTCCAGGGCTGGAGAAGATAAGAAGAGGGTGTACCATTGGAATGTTCAATGTTTCAACGTTGAGCGTGTGGACGTCTGAACTCCCTCACTTGCATCGTCATTCATTGATGAAAGCTTCAAGGCTGAGGAGGTTCAGGGACTGCGTCGCCAAGTTCCTAACTGAAAGGAACTGATTAGCACGACATGAAGGTGGAACACTGGGAAGGTGTAGAAGGTACAAACTTAGCGGTGTCCCACCCGGGCTGATTTCGAAAGTAAATCTCGCTGAAGAAAGTGCATGAGCCTCCATAACCCCCTCGTTTTAGCTTAATCTCCTGCCTTTGAGAAAGGTGATAGTATTAAGGTGACTTAATCTGATTAATCTCGTTGAAAGGTCAAAACACATTTGTCTAATAATTATCTACTCTTTACATGGCAGCACTCAACGGATTAAAAAATAAAAACGGATTAAATGGATTAGAATTTGGGACAGCTTAAACAGATTAGTCTGATTAAACCATAATGGAAACTTGGAGTGAAACGACATGACCGGTCAACTTGGATTAAGTGACTTGAGAGCGTTGGAAGACGAAGAGCAACAAGAAAATCTGTTTAATCGGATTAAACAGATTCAGCTCAATTAAACTGATGATCTGGTTTAAGCAATGACAGAGGATTAAATCAAGAGGATGCAGCGGCACGAGGAAGGCACTCATTCACACTTGCAAAGTATGCGGTCGAACATGTACAAAGTGCACCACCAGAATACCCACTTTGTCTTCTTTCCCAGTAGAGGTATGGTGGCGGATGTAGGAACAACAATCAGCTACCCAAAGGTCAGGCAGCAGTAGGATTAACAATTATTAATGAAAATAATTGTCACTGGGTCGCAATGCAAAGAAAAAAACCTGAAACTTGGAACCAACACCAAGGAGGTGTTGGGGGAGGAATGTGAACTGGCATAATGCTGGGGGGACAGGAAAAATGCGCTGGGAGAACTCCCCATCTTATAATGACCTGGCAATCTATTTGTGGCTCATCAAAAGAGGCCCGAGTGGCAGGATGAGCCACTTTGCCACAATCTTATTGTTTCTTTCTAGGTCCTTTTGTCATTCGTGCTGAATGCCGTCCCCTCCTGTGGTGATATATAAGGAGTGGCTTAGATCTTGCTGAAACGCGTGTCGCTCGGTCTTCAACTTGGGGTGGCTGTGCTAAAGTTGGTGCCTCCCTCGGAACCTCCACCGTCACAGCCTCCACTGTCTCACCATCGCCTTACCCATCTGCCTTCAAACCAGCACAAGATACTTCGACAAGGTATGTATTCCAAATCTGAAACATATCAGCCCTCCTTTTACTAACAAACATGCCCTTATCTTTAGTTTATCTCCGTCTCTTGTGCCCCCTGCTGTCCTGCTTCCCCCCTCACCTCTTAGCAGGTATGTTAGCCCTTTCCTGGCCATAAATGATGGACTTATGGTGGAGAAGCGAGGGGAGATCATGGAGCACAAGACCCACACAGTATGCCTCTTATTTTGTGCCTATTATCCTTGCAGACTAACTTCTATCCCTCAGGTTCCATGCTCATCTCCTGTGCCTACCACCTCAACCCACCAGTCTGCTATCTATGCAGTTCGAAGAACCTGCTCCTGCCTCGTATAGGCTCAACCCCCACCAACTGCGAAATGTCATTGCTGTCCACAATTCAGTGGCCAGTGTGACACCAGCATCGCTACCATGGCCAACACCTACCATGGTCAATGCCCACCATGACCAGGCACAGCTCGCCAGTGCCAACCTCACTGGCATGTCCAGCCATGGCTCAATGTTCTTGTTGCCTGTGTCACCATGATGGTGGAATGAGAGATGGTGAGAGGAAGGCAAGGTAGAAGGGCGAGAATGAGGTGAAAAGATGCTGAGACAATGTGAGAGGGCCAATGATTCGGAGAAGGGCAAAGGCGAGTTTGCTGTCTCACCATTTCCCTTGGCGCAGATCCCCCATCCTTTGACTGCTCCTCCTAATTCATCCTCTTATCTCACCAATCTGCTCCAACCGCTGCCCATGCTACCTCTATCATTGCAAGGGCAACTTCCGCGGCCTCCCCTTTGCCACTGTTTCTTGTCTCAGCATTAAGGTATCTCAGGTCGGAGACAACACTTGCAGGTCAGCACCTTCTGACAACGCACAATGAGCCGTTCCATTGGTGACACGTTCAGCAGTTTAATCTGTTCAGTCCGTTCAATCTGTTCAATCTGTTCAATCCATTTAATCCAGTTTAATCCAGTATATATATCATGCTTTCTAATAGTCTACTAGTTGAGACATTTAATATGGATTAATCAGATTAAGCCCACTTAATCCTATCACCTTTCTAAAAACCCTCAGATTAAGCGAAGCCCAGTGAGTTTCATTGAGCCTAGTATCAGAAGTACATCGACTATCGGTGACTCACCTCATCACACCTACTGCTTGCCGAACAGAAACCCGCAATCCAACCAAACCAACGCCACACTTCATCCTTGGGTAGGTTCCGACTAATAGAAAGCGACGATGGCATGCAATCCCACGTACTACCACCCAAGGATCCACCTCAAGACTGAGATTTCAGACTGAGTGACTCCCTTCCATGCCGCCTGGTCACAGTTAGTGTGGGGGGCATGTGCTCTGCTCCTACATCCCAGTCCAGACACAGCCACTTCCCTACCAATGATAACAGGAGGTAGTTGGCGACTGGTCATACGTGTAGGGTTAGACAATGCCAGGTCTAGGACTACATAGTGCAGCGAATAGTGTGTGTGGGCTGGAGAGGTTGAATGTTGGGTTCCCATCTTCATTGAGAGGTGGTTACTAGAGAATTGACGACCCGCTGTTGAGTTTGGTAAAAGGCAAGGCCGTAGCAAGATGTTGGCGACCTAAAACACTTCTGGTGTCAAGGGCGGGATGGGGGGAACGAATAAAGAACTTGCCTTGTTCCAAAAATTGCCGATGTCATCAAGGGTGAGGACATAGAAGACTGTCAACGACCCTGCTCTTTCTGTGGCGTTGTACAACGCCATTGAGGATAAACTGTCGAGAGTGAATAGGAAGCGCGATGTATATAGTAGAGCAACGCCTACCTTGTGTGTCTTAACGACAATGCTGCACTCGAGAGGGTCAGTAATAGGGAGTGCATGTCATGGTCGAAGAAGTAGGTGCCGCCTTAGTTGACGGTAGGATGGTGGTGGAAGGTGGTCAAGAGACAATGGTGGGTCCGTTTGCAGTGCGTGCCCCTATTATACCCCAGGTGAGATTGTCAATATTTGTCTTCCGTGTTCTCAGTTTGGACTGGTGGCTGACCCGGTGGATGACTGGCTTGATCGTGATTATCCACAGCGCCTAAAAGCAGCAGCCTTGTTCCCAATTTGGATCGCCTCTCTTATGCAAGGGCTCTACTTATGGGATTGACGCAGCCGCTGAATTAAACCATTGATAAGAGATTATCGCATCGTAGCACCCACCATTTTCCCGACAACACGGGATACCTACGCTATCAGCCCCGCATATTTGGGTGATTTTCTCGGGCTTCCGAGTCATTAGTACTCATTAGTAGTAGAATACACACCTCACGGTATCATGCCGTGCGATTGGGATGTCGAAAAGGTCTCCGTATATATTTTGAAGATGATTGAACACTATCCACGCGCTGCGAATTCATCCATCAGAACGAAAGGGTGATGACGTCACCGGGCGCTTAATTGCTATGCTGAATGCCAGCGTACACGATCGAATGAATAGAAGCCATTATGGTGAGAAGTTGTTGAGAGCGGCATTGTGGGGAGTGATATGATCTAACGGCCAATTACGAACGCATTCTCTATCACCAGACAAAATAAATGAGACGTAGTGCTCACTCTTCGGAAGATCAAGACTAGCCATGGTTCCGTTCGAGAGTGTACGCTCAATTGAAGAGGCAATGAGAGAGCGACGAGACGTGCTGTCTTGGGACTTGAAGAAGATGCAGGATGTCTATAACCGCATCCACGTCAACGAGGGACAACACCGAGGTCCCCGGATGCCAAGCTTAACGAGCCCAGACTCAACAAGCGCTCACTGACAGTTTGATCGTTTCAATGCACACACTTGAATTCAATGATAGAAGAAATGAATTAGATGAAAATGTATGTGAATTGAGTTTTTTTTCTGTAGAAATGAAGCATAAAAATAAGGAGAAAAGAGAAAAGACGGAAGAAACGCAGGGCAATGGTGTGAACGCGGGCGGTATTACGGTACAAGACGCGGTTTGTGAACTAATCTAACGAAAGAAAGAAACTAGTTTTATCAGAGTCAAACTTGCTTCATAAGGAGAACTTGACTTACAAGATCTGACACGTCCGAGAAATCATGGGCAGCGAAGCACATGTTATGTGCTCGTCGCTACACGAGATAGACAGGGCGATATACTGTCAGCGAATGTCCAGCACAGCAGAAACAAAAAGAGGCGTACCATAGCAAAAGCCCATCTGCTATGTTCAAGCTCGGGATGTTAAGTCAACGACCAAGGGCGATAAACGCTCGGAAATAAGCAGGATCATGGCGGGCCCCGAGGATCAAAGAGCGGGTCTGGATGAGCAATTAGAATGATGCGCCTATTGAAGAGATGTTTGAGGATGAAAATACAAAGGGGTATCCCGGGCTGTTGTTGTCGATATCGTGTCGCTGAAGGACGTCTAAATCAGCTCTGAACCAGGAGGCACATTGATATAAAAGACTCACCTCACGATGTCTGCTGCTCGCCGAACAGGGACCCACAATCCAACCAAACCAACGCCACACTTCATCCTTTGGTGGGTTCCGACTAATAGAAAGCGACGATGGCATGCAATCCCACGTACTACCACCCAAGGATCCACCTCAAGACTGAGATTTCGGACTGAGTGACTCCCTTCCACGCCGCCTGGTCACGGTTAGTGTGGGGGGCATGTGCTCTGCTCCTACGTCCCAGTCCAGACACAGCCGCTTCCCTACCAACGATAACAGAAGGTAGTTGGCGACTGGTCATACCGCGTAGGGCTAGACGATGCCAGGTCTAGGGCTACATGATGCGGCGAATAGTGTGTGTAGGTTGGCGAGATTGAATGTTGGGTTCCCGTCTGCGTGGCGGGTGGTGTTGAGAACGTCGAGGACCCCGCCCTGGTGTTTGGTGAAAGGCGAGCCCGTAAAAATGTGTCCGCAGACTGAAACGCATACGGCGTGAATATTGCAGGAGATCAATAGACGTGAAGAACTCGCCTTGCAGACAGCCGTCGCCAGTTCTCAAGGACGAGGTCATAGAAGGCTGCCGCCGACCCGCCTTTGCTGTTTCACGTGAAGGAGGGTTTGGGGTAAAGACGAGGTAGGATAATGTAACGGAGTGGTTGACCGCCCCGCCAAAGATGAATACCAAAGGCGGCTTCGTAAAGAAGCGTTCATGAGCCCGCCATTGTTATGGTGTTGTGTGTGACGACGGCGCTGTTCGAGATTCGGGTGAGGTGAACGCGAACACAGCACCAACGGTGACGGCATACCTGAGAGAAGGGCCGACGTCGCCAGCCCACGTTCGAGGGGATAATGGGTAAGAGTGGAGTTCATGGTCGAAGTTGAGAAAGGCTAGTCAACCTCGAGATGTGGTGGATGAAGGTCAAGAGACGATGGTGGGTCCTTTCGCGGTGGGCGTGCTTCTTATACCCCAGGATAAGATTGTGGTTGTTTGTCTTCCGCCTCCTGAATTTAGATTGAGGCTGACCGGTAGCTGACAATAACCTCGATCGCCTAAGGTGGCTGGCTGATCGCAAGAGATGTCCCCCGCCGGCTGGGCGTCATTAGCCGAACAGACCAGCCTGCGGGTCCAAATCCCAATGGTACTTCCAGAGCAGTCAATGCTCGATGATAAACATCATGATTAGCGCCGGGCGAGTCGTGAATAGACAAATGTATCTCAACAGCATCGTACCTGCAACTACTAGGAGGTGGTGGAACGAACCAAGACACGCATGTCGTAGACCGCGAGGATCGACTTCAAAGCTTGAAGAGATTGGAGAAGACGAGGAGAATTAGGCGCAGCACAATTTCTCATCTCCGCCGTCATTTAGAGACCCTTTCCGCCGTCTCTGAATCGCGCTTTGAAGCCAGAGGCATCATTTGCCGCTCCTTTTTTCAGCTCTGTGGCAACCAATCGCTGACCAGCGCGCTACCAGTGAGGAGTTGTGAGCTAGAGGACTCCATCGACGGACTATAAATATGCCTGTAAGACCGCCAGAGCTTTTATTCTTGAACATGGACATCACCAAAAATAGATCTCGGGAAGCGTGCGCCACATAAGCCGTTTCTGGAAGACGTTTGCCTCCGTCATTAATGTTCATGTCCTCGATCGGGGTCATAGAATAAACAGGAAGTTACTCTTTACTCACCGAAGCCTCGTAATATTCGCCCCTAACTCTTTGTATAGCCTCAGCTCTGATCAGCGCACAGCCTTTTCACCTTGGACAGACGATCGAGAAGATCTTTCAGCAATCCTTCTATGCACGTCAACTTTCTTCTCCAAGGCAGAAGACCCGAAACCGATCTCCCGGAACGCCATGTCCTTCATAGGGAGGGAACGCTTTGGTTGCATCATGTCTTTTCTCAGGGGCCTTGGCGAATGAAAAGAATTCTGAGCCGTGCCCTCTGCCTGACAACGAGCGGGAGCATTCAAGTATATAAAGCCTTGACCAAGGCGGATAGGTTCTTGACCTCCTACCTCCACCACCCTACCGCCCAACGATGCCTTCCTGGTTCTCATCTGAATCCTCTCGTACCCGAGACGGCGCTGACGACTCACCCAACGTCAGTGTCGTCTCCGATCCGTCTCTTATCTCTGGAAGAGACAGATGGGAGAGTGGCAGACCTACGCTGTACACGTTCACGCCGACGGCGGGGAGCGCGGTCACTCTTCTGCCACCGCCAGGCGCGCCGGCTGACGTGCCGCGCTTCCACATCGTCATCACTCAGAACGTGTTCAACCCGCTTGTGCATCGTACGACGGTGTATCGAGGGGAAGCTGAGGGAAGGAGTGTCGTCGGCTGCTTCGAGTGAGTTTTCTATAGCCCCTATTTGAATGAGATGGATTGATGACTGGATTAGGATGGGATTATCGAACCTCCCAGCACACGTGCGCATCCATGGACGAGACACGCCGATAAAGACGATGCTGGACAAGTTCGGCTTTCGCGATTCGGGCGATTATACATGGACGCCTCCGTACCGACCAACTTCCCACTTGGTCTGGGACTATGGAAGCACACCCATCACCGTGAGTCTCGTTTTCTTGGAGTCAGAGCCGATCCTGATGCAAATGTGATAGTGCAAATCCAAAAATCCTCAAACCGGAAAAATCGTGCTCGCGACCTACACACCCGATAAATGGCTCACGGAGCCGAAGGAGGGCGGTAGTGTCGAGGAGGAGATGTCGTTGTCGATACTAGAGGTCAGCCCTGCTGGACAGGAGCTGATCGAGGATGTCTTGATTTCCTTGCTTATTTGCGAGCGGAAGAGGATGGCACCGGGAAAAGACAGCTACACCAAAGCTCTCTTTAATTAGACGTCGAGATTTCCAGCTTCGGCGCTCGACAAGCAGTCGAATAACCTCTAGGTGTTGCAGTTGGAGGAGACGAAGGGACAGTTCGATGATGGTGGCGACGACAATCACCAGTCTTATATTCGGCTTCTGGGGGTTTGGTCGGAAGTAGAAAGTATGCCGGCGCTGAGGGTGCATTGTGTCGTTCTGAAAAGCCGATATATGAACAATATGCAGCAGCGACCATGGTTGACAGTACGACGAATCATTATGATAACGAAGGACAATCGAGCCCTAGCCTAGAGTCAAGTTATGAACAAGGTCAGCTCACACTCGAGGATCTAAATGCTTCTAAATGAGTCTCGTCCACCGACACTAAAGAACAACTCACGTCTTGAAGGTGTGCATGCCGAGTGTTTTGAAGCCGCCAACGAGTCGAAGGAATGCTCGCAGCATGTTAGACAACAGTGTCCATGTTTATCTGCAAGTATACAGGATACGATGATGTACCGACGAGGTTTCGTATCGATTGACCGGGCGGATAGGATATCGATTCTGTTACGCAGACGACATAGGTCTTATCCAAATCGTCTTGCCAATGCTGGGGTTTATACAAGATCACACTGCAGGGGTAAGCCTAGGTCGTGGCACTAAAAAAAGGATGTTCAACTCATTATGATATCCCGTCTAGATTCTTCTCTGAAGTCGCCGACATGGTTAGAGCTAAGACAGGAAACCCTAACCCCGAGCTAGTACTTAGCCTACCACAACTCCATCGTTTCAGCGAAATTTCAACAGTAGACCACCTTCAAGGCAGGCTAAATCGAGGATCTCGACAGTGTGGGTGGGTTGTTCCTGAACTCTGCATACGGTACCGCCCGTAAAACTGATCTTTTGGCCATCGTTGCAGGCATGGGGTCAATCGACGATCTTCCTGTGGAGCTACTCTCCCGTGTTTTTCACTTTCTCTACCTCGCAAATCGCACAGAGCCCGTCTACATCTCATCCCCCGGCTTATCTGAGGCCGACGAAGTGATAACGATGGAATGGGCAGACAAAAACCTTCGCAGTCCATCCCTCTTTCCTTATGCTCCCGCAAGAACGTGTCGCCTCTGGCATGATATCCTCAAGATTACTCCGAAGTACTGGGATCGGGTGGTTTTCGACCTTCGTGAAGATCCAGCGCGGTGGTTGGACTCGCTGGGTTGGTCGAAGCAACTCCCGCTTCAGGTGGGCGTGTTCAACTCGTCTCAGCACCTAGCCTACCGAAACTTCAAACCCGAATCACACCGCAAAGAAGCAGAATTGGAGCTTTCTCGAGTGCAGACGTTGATGGCGGCCCTAACGCCTCATCTCAAGAGATGCACCTCAATTGCCTTTAAATTGGTTTATTCCACCTCTATCCCACCGCCATCCGTTTTTCTCCAATACCAGTCCCTCCTTTGGGAGTTGATTCTTACTTCAAGAAACAGTTTTCATCCTTTATCCCCTCTGTCATCCATCGCCCAGCCATGGAATGTCGCGTCCAGCTTGCCAATCCGAGTCCTTCGTTCTTATAGGCGTTTAAGTCTTCTCTCACTCAACGCTTCGGAACTCGTATCCCTAGCACTTGTGTTCCGAGAACAATTGGACAATCTTCGAATGCCAACGACCAAACTTATAGTCTCTAATCACACATTCCGACGCAACCAGTACAACTCCGACCACGATACATTCACACCAGATGAATTTTTCAAGTACATCAGACATATGTGGCCTCCTTCCGTCTCATTCCGCAATATTCTTATCGAAACTCCTGCCCGACTTTCAGGAGAGCCCTCCGATGACTGCGAGGCCTTCAAGGAGAGCAATTTTGCCTTTGAAAACGTGTCCAAAACCCTCATCTCCACATGCTTCCAGCACCTTCTTCCTCGATTTTTACCACCAATAACCAAATTCAAGTTCTGCGACATCCCGCCTTGTGTTGGCGGCCTCCGCTCCCCGCAGCTTATCCTGGAAAATATCCCGTCCACAACAAACCTTCGCGATATTCTTGGCGAATGGACTGGAACTGACCTCATTGTTAGATCTTCGCCGTGCTTTGACGACGCGTTCCTGTCCTGGCTCGCCCGCGATCGACGCCGCGCTCGATTTTTGGAATCCCTCGAGATTGAAAACTGCGACTCGTTTACAATCAAGGGGTTGCAGAAGCTGGTCCGACAGGGAGCGCAGCCAGTGAGCTCAAACTCGTCATGCATCGATACACTGTCTGTGCGGGGAGATCACTATTCTCTTACAGCTGAGGAGTTCCGCTGGTTCGAGGACATTGTAGAAGATGTCTTGTTTACTACATCTGACGGCACTCTTTATCAGCCCGTGTAGCTTTTTTTGGGCCATGAGCAGGATTTACACTATTATGTAAATAATTCATAGTTTTCCAGGCAACCGACCCGCCCCACTCAACCGTATCGTCTCTCCGTTCACATACGGACAATCCAATATCCACCTCACGGTCTTCGCGAACTCCACTGGCTGGCCAAAGCGGCGTGGGTAGATGATGCCCTCGCTCTCGAGACTCCGGCGTGTCTTGGCAGGGAAGTTGGCAGTCATGCTGCTGTCGAAGACACCTGGGGCGATGGTCACGACGCGGACGGCGTGCCGTGAGAGATCGCGAGCCATGGGGAGGGTCATGGAGACCAAGGCGCCTTTGGTGGCGGAGTAGGCAGTTTGCCCAGGTTGACCCTCGAACTGGGGTAGGGATTAGAATTATATGCAGAAGAGAGGATGTGGCCACTTACTGCTGCAGCGCTCGCCACGAAAACAACGACCCCTCGCTCTCCGTCATGTCCTGGCTCCGGATCGACTTTCACAAGATGTTCCAACACCAACCGCGTCAGATTAAACGAGCCTGTGAGGTTCACAGCGAGAGTGAAGTCCCATAGATCCAAGCTATGTGGTTGCCCGTGTGCATCTATGATCTTGCTTGCCGTTCCAACACCAGCACAGTTGACCACTCCCCCAAGAGGCGCTCCTGTCTTCGCTGCCCACTCGACAGTGCTGTTCACAGCGGCCTGGATGGCAGACACGACCGTGATGTCTGTCTCGAAGAATTTGACTTTTGGGTTGTGAGAAATGGAATCTGGCGGTGGTGAACGGTCGAGGATGGAGATATAGGCGTTTTGCGAGAGTAGATCCTCGACAGTGGCCAAACCAAGGCCAGAAGATCTACCAGTCCAGAAGTCAGCTATTGCCCCCTTCCTCGAAGCTGCACATTGTCGAATTACCCTCCAGATACCACAAGCGTCCTGTTTTCGACCTTCATGTCTGCGTCGACGTACCTGGTATAGGGAAAGAGAGTTGTCGGTCTGCCGCCGGTAGATCGGGTACCTCGATGGACATAGCGAAAGGAGAGTTCCTATTGGCTGGCACGCAATCACGTTCAGCAGAATTAGCACGCACGTGATCTTACGTAATTAACATTTGTACCCCATTCCGACCCCGAGCCGTTTTCTCAGCATCGTCACTGACCGCGTAAACAACATTTCACCGTTCACACACTTGAACTTCGACCACCACTATGTTCAGGCCAGCTTTGCGTTCTTCGGTCAGTATTACCGCCAATATTCAAGCAGATTCATCAGTGTTGACGCGAAACACAGTTCAAACTCCTCCACCCCACCGCACCATCGACACTGGTCGCGAGCAGGTTCACAGCCTATCGGTACCTATCCCAGGAGGCCAGGTCGTCAATAGAGCGGGCTGTCAAGGCCAAGCCCATCGTTCTGTTCATGAAAGGCACCCCCGACGAGCCCCAGTGTGGCTTCTCACGCGCAACCGTTCAAATCCTCGATCTCCATGGCGTCCCACCCGAGAAGATGCAAACATACAACGTCCTTGCTGACCCGGAGCTGAGAAGTGGGATTAAGGAGTTCTCGTACGTACTTTGAAATTATTCCGGATGAGATGATGGAAATTTTGGGATTAGGGAATGGCCCACAATTCCGCAGGTGTATGTGAACGGCGAATTCGTTGGGGGATGTGACATTTTGATGGGAAGTGAGTCTTGTTCACATTCCAAGCGTTGTACGCGCTCTTCCTACCGGTGCTTACTACTCTTCCCTTCCAGTGCACCAATCGGGCGAGCTGGAGACTTTGCTCGAAAACAATGGCGTCATCCCAAAAATAGAGGGCGATGCTTCGTCAACACCGCCAGAAGACGCTTCCAAAGAGAAAACTTCTTCGTAAAGACCAATTGCTTCATACTTACTACACTTACGCCTTGTATTATCTAATTGCACTCTACGCCCTCGAAACATCACCGCTCATGCTACGCTGGACCGGAGTATCGTGCTATTTGGAGTAAGGTTCGTCATGCGCACACTCTGCCAGCGTATCCTTCAAATTGTTTTGCTGCCAACAATGAACTGTTTTCCTCAATGACGGTTTATATGAGGTAGAAGATCATCTTCTCTTTCGTCTATTCAAACTGACATGCTTCCAAGCTCCTCATTGTGGAACGTTCTGCCTCTACCGGCAAAAAATATTAGGCTTGTCAAGCCAAACTAAGCACTATTACCTCTCAACGTCCTCAAGATAGGATCCGGCTTCCGTAGCAAGATACTCTTGTCCCCGGGCATTTGCATAACCCTTCTTCGACGTGAAATTCTGACACGCTAGTAGTGCTGGCTTCACCTACTCATCGCTCTTTATCTTGTAGGAGGCTCTCACGCAGCTGACTTCGTCTACCTCATCCGACCTTGCCCCGTCAAAGACAGTTAGACCTGTGACAGTTCCCTCTATGAGTTATTGTCACGGCGTTGCGCTGGCCACGAGTCTAAAAGACAATGTTCTCCTTCATAGCCATCCTCTACGGAACCCCTCGTCAAGCCGTTCACCTATCGTGTCGCATGAGAACCCAGCATTCCTCTGACCATCCCAGCATCTCGAATTGAGCCAGCCAACATATTTGTTGATTCATCCTGCAAGTAGCCCCATGACCTTTTTTCTAACGTCATTCTTCTACCAGGAGTCCCCGATGGACGTCCGCTCAAGGTCCTCTTCGTCGTTCCGCCGTTCTCGTCCCGAAGTCAGCAGGCAATCAGGAATGAACCGACACAGTTCGCCCCGAGAAATTTGCTAATCTTCCCTGGCTGGTGCTCTTCCTGAATGCGGTTTGGCGGTTTACCTGAGGTGCAACACCATCGTTCTTCGTTCAAGAGAGCCTGACGTGCTTTGCAGGCGTTTCCTTCAGTGACATTCGGTTTATATCAGAAATACAGCCTCGTGGACGCACGCGCCGAACAAAGCAGCGTTGCTTCTTACCGCTCAGCACAGTGTCTGACGTCTGGGCGATCCTAGCAGCTGCCCTAACAAAACGTGCTGAATAGACATCAGCAGCATCACATCGATCCACTGCATGGCATTCCTCGACGTGAAAGACAAACGGGCAGCCACGTCTTCTCTCGTAAATCCAGATCTGCCCTAAGTTGTGGTATGTCCCAAAACTTCATCTTCGTGTTACTGATGTTCCGAACTACTTACGGTACGCTCTTGGTCAAACCGCCATGCTGTTCTATTTTGTGTGATTATCTTGTGCGTTTCGCTGTCAAGAATCGCCCTACGAGCGCCGAGCATTACACTTTGCATGCTGACTTGACTGTTCCAGCACCTCGCAGAAAAATACCGAGGGTTCCTTCGAGAGTATTAAGCGTCCTCCAAGCGCTCCTCGAACCGTCTTATCCGACATGACTTGCTTTTTTTCTTTGCCTCTAAACCCGCTCTAGGTGCGCCGCCTGGCATTTTTCGCCTTCCTACCGTCATCCCCTTCATCGCGTCTACTGTGTCAGGAACTAACGAGGACAAGGATCATGAAAAGCAACCACTGTACCATCATGGTCCACAAAATGCCCTCTCTGCGACCCGGATCCGTGCTAAGCTTTGCTTCGCCGCCCATGTTCTAGTTCCTGAATTCCCGATATGTTTCGGAGACATGAAGACCTCATGACCGTGTTCGTCAACTGCGCGAATACGAGCGACCAGATCCAACTGCCTTTCATAGCAGATGTCGTCAGGGGAAAGGCAGAAGGTTGGTATGAGATCCTTCGTAAGTGCTGTAATTATGACATGACGCATCGCTTATTTCATTGCTCCTTAACCTTCGCGGCAGCCCCCTTGTGTGTGCAGTCTGTTTTCGTGCATGGTCCAGGGACGCTCTTCGGGCATTTAATCGGTTGGTCCGTGAAAACGTGGGTACTGCAGGGACATGCTTTTGTCATCGATTGGACGTTGAGCATAGTCCTGATTCAGACTGTGTGAGTGCGAGGCTGCCTACCGGTTATCGAGCGAGTGTCATACTGATGCGTCGTGTTTAGCGGAAGACATACAGACTTCTTAGAAAGAGCAGGGCGTCAACGAGCTCTAGATGGGCGCTTATCGATATCAACAGCTACACACCCCGAGACCCAACGGCCATCTCGAGCTCTTGTTTGCCTTTCTTGACTTCGGAAGAAATGACTAATATTCTTCGAGTGAATGCTACGATGTTCACCTCAAGGTGGATGGCTTCTCGATAAGCGCCGCTGCGTGCCTTCACGGACATGACTGGAGTACTTGGACCCAGCAGCATCAACACGCATTACCTCGCGGACGACAACTTATGACATGCAAAACAACGCAACACCGACCATGCAAGATTTAATTTCAAGAAGGCCCGTTGGTGTGTGGGTCCAAGACTATTCAAGAGTTCTGTTGTCAATGTTGCCCAAGGCCCGTCGGTCTTGTTTCGATACTTCAGGTACTCTCCGCGATTCTTTACTGCATTTATGACCACTTCTTGAAGTATATTTGACATCATGGGACTTGTTTCGAGTACTGCGGGTGTTGTGCGCCGGAGGATCATTGTTCTTTCCTCAGGTGGACGCTACCTTGAGTTCCTAGGTCTCCATTCTCTGGCCGTTTCCTGTCTTCTTTCCTGATATTGTCGTCCTAGGTAATTTCACCCAAAACTCCATCTCCTCAATTATGTATTTTTCGCCATAAATGCAAATTTATTCGTCGACTCTAGCTCTATCCTACAACAAAAAAACCCGGGCTCGCCACTGAATCTCTGCACCACTAAGGGTATATTATATTTGTACAACCGACGAAGCTCCATGAGGTGGTGTATTTCGAAACATGAAAAGCGTGCGGTTCTACATCTGGGAGTTGTTCGTTTTCTCGACGCATGATAGGCAAGGTATACCCAAAAACAACCCTTTAAAAGCTGGTAAGCAGACTCATGTTCTCTACAGCTTTACCGCAACGGCCAGTGACGCTACACTCCCTCTCAACCTCCAGAGCTTCTCCACAATGGACATCGACAATCGTGCCCAAAAAATATTTGCTACCATCGCGAGGCCAGATGTCCAAGCAACCAAGGCCGACCATTCTCGGCGACACGCCCACGCAATGTCCAGGTACCCCGACCTCATTTCACTACTCACACAAATCTTTCTGACAACAACTTTCGACAGGAAACCCGTTCCTTCCCCATCCGCGCCCAGCAATTCCACCACCGGCGGTTGTCCCTCGAATCCCCCTCTTGCTAATGGACCCCAAGCCATTTGGAGAGACCCTCCGACAAACCATCCGGGGGAGCGCAATGGCGAAATCATGAGTCCTCCTGGGCTAGGGTCTTCACGCCCCACAATAGGTGGTAGTGGAGGCCATGACAAAGGAAATGGTGTTATTTTTAGCGCCGTGCAGCAAGAGACCCGCCTTCTCACCGCTACTGGTAAGACGGGAGGCGGTCGTCCTGCTGCCGTATCCCTCAGGCGAACCGCCTCACAATACCCCGGCCGGTACCCTACCCATTCGTTCGCCGGGTTGAACGAAAGAACTCCTTGGCCCGAGCGAGCTTTGGCTCACAACGCAGGCGCCAAGAAGAATGAGGACACCCAAGGCGAGTACACCGCGGTTGGGGCACAGCCTGCACCTTATCAAGCACCCGGAGGTACTGCGGGGACCGAAAAATGGGCCGTGCAGGCCAGAGAACTTGGCCATGAAGCTAGTCGAAAGCAATCCTCCCCCGAAGGCCGTGGCGCGGCAACTGAAGAAAAATATCCCGACATAGAATTACAGGAGGTGCAGCTTACATGGTTTCAGGCGCCTGGTCGTGCAGGAGGAAGAGGCGATGACACTCAAGCCAACAAACATCCACAGGCTGACCAGCCTCCAGGCACGGCTGCCCGAGCCGTTCGGAGTGCAGTGGTACCCTCCTCCGAGTCCTCCCTCTCTGCATCCACAAAGCTTACCGAAACAGGTGCGGCGCGTTGTGAGCAGGATACCAAATCCGGGTCCCAAATCATCCACAGAAAACCTCAGCCTTCTACCGCCACCTCGGTAGCGCTTGCGCAAAATCCCTTGGCTGTCAATGAGCAGCAGGCTGGACGACAAGCGGCGGCATTGAGCGTCCAGAACGAAAAAGACCGCCGCCAGAAGAAGACGGCGAGGATGAAGGCTATCTGGCTGAGGATATTGGATTTTATATGTTGCCACGGTGATTAAGTGACACAGGAAAACCTTGCGCTTCGCCATCCCACCGTATTATTTTTTTTCCCCTTTTGTTTTCCACGTATCCGCTAAGCTTATGTACCCTCAAGGTAAATATTTAACCGACGACCTGTCTTGTAAAACACATATGGACTCTAATACTCTATATTATGAATTTTTGTAATCATGTAATTATTTTATTTTACCCTCAAGTCATTATAAAGGATCCTTGGGGATCGGAATGCATGGAAACTTATAAGGCCTGGTGTCTTTGAGGCAATTCTTCTTGATAGGCTACAACCCAGATCGAGGAGCTTAATTTGCCGACCGCCGGCGACCAGTGTGGCGCAGTGTGATTACCATAACTAGCAATTATTGTTTGTTAGTGCGGTCGTCTTATATTCGCGGATGCGCGTCGCCGAATAAAGTTTCCAGTGCAGACGATGAAACCCACTGGGCTTCGCTTAATCTGATCGCTTTTAGAAAGATGGTAGGATTAATTGTGCTTAATTTGATTAATCCAAATGAATGTCTCTACTGGTAGAATACGAGAGGGTCGGTTCAAATTGGATTAAACTGGATTAAACTGGTTAAACAGATTAAATAGATTAAACGGACGAACGAGTCATGGATGGAATCGTTCATTGCATATTGTCAGAAGGTGCTAAACTGCGAGCGTTGTCTCCCACCTGAGATACCTTACCACTCAGAATGTGCGACTATTAGCCCTTGCACGACCTCGATTAAAAGGTGCAGTGTGGTGCGTAGGACTTCCCGAAATAGCAGACGAGGCGTGCCCCCCACAGAGAACTACAAGGAATGGTGGGAAGAAATTGGCTCGACGACTGGAGTGCGAACGTCACGATGGCGGCCACCTATATGGTTAGGCCAGATTGACGATGTAGAGGGAGGGTGTTGGCTCCTGAATTTGACTGGTAGGTGTTTATTGTATGGGATAACGAAAGGGGTTACATACCTTCAGTGTCCAAGTGGGACTGTTCCAGAGAGAATGAAGGTATAGGTATATCGATGAGGACTGGGGGGTAGAAGCATCCCGAGTATCTGATAGATGATAGATACGTCGTGATATGCCGAACCGTAAATGGATTTGCGTAGGAAACGGCTACTTCAACGGTGTTGGCAGACGGTATCTTGACGGTGATTTTATCGGCGACAAAATGTTCGGAGCTGCGTCTCGCTGCCATTGCTGCCTTGCTCAGCTGGCTGTAGGAGGGGAGTATAAGTTTGGTTGGGCAGCAAATTTGCATTAGAGTTGGCCACGGTAACTTTGGGTCAGAGGGAATTTGTCTTAGGGAATTTGTCTTGAACAATCCGACGCAGAGCTATGCCCGACATCCTTTCGCATTCCCCTTCAGAGTCGACCTCGCAGCATTGCCAGAACTCATCCGACGTCGAGTCGTGTGATCCTTGGGACGATGAATCCTCATCTGGAGTCTCGCGATCTCCGTTTTCATCGGCATTGGGGTTCCAGAAAAACCGGGCACACAGGAAGACATCCATTTGGTGGGTGGAGTGAGAGAGCAGCCTGTCGAGTGCGCTATCAATTGAATCCCAGTTAGGTCTGCTGAAAATACATCTGGGATCATCCCAGATTCGGAGGCGATATAGAGGGTGAGGTGCAACTCGCGCAGGAGATGGTTGGCTGAGGTTAGGAATTTTTACATGTTTGAAAAGCGGTTGAAAAGCCACTGAGGCTCAGGATGGTTGTCCCTAGATAGGGCTTCCCCCCTTGATGAATGCTCTTCCGCCTCCGCCTCCTCTTGTTCTTCTTCCTCGTCACTACTGTTGTCGTCTGCACCCGATGCTTCACCTGCGCCTTTCCACGTTGGTTGATCAATCGAGACATCAACGTCTAGGTTTCGTAAACGGGACATAGCACTCAAATCTATCATGTCCATAAAGAGCTCGTCGTCGTCGTCGGGTGGCACCCGTGAAGGACTTTCGGGGAGTTTCAACGAGAGGTGGCGAATATAGGTCGAGATAGTTGGGTTACTCCTCCGCGGACACGGCCCTCCTTCGCGTACTCGCAGACGAGCCCCCGAGCCAGGCAGCGCTTGCAGGCTGGGTTGCGGGCTCGTTTGCAGTTTATCAGGCTCCTCACAGGGAATACAGACGTGAAGAATCTCGTCGAGCTTCTTCCAATCTTCTTTTTTGTCCCAGAGGGTGGGCAGGTCGATCCTACCGAACATATGCTGTTGGCAACGTCGACGGAAGATGTGTCAAGCCAAGGCACAATTGGCGAACATTTTGCATTCTGGCTCCCGAGGGTCGAGGACCGCCGCACGGGGTATCTCGTCGACGGTCATGTCGATAAGTTCCGGTGGTATATCAGTTATGAAGTTCATGGTTGGGAGGCAAGGAGGGTGTTGCCATATTTGTTCTCGAGTTTTCAACGATGCGTGACGCGAGACGCGACCTCTGGATGCTTTGCAGAACTTCGACGCGGCCCAGGCTGTGCTAGAAATGACCATCTCGATATATAACGTAACATTGACGCCTTGCACATCTCGGGTTTGAGGCAGATCACAATACAGAATATGTCGGACGCTCACAATTTGTTCGTCATAAAAATTCCCTGCCAGTGTTCTAATTCACGTCCAATGTGTGTTTGCGATGAAAGACGACCTTGTTATAAGCCTTGGTCAAAGGAAGTTTATCCTGAAAAATCTTCGCCAAAGCGATACCACAAAGTCTTTCACATCCGTCTTGATATCCGGGACTGCCATTGTACCAGAACTCTTCATGAGAGTCGTAGGAAGCACTCCTTTCTGGGTTGGCGTCCACTTCCAAGGAACAATCTTCGTCGCTTGACTGAGTCGATCGAGGTTCGTCGGCCTCCGAATTCCAATAAAACGAGAGGGAAAGGTGGAAAGCGAGTTGATGATTCGTACCATTGGAGTGCGAGAGCCACCTAGCCAAGGCTCTGTCGACTAATTTCCAGTTCGGATTGTTGACAATATGACTGGGGGGACTCCAGGAATCATAGGACAAATATAAGTTCAAGTGCCCGAAGAAGATCATTTGCAGGAGAGATGGACAGCAAGATGCTTGAAAAGCCGTCGAAAGGGATGTCCTCACTTGGTTCATCGGGACAACTACCGTCGGGATCCATTAGCCCGATCCCATCGCAGACGTCAATATCCAATATGTGTACGCGTGTCGCTTGGCTAAAATTGAATTTCCCCACATAAGATCCACGAACTAGTCGGTTTGAAAGATTGAGTAGGATGTGGGCAAGGGTTGAAAGAATCCTACACACCCATGTGAAAGTCACTCTCAGATTTGAGATGAAACTCTTCGAGAGAAGCTGATGCTATGTCGATGACAAATTGCGTCCCGGTAAGCTCTTCAACAGTATCCTCCATGCCAATCCAGAGACAGCGGAGAAAGGAAAAGATAGGCATCCGTGGAGACACTCGAGGCGAAGAAATTATACAGGTATTCAGTCTTGCTACGGCTTGCGATGATTTAGAAAATCTCAACCTTTGAATAACGTCCCGAAAGGCGTCTGTTCCGGAAGGATTGAAGTCGGAGACGTCAACGTTGTCCAAATGGATTCGCTGGAGCTTGAGGCACTTAGAAAGCGTTTGAAGAGGCACATCAAAGTTCGCAAGGTGAACTTGTTGGGCGCGCGGAGCGACGAATGGATACCCAAAGTCGGACAGAAAACGTTGAGGGAGTGGAGGTGATTGGTCGTTCGTCTCCGGCTCCAACAGCTGTATGACTCGCAACTTCCCTCCTGCATCAACAGCCTGCAAGATTCGCAGGAATATTGGGTCAGCGGATTCCATAGCCCACGAATTATCTTCGCAGTCGAGGGAGAGTGAAAGCTCTAGAATGTAGGTCGGGATAGGGGAGTTGCTTTGAATGAGGCGATCCAACGTCTGCCAACACTCTATCTTCTTCCGATGTGTTAACAGTGAGGAAACTTCGATCTTGTAGAAGAGATGCTGTTGGCAAGCTGAGCGGAAGGCTCTGGAGAGTCGAGACAAGGGAGCATTCGGCGAGGAATCTGCGAGTTCCTAACCATGTTGAAAATTTGTGGAAGTAGGGGTCCTTCGCAACTATTTCGTGGATAATTGCGTCGATAAGCTCTTGCGGAAGAGGTTTCACAGACGTTCGAGGTCGATGGATTGAGTTCTTCTGCCTTCTCATGGTGGTAATGGACGGGAAAAGGCCGTGACTCGATTGGTCTTGATTATTTAATTGATTAGTAACACGCTGCCATTCGGCTTCAGCTTCAACGTTCGACCTTTACAACCATGTCCTTTCAACCCCAGATTCATCGACCTTTGTGTAATGTCCTCATAGACCCAACTTTACGGGACGGAGACGTATCTCTCGCCTCCGTATCTCGCCCCAGAAGTCGCCCCCAAGAACTGTTGGCAAGAGGCGTTCGCGTCGTTGGGGCTGACACTCTGAACCCAGACGAAGCGCCAGGCTCGGACAGCAACGAAAAGTCAGACTGGTTCGGATTTCACCAGGTCTTCCTAGGTGCTGACGGCGTCATCGCTGAGAATCTGACCCACCTGGAGGAGCCCGAGAAGGCGCTGAAGACAGACGGAGACGAGGAGAGGTGGATTGTCAGTCTGATTCTATTGAAACTGGTCGGAGCGGACGTATCGCCAAAATGAACCCGTGAGCATACGTAATTATCTCTCTCATCTGTCTCGCCATGCCATCGTGTCCTGCCTGTTTTTATCTACGCGAGGTCAAGACGGAGCTTATGTCCCATCTATCCAACTCAGGAAACCCCATGACGAAGATGAAAGGCACTGCCGCCTCGACGCAGCTCGACGCTGCAACAAGGTGATATTAGAGGATGGTAGAGTCCTAACGGTACATCTATGGCAACTGTTAGAATTTCCGGGATTGTCTACATAAACGGCCGCAGGATGCCCTCCGTGCAGACAATCCAACGCCATTTTTCGAGCATCCTTCCCCTCCTCGGAAGTGCCAGGGTCTGCCTTTGACCTCTTCACATTTTTCCCATCACGCGACATACGGAACCTATGAATCCCAGACCGTCAGCCCCTCGGACATGCAATCTTCCCCATCTCCAACCCCCGCCTCTGCCCTTCAAATCCCTCCTCTCAACACCACAAGCAGGCGGAGCAACCACGCCCGACGGAAAGACCCCAACTACATCCCGCGCCCGCGCAACGCGTTCATCATCTTCCGCTCGAGCTTCATCGCCAGCCACCACCGGGACGCCGCCTCGCTCTTTGAGACCCAGAATAAGCTCAGCAAACAGGCCGCGATCGTCTGGAATGGGATGAGCGCCGAGGAGAGGAAGCCCTTTCAACAGCGGGCGATGCTAGAGAAGGCCGAGCACCTAATCAAGTATCCCGGTTATAGTTATGCTCCGGGAGGGGTGTCCGAGAAGGGGAAGGGTGCGGGGAAGAGCAAGAGCAAGCAGGCGAAGAACCAGCACCAGGGTGGTGATGCGCCTTCGCCTTCTCCTCTTCCGTCTTTGCCAACGTCGTGTGGTGGCCCGGTGATGCCCCAGCAGCCATTTGCGCTCGCTTCTGCCATTCCGTCGCAACAGGCTTTCCTCACCACCCCATACGATGAAGCTGCCCGAAGCGATGCAGCCACACCGGTCAAAGAAAAGGTCAACTCATCCTCTCTTTGTTTTCTGCCTTGTCCTAACGCCCTTGTCTTAATATCAGCTTGACACGACTGCAAGGCCTTTCAACTACAGTGTCGTTGATTCGCAGTTTGCCGGCAGGCGCGAATATCGCACCGCCAACGAGGCGTTGCTCGCTCTCCCTTCCGCCGCACCGCTCCTCAAAGACGATGGCTGCCATACCCTGCAACTATCCTACGTCACCCCCTTCGCCTTGCCGATTTCAGATCGCATCCGTTCACCCCCTGTGTCTACACTTCCACTGGGGCTAGCTCTCCCCCACCCAGATACTTTTACAACCCCTACTCCAAACGCCGTGGTGACTCGGAAGCGTTTGATTTTGGTGGTCTACCCATAGTGGGAGGAGAACCGGCTGTGCAGTACGCGCAGGGCATGGATGGACTGTGGTATCCTGTTCAGTACCAGAAGGGGCCGACGCAGACGGCGAAGATGGGTTTGTTCTTCGACTACCATGGCAATATTACCGGCTACCTATGATTCCTTTCTTCTCATGAGCGAGCCTTCTTACTACATGCCCAACCCAGAAATCAGTATAGAGTATAGGCTGCATTTATGTATGGCTTTCAGACGCAACATAGTTACACAATCAATTCATATATTTCACTCAGAGATTCAAATACAGCAATAAAACATCTTCGAATTATCTCCCTTCTTCTTTCGCTCAAAGTTTCGAGACAAACCACTCAACCGCCGCTTTGAACGCGCCTTCCTTTCCTGCCTTCACCTTGGGGTCGTTGATATCGCCACGCACAGCGAAGCCATGGACGACTCCCTCGAAAAACTCGCGCTTGTATCCAGGTGCAAATTTGCCATCGCCGAGAATGGAGTCGGCCAATGCGGACGACTCGAGAGGGAACTGTTGATCGACGGGGCAAGTGTTCAGCAAGAGCGGTGCCTTGGATTGAGCTGCATATTTCTACAGTCACAAATGATCAGGCCCTCCATTCGCATGACAGAGTCAACACGATACAAGCAACCCACCTCAAGATCAGCAGGAACCTGGAGCAGCGACGGGTGCGAGGCAGCCGAGGCTTGGATGACGTTGTCAAAGGCGAGATCGAAGACATATCGCCCACCAAAGCAGTAGCCCGTCGCGCCGAAGACCGTGATGCCCTGCTCCTTGAGCGCATTGATGACCTTGTCGAGGGTGGGCCGCGTCTGCTCAGGCCCGTGCGACGGGAACCACTTGGTAATGTCGAAGGTTTTACCGGGGTTCATCGCATCGGGGGGGATGGGGTCGCCGTTGAGGTAGTCCGGCGCGATGGTCTGTTATCGGGGCGATGACGCAATTGGTCAGGGGCTTCGCGGTAAATGGGAACGGTGCAAACCTTGAATCCGTTGGCAGCGAAATCGTCGACCATGAGCTGCGTGAAGGACCGCAGTTAGGCTTGCAAACTGGAACGGAAGTGTAACCACCGCACCTGGGCGTTGACGAGCTGAGGGCCAAACACATCACTGAGGAACAAGATGGCTTTGTCCTTCGGGTAGTCCACAGTGGGTGTTCCGACGTAGCAGTCAACGCCGCCAATCTTCTCCCACTTGCCTGCAAGACTTCATTAGAACTCAATGGTCGTCAATCTCGAGGATATCATACCTTGAGGGGTGCCTTCCCAAGTAGTGCCTAGTACGATGAGAAGCAGATAAGATAACCTTATGGTTAGACTCTAGCGCACAGCGAAAGCTGGAAGACGCACCCTTGACGCATTCCTTGCAAAAACTCATCCTTGATTTCGCTCAGCTAAGTGGATGTTGGGGGAGTACAAGGGGCAGTGGTAGTGGTGGTTCAAGAAGACGATGGAGATGGGAAATCTTGTCAGAATGTGGGGAAACCTCCGGCCCGGTGAGCAACCGGTTGATTTGGTTCCTATATAAACAAGATATTTGCCTCGCTTCGCTTCGGCCATAAACAAAATCCGCCACTGAGCAGAATCTCAGAAGAATAATTTCGGATGAAACTCGAATTCCTGTAGGACCACGGCGCAAAAATGAACAAAACTCAAGGACTTGACTTGGAGACTGGCGGCTTGAGAATATGCGGAACCTAGCCCTGTGTCATACGATCAAAAGTTGACATTTTGGAAGGGGTGGAATCTCAAGAGACTAAAGTCTGGGGCTAATGGAACCCGGAAAGGCAAGCCTGTGGCTCATGTGAAAGAGCAGAGTTGACACGATAGACACGCGCAGTGCAGCCGAGCAGACGCTTATGAGCGCTTATGTGAAAGGAGAAAAAAACAGGGGATGAGAGATGAAGATGAACACATGTGGAGGGAGAGAAAGGGAATAGAGGAGCAGGGAAGTAGAGGATCAAAAGTTACAACGGTGTGTAGGGTACAGTATTAAATAATTGTCGGTCATGCAATACTCTAGAAAATAAGGACACATAGACTAACGGAATAGGAGGGGAAGAGAAAAAATTAAGAAGCATTGAGGGGAATCGAGGATAGGACATTGCCTGATGACCCAGGGGTAGAACAATAAAGTGTCTGAGGGAGGAGAGACGAAACGGGAAAACGGGCACGAGCAGACGTACAAACAGACGTACACGAAGTCGAGGGATCTGCTTCATTATAGAGGTATATTCAAAACACGAAATCGCAGAACCTGTATGGGAATCTGGAACTTTTGGCCGAGCCAGACTCATTCCTATTGCCCAAGCACCCGGATGTGATCCCGCGAAGTTCAATCGCAAATGCTGTGATTACGACGTCTTTCAAGTCCAAAAACTGAAATCATTGAAAGATTAATACACATTCCTTGTGAGCACGTACGACTGTATTATTCATCAGCTGAGTAGGGAAGTCCTGCCGGACATACAAGACGTCTATTTATTGTCATCCTGGTGAGCACATCGGCAAGGTATCCTGCCCCGGCTGTCGAGCATACGTATGTGCAGGCGAAAGGAAGCTCCCTTATAGAACTTGAAATAGGCACCAGATGTACAAATGGTTGACGGGAATCAGCGAATCGGGCAGCTCTGAATTCTAATAATAAGCGCCGTCTCGGTTCCCTTTTCGACCTCACGTCACCTCTTCATCCCGTCAAGGCCGACGCTTCATCTGAGTAACCCACCCCTCCAACAAACATCTTGTAGAACGTACGATCGTCGGACTCAGCCCACGCAGACTCGAACACCTTCACTGCGCTGAATATCTCCTCCCTCCTCCTCATCTCTTCATGGCAATGCGGAAACTCCAACGGCCACTCTCTATCCAGCGGACCGCAGAATTGCTTAGAACGCAGGCTCATCCTCAGGTACACGAAGACGTACATGTTCGCTTTCATGTTGAGGAAGGGTTGTGGGTGGATGCGCGCTCTGGTGCGCATGAGCAGTGAGCTGGTTTGTGGGGTGATCTTTCCGGAATTGGTGTCCGGGGTGAGCCGAGCGATGAGATTGCCCTCCATCCGCTCGAGGTCCGGCCAGCTGAATAAGCCCTTCCCGAGGACATCGAGCCAGAAGTCAGCGAGTGGTAACTTGTGGATTGTCTTCCTCTCTGAGCTATGGCAGAGGATTTGGTATGCGTGCATGAAGGCGCCATAAAAATACCTGAAGTAGGGTAGGGTGGCAGTTGGAGGGGTTGTTGCCTGCCCTTACGCACTAGATTCTCGAGCAAGACCATAGCGCTGAGAGGCACACTGTCGTCCAGCCGGGAATCCAGGAGAATACGTTGGATACGACTTTCGAGACGGAATTGCCACCAGCTGTGCTGCTCTGGAGTATATGGACCGTCGTCAGCAAAGAGGTCTGTCATATAGCTTGCACAGAAGGCGGCAACGTCCTCGTAGTACGTCTTGGGATAGTACAATGCCTGATGGGCGTCATAAATGTCCTCCATGTATGAGCGAAATGTGCAGGGTTGCATCCAGTTGTTGGTTTGCTATTGCTGGGAGACTGCTTCTTCCATCGGCGCACCGCTCCTTGTAAATCCAACAATGGAACATCCGTCGAGCACACAATAACGATGTGTAAGGGAGCAAAGCAGAATACAAGGTGGAATCAAATGGGAGGGTGCTCGCATGGGGCTAGGTTAGATTGCTCGGCGCTAATGTTACTAAGATTGCTTCGGACCTCCTCGTGTTACTTTTCTCTTAACAAGCAGGCTTTCCAGCCATGTTATGAGGTACGACATATACAAATACTGGCCTGGATTGACGTTCTGCCACTTCTACCATGCAACGAACTCAAACACCTCAGGACCCCTCAGAAACCCCATCGCCTTCTGCAAATACTTTGGAGGGGTGAGTTCCTTCTTCTTCAACTCATCCAGATTATCTCCAAAAGCCTTGTTTCCGAAAGCAATGACATTCATGTTGATGTTGTCGTCCAATGTGTGCCCTCCGCAGATTGGATGCTCTGTTTTGTCTATGTAGTCCAGAATCTTGAACACGACTCTGTCGATTCTGCTGTCCTGGGAATCCTCAGTATTCAAGAAATGCATGATCTTCGCCCGGTCAATGCCATAACCCTTAACGTAGGTCCGAGCAGAGGAAGCCTGAATGGAGCGTGAGTAATTTTCCAGTACAATGCACCACACAGACCATATTGAGGGTGTTGAAGAACTTGAAATTGGGATGGTGGTGATGGCGGTGGTGTTTGACTTGGATCGACCAGTGACTGGTTGACTAGTATTAATGGGGAGAGGCAACGCCGGCTGAGCTTGATTTGTTTGTACATGTTGCGCCTGCCTGCATATGGCCAGTAAATGTAGGAAAATGAGATTTCCCCCAGCAATTCGACAGATATAGCCGGATTTTGCCTGCTGATAAGACTTTTGTCCCAATCTGTAAAAATCCTTCTGAACAGATCATGAAAATAGGTGCGCGTTGTATTAGATCAGTAACCAAAGTCTGCATTGGAGGAGGATTTCCGATATTTTTTTCAGAACAATTTTTTTGGAATGCCCTCAAATGGAGATCAGTGCAAAAATATATTTGTGAGACACGTCGAGCCTCATTAAGGCGATTATGTAATACACATCAAGACGCGTCTCGATGCGTTTTGCAGCATCTATGGGCAATACACGGCATTCTACCCCACTAGACCGTCTACTACAACTCATATATTTATTTATCTACACTTAAAATGCATCACTAATGGTTCAGAAATACAAAAAAGGTTGAGGCAACCATTGCAGTAGCTAAGTAGGAGCTTGGAACAGACACTGCAAATGACCCTTGACACGACCACTTCTAAGACAAAAAATACAGTTCAGGACAAGTTCAGCAACCAGAACAATCAAAAAAATAATATTGAAGGCCAGGATTCAGCTCTTCGGGACCAAACTTGAAGGAGGCCAACTGCGCAGCGACTCACTAGAAGGAGACATGGTTGGTCCTCAAGCTACAAAAAGTACTAATAGTCTCTTGAGGTCACATTTAAACAAGGAATGGCCTCCATTGTGGTGCTCAAGACTCTCCGCGATTCTCTTGTCGACATTGACCTCTGTTTCCCCGTCTTTTGGTGGCTGTGCACTTAGTCATCAGCCATCAATCCACCCGAGCATTGCCCCTCCCCAGAACTTAGTTCAACTATCCATTTGATTGGACAGTCACGTGGAACAGCACTGTTTTTGACTGCTGCTTTGACCTGGTCAGAGGCCTGAGAGGTGGCGCGTTGAATGAGATCACGAAAATCGCCGTCTTGAGTGACCTTGTCAGGTGGTGGTAGGCCCTTCATCATGGAGATCGGTGCCTTTTCTTCGGCGCCACCTTGTAGCCATGGTGCACCAGTATCTGTAAGCCGTCCGATTCCAATGTCCGGCTTGCTGTTTCTGGGATCAGAGGGACGGAGAGGGTTCCAGTAAAGGGATAATTGAGGCAGAATCACAAAGGATGGTCATCCAAGAAGAATTTTGTGCTCAATGAACATCTCGGTGACAACGCCATACACGATGCTCTCCTCCAATCGGCCGAGGACCGATTTCCAGGAAAGGTCGAGGAGAGACTCCAGCACTTCGTCGTTCTAACGAATTTGTTGGTATCTTTGAGTTTACCGTCACTGATCATATAAATGCTCACCAGGGGACAAGTCATGGGGTCTCTTTGAACAGTTGCCAAGGACGCGAGGACGCAAACTCGATAATTCAATTGGTTGCGGTCCATATTTCATCATTCGAACATTCGGGCCATACAATCGTGACGAGCTCACCACCCGCCTCCATCGCCCCAACGACAGCGGTGACTGGCTCATGACCAACCTCAGCCAAGAAACACAGAACGCTGCCAGGTTCAAATCAATTGAGGAGCCTGTCCACCTCATCAGGACTTCAAAGGCAGCAATTGCGGTTCACAAGTATTTGATTGAGGGCACGATGTTGTACGACCCTGACCCCAAATGTCGGAACATTGTTCCTATCATGCAATAGACAGAGGGAGGTAGCACAGTCAATGGGAGAATCAAGGGAGGTAAGGCTCAGCCATATATTCTGCAGGCAAGTCATTGAAGTGAAGGTTTTCCTTAGAAGACGGAGGGGCAATAAGCAATGCAGTCTGTCCTTTTGTAGATACTACCAATACAACCAACAAGCCATTTTGAAGAGAAGAGTTATCGACAATGCCACATGTCCCATCAGGGGTTGATGAGTGTGAATGTATAAACCTCCAGAGCAGGCCCTGTGGGCCACGTCCTGAAGACCGTGAAGAGAAGGATCTCTGGGAGTGTCACATGCCCTGTCGACCATTGAAAAGTTGCACTGTGCAGATCTCTTTGCTACTCCTCATCCACGACGCTCGAGCACGATGTCGTCGTCTGACTCTGATTGCAAGGTGGACAGGATCGCGAAACTATTGGAGCCACTCAAGACCTATACCCCAGGCACATTGACTTGTCAGGATGCCTCAAATGGCGAAGTCCATCGAGATGCCTCAGCAGCTTCGCATGCTGAGATGCCCTGACAGGCAGAATCCGTCGGGAGGAACGAACCATATAGCAGTTCGTTGAACTGGTGTACATGCACCTACAAGCAGAGCTCATGGTGAGAACTCGCCCTACTGGCTATGGCCATTCTAGAGATGCCTCAATAAGCAGAGATCCTCGATATGTTTAAGCGCAATGCCGCCACATACGAGCATTGCGCCCTCTCAGAGGTGCCTGAAGGGAGCCGCCCCTCATGATACTTTGATGTGACGACCAAAGTCGTCTGCCACTATGTTTAATGTGTCCTTGGTCCGCACCAGTGTGTGGTCGCCTCCTCAGCAGACCACTGCACCCCGCACTCTTCACCTATGCTGGTATGACAGGACAGGACGCTCTATTTGCACACCGAGTAACGTTTCATTGGCGTGCTCGATGCTCGCGACCTTTGCAGCCCCCATGACGAGGGGGCCGGCGCACGGACCTCACGGGTCCAAGCATCACAATGCTGTACAAGAGCGCACATTGACAATTGTTCTTTGCACCCTATTGTTAACCATTAAAACACGGCACTCGCTGCTGGGATAACTTCGCGCACACGTGACTTATGAGTCCTGAACCAGCTGTGCGGCCCTCTTCTCTCTACGCGACAGGCATACTATTTCCTCGCTTTCGCGATTGCCTATCGTTGCCCGCCCCACACCGATTACCGCGAAACAATTGCTGAAGAGCGTGCCCCCCCAAATAGAGTGGCTGACAATTACACCAATTGAATAAGGCCACCAGTCATATCATTCCAGGCTACGCCGAGAAGAGCTGGGACCAACGGCACCCAACTATTCTTACCCTCCATGCGAGGCTGAGAATGTCCGACACCTGACGTACTTTCCGGGAACCCTGACAAGCATGGCCCCCTCGCCCGCCGTACAGAAAGCGTCCCCGAGTATGAATGTTGGGTGCAGCGACACAAGTCCACATCGGACTCCTGTCAAATGAAGAATTACCTGTCGTTCCGTGTTATACAAGGTCATACAGTGCGCCACGGTTCACAATCAGTGAAAATATGAGCCACGATGTGCTCATTTCTAAGCACAATAAGCTACTTAACTTTTCATTATAACCGCCAAGTCCTGAGACTGTGAGTCTTCTTGGGCCGCTATGACTATCCTGGATGATGATGAGTTTGTGTCAGGAGATGGGAGAACCCATGCGGTTTTAGTTGTATGTCCTACCTGGAAAACCTTTTATTGAAAAGCTATGCAGGTCGGGGAAAGTCCGCTAGCAGTGGTTAGAAGTAACACAACGGTGATGGATACTTGGAGTAGTTGTGGCTTGTACCTCTACGTGCCCACGAACCGGTCATACCCTCATTGGGACCTCCCCGGGACTTCTATCTTCCTTCCTTTGCAGTTGTCACGCATCACAAGCCTCGAAGAGTTGGTCGTGTTGGTACATTAACCTGACATCTTGTTGTATTGTCATCTCACTCCTTTTGTATGTGAGCCATCATTAATAAGATTTGGATTAGCTCCGCTGCCGACGAACCAAAGTGGAAGTTGGAACCTGCGTCCAGCCGGGTGTTAGCTGGAGGGGCGCACCTTTCTCACGCTACATCCTTTCTTCCACCACATTCCATCGCTCGAAGTCGCGGCGCGTACATCTCGAAAGCTCGCACACGCCCGTTTTTCGCCCACCCACCCTTCCCTAGTAGATTTATCCTAGCACCCGTCGTCCATAATTATGGTTTATCCTCGACCATATTACACCTCCAGCTTACACACAAGCACATAATGTGCTCAAATACATAATTATCATAATGTTTCTGGTCGCAGGGAAGTCAAGAGCGAGCCAAATTATCATCGAACAAATTGGGTCTCGCCCTCCCAGCGGCCCAATTTGCTCTGTGTTCCATTCTGAACTAACGTTCACGCCCAGCCCAACCTACTAAGCTCGCACCTGGCTCCTCCTGCGACAGACGAGGTTGGAATATTGATTCCATACCCTCTGGGATGCAGCAGGCTTTTTCTCATAGGCAGTGTCTCAAAGGTGTTGAAATTTGCTCTGAGTGCCCCGTCTGAATAACGACAACAGCCTAACAATGCCTCGCGAATTATGACATTAGTAGTCTCAAAACTGATTGGTGAAATCCCCATCACCTCTGGAGTGTTGTCTTTCCCAACATGGGTGCAGTTGCCCTATTTTATAGGCGTGTCCCGTCACGCCATCGAAGGTTTACTATACCGCAAGATATTGGCCGCAAGGTCCCGACTTGGAACCTTACGAAATACAAAGCGCGCCTACCGCTGGACGAAGTCGTCTGACGTACCCGCTACGGTGTGCGTGCCAGTAGTTCCCATGAGGGATTTGGGTACACTATCTTGACTTTGAGGGACAACTCGGAGGAGATCAAGTGGAAATTGCTGAACAGTGGTCAAAAAGTGTCCCAAGATGATATTCAGAGCCACCTGACAGGGGCCGAAGCTACCATGTATAGACAGGTATCTCGCAGTATCTGACATGGAGTTTCGGACCCCTGCTGTTAGATATGTCAGTAACTTGTCAGTTAGTTGTTATATACCTCTAGGTTACTAACACCGAACCAACCAACCCAGCACTACTCGGATTCAGATGGACAGCAAAAGTGACGTCACGGGCGCTTACTGACCTGCCACAAGCGTCAATTGTCGCCGTCCGTCTGGTTGGATGGCTTCAACGTCAGAATGCGTATACGGAGAAAGAAAAACGCGCGTACAGGTGCATATCGGGTGGCGGGTCAGAAGAGAACAGAACTCCGGCTCGATTGCTTGATATGTTTTTCGAGTCTAGTACAGTGCTATGCCACAACAAACTCTATCGGTCACTCTAAGAATACATCGTTATCGTAACATGATACACACCGCAAGCGAGCTGGGATACAAGAAGAGACGTAGCGAGAGGTGACGATGTTAAACAAAAAAAAAAGCGAGGACAGCAAGAGAAGAACGGCACACATCTAGAGGGGTTGAAAGACCTAGAGGTATAGATGGACGTGCATGGAGACACACAGAATAATAGCGATCGTGATTAGGACGATAGGATGTCATGGAACAAGAAGAAATGAAAATGCACAAAACGACTGCAATAAAAATAAAGTAAATGAGAAGCCTTGTCCAGGTGGAGACTCCGGGGTAGGGCAGCAACTCAGCCGTGGATTTGTGCATCACGTCCGCCGCGAACGAACGACCAGCCCAGCATCCCAAGTACCGACGACCCAACCGTCCTCTTCGAGAGCCTTGCGCACAGCAGGCTTTAAGACGCTGACTTGGCCGGCAGAGTGCGCCCCGCGGCCGGTGATAATCTTCATCGGTTTGGCTTCAGATTCCAGACAAGTGGGAGGACGTTAAGGGAGGGCGCGTAGAGGAAGGATTAGATAAGGGAGAGATAGCGCAGAAGTAGACGTCGAGTTTGGGGCGAAATGGCAAAGAGATGTGGTGGAGAGCAATGCCGGAGAGCAGTGACGAGGTCGAAGAGAGGAAGAAGCGCAAGCAAGGGCAGCAACTGAGCCAAAAGCAACACATGAACAAAGAGCACAGAGAACCTACCCTGCGAGATGGTTGACGCCCGGTCGTTCAGGATCTCTTTGGCGATGGTGATCGCCTCTGAGACAGTCGTCCCATGTAGGTCGATTGTGTCTTGGTTACCGTGGGTCCTCCTAGTGCCTCGTTCAGAATCAAGGAGCCAGGAGAACATCGAAGACTTTGCACACCTCTTCGAAAGCACGAGCTCGCGTGCAACGCTCAGCATCTCCTCTCTTGCAACTTGCTCCAGCTCTCTTGCCTACCAACTCTATCAAAACCCACTCAACAACGAAGTGCAGAAACCGACTTACCCTCTCAGCATAATACACCGCAACTTCACCACCCCGATTCTTCGCGTTCCCCTTCTGCCACATCCGCGTCGCATCTTTCAACGCCTGATCACGCTTCGCCATGGCCACACTCATTCGCTGCTTGAACCCCCCATCGCCCGATAACGACCCCGAGTGCGAGTACGACCGCGACCGAGAGTGCCGGTTGGTCTTCATCCCGTTGACGTCCCTCGAATAGGCCGGTAAGTGGTGCGCGAGCGGGTGCGGGCCACGAGGGACTTTCGTCCGTTGTGGGACGGCCTGCCACTGGTATGGGCAGGGCTTGTTAGGCGTGCTGGTTGGTGGTGGTGGCTTTTGTCTATGCTTTGCTGGAGGTGGGGGTATGTCGGGCGGATGTAAGGGACGTTTCCAGGCTGATGTGCCTTTCTGCTTCAAGGGAGTGGAGGTGTGTTGAGGGACAGGAAGATGGGTCAACCCGAGGGCAGCGTCCGAGTCGAGGTCGCGTAGGACAGAAAAGACGTCCAGGGCAGCGTCACCGTCGCCATCCGTCACTGTTACCGCGAGCTGAGCATCGGAGGTCACACGAGAGAGGAGCTCGGCATCGCAGTCGTCGTACTCTGGGAGGATGATGTCCAGGAGATTGAATAAAACAGAGGTGTGCGTGTCTTCGTCCGTGGATTTGCAAAGAGATGAGAGGCAGGCACGAAGGGCGTCATAGGAGGTGGCATGTTTGGGCGAATGAAAGAAAGAGGCGAAAGTAGATGGTGGTTGGGGTGGGAGGAGGCTCGAGAGATGGCTCGAGAGTGACGTTACTTGCATCCATGGGTCGGCGGATGGACCTGACGATACCGTGGCAGACACCGATCCATTTCGTTGGTGACGTTGGTTGTGGATGTGGTGCTGTTGGCGAACGTCAGATACGGTGATCTTCCTGGGCCGCGGCTGGTTCTTCTTCGACGGCTTGAGATGGACCTTCTTCTCCACAGTCTCCCACTCCACCGCGTTTTCGTCGAAATCATAAGATTCCTCGTCGCCCAACGCATCTAAACCTCTCTCCACCTTCTCGCGTATGAGTTCCTCGGAGAGCAGGTCCTCGACGATATGCCACATATCCTTGTCATCCTTCTGGGCATCGAGCAGGGCCTTCCTCAGTTGTGATGTGGGTATATCAGGGAACGTGGCTTGCAGATATCCAAGCGGGGTATTGAACGACTGTAACGACGATTCTGAAGATCCCGAGGAGCGACTGGGCCCTGCATCAGGCGTGGTCCAGCTGGAGATGGTCTCGTCGAACTGCGAGGTGAAATGAACATCTGACAGTTCGGATTGTTGGGCTTCATCCGCTTGTAACGAAAGCTCGTTGAGCGTGCTGCGAAGGGAGTCGATCTGGTCTTTCGTGGGCGTCACCGCGTTCCCGTAGTTGTCCGATTCGATCTCGACGAGCAGGGCGGCGATTAGCGACGAGTCAAGAGTAGGACAAAAGTCCCTCTAAGAGATGTTAAATAGATTCTTAGAAGATAACATAAGAACCCACCTGCAGGGATTCGAAAAGCGCTGTTGACATTGCAGATGGTTGAAAAAGATATAGTTTGGGGTGAGATAAGAGAAACAAAGCCTTGAGGTCTATATGTTCGCCGTGCTTATACAAAGCACCTGGCCATGGCGCTTGGACGTTGGGTGACAATTGCTGACTGTAAAAGCGAAAAAGACCTTTTCGGTAAATGAGGGCGCTGCGTTACATAATGCCAAGTTTGGCGTCCATGCTGCAGTGCGGAGTCACGTGGCGACGGAAAACAACAGTCGACTCTTCTGTGAGACTGTGACCAAGGCAACTCTAACCGCAATTCGTATAAAGGAAACCCCGAACCCCCACAATGTTGTTCTACATATCCCTGGTGGCTTTCTTGTCCTTGCTGGTCATGTGTAAGTCGCATTTCTCTGCTCTACAGGACTCTCGAGGTGAACAAGTCCGCAGTGACATACCGTTATCGCACTTTCATCACCCCACACCTCCCCGAACGCGTCAAGTCCCTATTCCCGGGCTTGAGAAACTACACCCCTCTATCGACCTTCTCAGAGCAGATTGGAGCTGGAATGAACTCCTCCGACTTTGATATCGAAGCAAACGTGCGTGAGGGAGACTCACGCCTGGGTTTGGACGAGCGTGGTACGCAAGAGGTGCTGGAGATCATGAGGCGAGAACGTGTCAAGTGAGCAGAACTCTTTCGACTCGTACATGCTGTGTGGATGCTCACCGACCGTCTGCAACAGCTTTGACCAGGCAAGACTCATCAGGCAGAATCGCATACTGGCTAGCAATGGCATCGACCCATCCGGTTCGTAACTATTGTACTTCGGGTATCAGTTGCCTTGTGCTCACTATGAATTTCTCTAGGAATGCCATTGGACTCTAAAGCAATCACACACTTGTAGAGTTTAATCGCCTACGCCATATGCCGGTCCTCAGATATTCTGGTGTTCCTGTTCTCTTCTTTTTCCTTCGCCCTGGGTGTTGGACTGCATTTAGTTGCATCCATTTTCTCTCCAGTTTTGGAGAGCTTCATCCATCGCTTTCTTTTTCCTGCGCATGTCCACACTCGTAATTCCACTTTCATTCAACCCGTGTACTCACTACGCACTACGGACTCATCGAGATGTTCTTGTAGATCCCGTTGTACTCTTATCCCACAATTATAGGAAGCCTGTTTTAATGTCAAACGACCGATGAAGGCTCGTACGAAAGGATTCATGCCTTCGGAGAGACTCATATTTGGGTGTCAGGCTGTACGACGGCGACCCAACGGCGACGGATGCGCCATGAACCGCAAGAAATTCAAAATCGGCCATCTTTATCGTATCGCACTGCGAGTGGTTAGGTAATTGTACGGCAATCATACTCGGAGATCGTAGGCCTACGAAGCAGAAAAGGGAGCTCTGATAACAGCTGACGCCTGGAGAACGATTTCTATGCCACCGCACTGTGATCCCGTAAAGAAACAAGAACTGGTACAAAAGAGACGTAGCTTCGTCGCTTTTACGCTAGCGCTACAGTACAAGTCTTGGATACACTCCAATAATTTACGGATACGCTATGAATAAGCTATGGGGGATACAATATAAATCTATTGACAATGATCGTCAAGCATCTTCTAGGCACTTGCTAGCTTCTCGACGATGGTGAAGCCCGACAGAATGCAAGACCCGCAAGCTACAATGAAAGACCCTATGCGTTTCAACCACTTTTTTACGCCTCCATCGCCCATGTTATTTCCCTCTGCCTGGTTCGTAGTGACAGGTGGACTGGAAGAATTCTCGCGGGAGCCTGCACGGGCTCTGGGAGACGGGGATTGTGGGGCCGGGTTGGCTGCATCACGGTTGCGATCTCTTGCGTTCAAGTCAGAAACGTTACCGTGCGGTGCTGGGAGTGAGGCAATATGGATTACGCTTGTTGTCAAATCAGGAGTACAGTTACCTCGTACTTGTCGATCAACAAAAGTCGAATGTGGCGCAACTACTTGCGGTGCTTTGGGAACTTTAGAGCTTGGGTTATTAAAACTGATCAATGGAGAGATTGTTGAAGTGGCCTGTTCTCCAGGGCCCTTCGAGGGATTTTCACTGGGTTGGGACTTGAAGGAAGACTCCATTTTCCTTCTTTCCGAAATTTGCGTATCTTCAGCAACAGAGCCCTGAGAATGGCCAGTGGTTGTCGCACTTTCTTGAACGGAGGGTCTTCTAGAAGATGGCGGCGATGACGGCAAGCGGGCTTCCAAATGTACATTCGGAATGGTAGGGGTAGGAGCCGCATTTGGTTGGATGGCTCCGTAGGGTCCTTGAGTTCCATAATGACGCTGTCGTCCATCAGGTCGTGGTCGCGTGCCGTCGCCCCCGTCAACAACGCCGCGATTCTCCTCTTCGTGCGGATGCAAAGCTTCCCCGCCGTCTGAGAACTGGGTCGTGCTTGTAGATGTAGCTTGAATCGCCTGTGTATCTTCTCTCGAGAAGGGATACACTTGGGGCGGAATGCTTGCTTGGCTCCCTTGGCTAGGTTGGCGCTCCCTTCCCCCGTCAGAACTTTCCCTCTCACAACCTTCCCCTTGACCCCCGACTACATTCGTCACCGCTGGCCCCGCAGTAGCAGGCAAGGCTCCGTGGTCAACGAGCGCGCGATTCGTTTCGCCCGGGTTGTTAGTAGCCAGGATCTGGTCCTGAGCCAAAGGAGGCGTCGAATGCCCTTCGGTGGCGAAAGTAGTAGGCTCAGGTGAAAGATTGTGTGTAATCACCCCGTCGTCAGCCGACGACGTCCGTCCATTGGTGGATGCTTGATGAGGCCCTGAATGGTTCGACGATGCAAGATGAGCTGCAGCCGGAGACGTTTCCTCTGGGCTGATCGCCGGAGTATCCACCGCAGAAGGGCTGGAAGGGTTCCTTTCTCCTTCACTGTCTACGCTTAGGCCATCTCGTGGGACGGGGGGAGGGTTTTGACGGGGGAAAGGAGGGGGACCTGCTTCACCTCCATCCAAGGGAGGAGACGGGGTTTGGAACGTTCGTTCACCAACGGCAGGGTCGCCTGTGTTCGTTCGCTCGTTCCTTTGAGGGGAACTGGTTCTGTTCGGATGTCTGTATCAGAATGGAGAAGGCAGGGCCAACAGGTGGATGATAGCGCACTCTTCCATTGAAACTTCCTGGTCTTGCGGCATACTGTACTGGGCGCGAGGAGTACCGGCGGGATATGATTCTTGAGACTAGTCTTGAGTCGGGGCTGTGCTATCTGGAAGAGGAGGAATTGGGGGCTGCTGAGGTCGAGCGGCTGCAGGTTTATATCGTGGACCAGAAGCCGCGACAGTCATAACGAAATGGCGAAACCACACGTTGAACACGTTCCTTAGCCATTCTTCTGCTGATTGACATATTGACAGGCTACACCAGCCATGCGTATGAGTAGGCTGCTGGGTCTGTAGGCGTTCGGGATCTGGAAATTGCATTTTCGTTCACAGACTCCTAGAGAGTTGGGCCAGAAAACGAAAGGCGTAGTTGGGGGCGAGTTAATGCGACCCACGATGAAGGAAGGGGCATGTTGAACGCACAAGATCGTGCAGGCGCCCGTCCTAAATTAGTTGACGGCCCATCCTTCCTCCTCGTGTCCATTTGTGTTCAATGCCTCAGCAACTCCAGGAATTTTGTCTGGGTCCAAGGTGTCCATGCTAGTCCCAGTGTGATAAGATCCTTAACTATGAACATCAATCCGTCTAACTGCTGCCAGACGGTCGAAAAGACGGAACATAGACTCACTGAGTGCAGAACCTGAGGTCAATTTAGGCGATGAGGTGCCTCGCGGGACGCCCCGGGGTTCTGGGAAAGACAGGGATAGAACTTGGCCATGTAAAACTAGGAAAGCTACTAGGGTGCTGAACAGCCTACCTAGCGAGCAAGAAACAGGCTTTACACCATAGTTACACCTTCTACGTGCACTTCGCTCCGAACAGTGGATCGAACTCGAGAGCGACCTTCACCTAGCCAAAGTTCATTTCAAGAAAAACCACTGCACGATGGACGAATGCCACCAACCGAAGGATATATAAGTAAGACTTGAGCTTGCGGGCTTGCTCGATTGAACGGATGCTGCTCCCATAGGATTTTCTGGCATTCCTTCAAATTCGTGTCGGTCAGGACAACTCCTCCGACCTTGTTTCGAGGTCTATCGTCTTGCCGTTAGCGTAGAAGTGAGACGGCGCGTCACCGATATACGTTCCGCGTGTGCACACCGAGCGAAAGTTGCGACATAAACTGAGTATGCGTCTTTTTCGTGCGTCACATGCGGTTCGTTCAGAAATTGGATAAATTTGAGTCGACGAAGACATTGTGTTTGAGATGTCGATGAATTTGGGGCTGAAAGACATGGTGAAGGTCCCAGTTTATGCAAAGCTTGGTGAGATGGCTTGCAAATATGGCAATATCCATCTTGCTTCCCAACCATGACCTCCACCCAACATTGGCCGCAAGAACTCATCGACCAAATCATCGACGAGATACACTATGCCACCGCCACTGAAACCTGGGAGGATATCCGCAAGATGCTCGCTAACTGCGCTCTTGCTTCGCCCATCTTCCGTCAACGCTGCCAGCAGTTTCTCTTCGCGACGATCGACATGTCCACCCTTTGGTTGAGAACAGAACATTGGAAGGGGTTGAACGACATTATTAAGTGCAATCCTACTATTGCGACTTATATCCTCAGCCTTTCGCTGCGACTGGGGAGCCGGAATCCTTCATGGATGACGGACGACTCAGGCCGCGTACTCCTACAGTTCCTACAAGCCATTAAGACGGCAGGAAAGCTGAACAAAATATCCCTGTGGACTTCACGGTGGTGTCATGGAGAGCGTGTCCAGATTGATGAGCGCTTTGTAGATCTTTTTTGGGATCCATTCATCGCGCCACTGGTCCTTCGAGTCAGGATGAACGAGATGACAATACCCCTTCGAATGCTGCTCAGATGCAACAGACTCCGTCATGTTGAACTGACTGGTGTCAAAACTTCCAATGCAGGCCATCTTGCGACCCAGATGTTGCGTTGGCCTTTTCAATGGCTGAAATACTCGAGATCCACCGAGGTTGTCAAAGGACTCGCAAGGTACATGACCCTGCCACCTAAATCGACCACAAGGGTTTTCCTCTCTACGTTATCTCTGGACCGATATTTTGGACGCAAATGATGTCGCTGTCGTACATTCGCTCATCAAGGTCGCAGCAAGTTCTCTCGAAGAAGTTCATCTGAAGACCTACGCGTTAGACGGTAAGTAATCTTCCTGCTGGTGCAAAATATCTACTCAAACCATTCTGAATGTGAAGGTTACGAGTACTCCATGGGCACGATAGATTTAAGCCCGATGATTCAGTTACGAGTTCTAGACGTCGAAGTCGTGATCGATAAACCAACGGCCAGAAATTTGAAGGGAAGCACAGAAGAACTCAGCGACGACCAATTGCCTTTTAATCGCTTTTCAAGCATGTTGCAGTCTCTCTCTCCCGAAAATAATCAACTACGTGAACTACACCTCATGCTCCACGTGGCCTACCGAGACTGGGATGACCCCCGCAGCATTTACAATGTCCCCAGTTGGGATCCGGTCGATTGTGCTCTAGACAGGCTTCTCTCGCATTCCACTCACCACATCGATTTCTTCCTCTCTGCCCGGCTGTCCTGGAACTCAGAGGCCGATCGATTTGGAGGGTGCAACGAGTCTGATGACGATGACTCATCTGGACCGCATGGCTCAGATTCGGACGAAGAATACTGGAAGTCTGGGAGTGTCGACTATGGAGAGGGATGTGAAAGGATGCTGAACATTGCTCTGCGCCGGGTTGTTCGGGACAAATTACCCAAGACTCGAAGTCATAATCGGGTTATCTTTCATCACCACCACGAATTGGACGAGTACTAGCTCTGCTATTACTAACTTGGTGGAGGTTTCTGGTCCCGTGTTATGAGAAGGGTGAGTTGCGAACTGTGGTACAAACGCGTCGTTATCCCGTTCGTTTTATGCTTGACCTTGATCGTCAGATAATATAGGCCCATCTTGACTCTCAACTATGAGAGACAGACATTCCTCGCAAGAACTTATTGACAGATCTCAAGAATTGCCTGATGACTCACCGCCGTTGAACGTCGGACCTTGGGAAGGAAATGTGGATACTCGCCAGCTCCACTTGTCTGCGCTATCAACAACATCTGCTTCTATTCGCAGCAATCGACACGTATTACTTCATCTTTCTGTCTCTCTGCCCTCTGAGCGCAAACCTCACGTGCTGTGAATCCGAATCTTTTCTAGAGTCTGAGATTTTGGCTCAACAAGATTGGGAGGCGATGTCTCTGCCAGCCCCAGTATCTGGTGCCCGTCTTGGAGACACCGTGATGGACGTCGTCGTCGAGATTGGCATCTGCGCCACTGTTGGCATAACTTCTAGAGCCGGCCGTCTAGACCATCTATTCTCTTCCACGATTTTGACGGCTGCACGCCTTTTCTCCGTGTCTCTCTAGATCAGAAACTGTCACTGTTTAATTTTACACAGCAATGGGCGGACGAACCAGTCGAATTGAGATTGACCAAGAACTCTGGGAAAAAGTCGCCGCGATCGCGAATTTCGTTACTTCGCCTGTCCTGCGTTCCTTAACAAACTCGCCTGCGACAAGAGTACTTATAATCATGGCGTAAATGCAAACATTACGACGAGGCCGCGGACCGATTTGAAGAGACCGTAGTTGCTTGCCGACTTGAGGGTTTCTCGGTAAGAAATTGATGTCCCTATGGGTCATCTTTCGTTCAGGGTGTCAGAAATTCCTGATTCCAGCAGAAACATTCTCGAGGACGCAGGGGCTCAGAAGACGAGCCAGATACTTCTCCCGCCTGTGGATTTGACTGCCATCTCCACTGACCCCGAGAAATTCCCCGGATCCCACAGACGAGGCAGAGGCCCGTGTTCAGCGGAAAACCTTGCATGTCTGAATTACGGCCACTCAAGAGCATGTGCCCTATCCTGAAACACCAAACGGCGGCGCTGTCGCCCTTCTCAGTGCCCTGTTTTCCATTTATCCGTCTCCCATGACGAACTTTGAATCATATCCATACCGCATCAAGCTCCGTATCTCCTCAGGGCGGCCCACCCCTTCCCAGCAATGACAAGCGCCAGCTTTTGGATGGAGACTTCATGCTTGGGGAAAGGCAATCATAGTGTCGCTGAGCTAGAATCCGTTTGCTAATCTGATCCCGGGGAAATACAACCTTTGGGCGACGAACCTTCCTGCCCCAGGTTTGAACTGTTTAGCGAACTGGCCTTCGAATTCAGGTCGGTTCGTCAGCTTCGTTCTTCCTTATGTATAGCCTGACGTGGAATTGCTCGTTCGACCGTCTCTATTCCGGACCCTTCATGCGGCACCGGGGCAAGAGAAGTCGACGAGAAGGACATCCTCCTGCACACAAGCCTGTGAGCCTACTCCCCTTTCAACGACTGGTCCGAGCTGAGAAGGGAAAGGTTTAGTTACCGAGTCCACAATTGTTGTATGAACCTGGATGAGTTTTTGGCCTGTCCAAGGTTTTCCCCTAGTTGCTTGGCGACCTATCAGCCCCAGCTGGTATTAGAAATGCGGGTGTCATTGTTCCCGCTTTGTCCAAGAGAAGGAATCCCGTTTCTCCAACTCATCGATCTCAGTTAATGCGCGCTGCGCGGGCTTTTTTAACGTGCTCTTTTTGACGTTTAACAATCAGTCTTCATAGCGCGCACAGCCGAACACGTCAGCCGGAGGAATGAATTGGAATTCATGCAATCAGACGGCAGGTATTGTCTAAATCATTGCCGGGAGGTTTTCAATGGGGTTGTGTTAAGCTTCGCCTTTCAGATGTCTCCCAAGAAGAGGAGGTTTATTCAAGTAACCTCAAAGGGAGACTCTAGGCAATCATTGATACTGGATTGATTATCGATGGCATCCCGCAACTGACTAGCCCGCTCGTCGGGTTTGTCCTGCCGTCGTTTCATGCTAGAGGAAAGAGAACGATTATCACACGCACACACACCTTGTGGTGTCTACGAAAGAGAATGTCTTGGCCTGAGGAGTCAGACCGTGTTTGTGAGAGGCGATTCAAGCCGCTCTATCTATCTATCTAGTGACTAGTGACTTCCTGTATCACGCCACGGTCCTGGGTTCCCACTTTTCCCACTTAAAAAGTCAAAATGACACTTGCCTACATATGATAGATACCCCTCGAGAATGCCAAACTAGTGGTGCGGAAATAGATGGAGAAAAACTGGAGCTAAGTTGTCAACGTTGATGGGCGTGCGTGGGTAAGGGTGAAATTGTCACCAAAGGCGGGGAAAGGGAGAATGTTTAATATGAATCGGACAGTGACAAGTATGTACTTTCAGTCTCCCCGTGTACCCCGGTGCTCTACGGGCCCTCCGCCAATTTTTCGGAGAGAACGCGTTAGTGTGACGGACACCCTAACTATTGAGAAACTCTCCAGAAAGGCCATTTTCCCTGAGCACTAAAGCCTCGCCAAGAACATACAACCGCCACAGCCTGAAAAGGATGCTGCGTATTTGTCACATTCCTCCCCTAAACAGCCCTCCGGATTGGACATCTGAACTTCCAGAGGCACATTTCTCTCCGATTATGCTTGTTGTGGATCTCGGAAAAATGCTCTGAGGGCAGCGGACTGAAGTAAAGAAGGTGCATTTTAAATCGCCTAGATGGCCCACTAGGTAGCGAGAGAGATAAGAGAGAAGCACAGAACGCCCGATATATGACAACCATAGTGCGCGCCCATGCAATAATTGATTATCCCATGTTGCAATGTACTACGTAACGAAAACTGCAGTCTGATCACGAACAGAACGTAATATGGGCAACTGCCAACTTACCAACCCATCGGCCATCGTAAGGTTCTTGTGATGAAGCACTGCTTCCACCTATCTAATCCATGTGTAGGCCTGGAACGCAATTGTGTTTGACGCCGCATGGGACAAGCGCCGCCAGTTTGGGAAGGTGCCTATTTATAGACCCATCAAACGACGGAAGTCTCCTTGATTGATGGATCGTCGGCGCAGGCATAAGGACGGCAGGACCCATAAAAGACGCTGGAAACCCCATCGGTAAATTCTTGACCAGGGCACCCGAAGTGAAGCAAAATAAAACGAACTTGATAGCTAGCTCAAGTGCGCATGAGAGGACGAAATGAACATCGTGGGCGGGTATTGATATTGACCTTTGTTTACCCTTGTGGACCACACTGAAGAACTTGGTCTCTAGACACAGCGGATGCAAAACCAATAGTTTCAGAAAATACCCACAGAGGAGCTTCTGATCAGCTCGAGTACACGCCAAGTGTCCAAGTGTACAGGAAAGGAACGTGCAAAGAAACGAGCAAAAACATGATTGCAACGCACGTCCACTGAGAATTGCCATAGCACACGAATAACGTAAACATCGGATATAGAAACTTCAAAGCCAAAGGAAGTGCGCTGGATCGCTAAGCAGTAGACAATAGAGGCCTGCATGCGCCGGAAGTTCGAAGGGAGAGTTTTGGAAGCCGGGGCGATCCAGAATCCGCTATAGAAGTACACGAAGACGAGTAGACGCCATAACAGCAGAATCCCAAGTAGAACCTAGAGAGTCAGAGGAAGCAGAACTCGTCCATGAGAAAGCAGCAATAGAGCAAGAATCCAGTCTAGCGAACGAGCAAAGAGCAAGGTCCATCATAGCACCAGTCCAATAAGCAGTTACGATTTGCATAGTAGCACCTGGAAAGAAACGCAAGACCTTCAGTCAGGACGGCGCAGACGCCTAGAGTGGGAAAACGGAACAAAAAAGCAAACCGAAATAGAGGCATTGTAGCGTCGGGTCTTCCTGCAGTTCATCATAGCAAAAGCTCCGTAGTCGATCCGTCGACCAGCAACAATTCGTCATCGCTCAAGTTGTCCTCCTCACCAGCACCTTCATCCACCTCGACCAAATCGCCATCCTTCGGAACGACGACCGCAAACCTCGCTTTCCCTCCGCTCGTTCTACTCTTCATCCGTCCTCCGCTCACAGCGCGACCTCTTCTGGCCTTCGAACGCAAAATCCCTCCAGTGGCGGTAACGGGCCGAACGTCCCTCTTCCTAATGATCTCCGGCGAGGGTGGTTCGTCAGCGACGCACCACGTCATTTCCTTGACTCCGCTGAGTGCATGATTAGACCCACCAGCAGTAGCACTTGCCGTCTGGCTAGAAGTGGTACCCAAAGCAAAAACAAATTGGTCTTCTTCGTCCTCAACAATCCGTGAAAAGCGTAAGAAGTCGATGGGATCGGGCGAGGATGTGAGCCGCGGGACGTAAAGCGAGTCGGCGAACCCTTCCACGTCTGCGTCTGCTCCTGGCTGAGGTTCGGCGTCGGCGTCGGCATCTCGTTCACATTCGGCGATATGGGGGTTGTCGCCGACCACAAGGCTCCTGTTGATGCTTTCTGGGGTTTTAGGCTCATCCCCCTGGGGGTGTTTCCCCTCAGGCATACCCTGGCCAGCCAAGACAGATCCACTCCTGACCCTGCCCCGAATGCCACCATTCGAAGATCCAGCGTTGGCCGCAACGATGGTCCCACTCCGCGTACGCCTTGCCTCGCCAATGTTGACGGCATTGCTCGCGCGTTCGACGCTAAGAAGAGAGTTAGAACCAGCCAAGATCGTTCCACTCCTCGACCTCCTGCTAGAACCACCTGCCGCAGATGTCGGTGGTAAAGGACCGACGATCGTCCCAGTTCGTGTCCTCCTAGCCGCAGTACTGATGACAGCAGGCGCAGCGATTGACTTCGTGGGCACGATTGTACCGCTTCGAGTCCTCTTCGCAGCAGGACGGGTTTCTTTGTCGTTCGTGGTTCCTTCGGCGCGTTCCTCCTGTTCCTCCGGCTGTTGTCCCTGATCATGATTTTCATCTTGTTGATCCAGGCTGTCGGAAGAGCTTGAACTTGTTGAGCAGTAGTCCAACCTAAACGGCGAGCTCAGCTGCCTCTCAGGCAGCACCATCTCCATGTCTGGTGCTTCTTGCCTCGCCCTCGATCGACTATGCAACAGTGAACTGGAAAGCGACTCTTCCTCATCAACTTCTTCGTCATCGTGGGACTCCTTGCGGCCTACACGATAGATCGTCGGTGGCGAGATGATGCTGTCGGTGACCCAGGAATTATACTTCGAGTTGTGACGCGACGTAGCAGTGGTCTTGTCTTCAGCGAAGGCCAGCTGGGTACCATCAACAGGGTCTGTAAACTCCATATCCTCCTCGCCTCCGTTGTCGTTATCTTCATCTGCGGCCAACCCCGCGTGCAACGCGGTTGTCATCGACATCGTCCTGGCCTTTCCAGCCATCTTTCTGCGAACGTCAACATCGAGGTCGGAGTGAAGAGTCGGAAGGCTTTGCGCCTTCACCAGCCCCTTGTGGTTGGCAAATGGAGTTGACGCGCCGTGCACCTCCTCCGCAAAGCCTTCGAAGCCGAGATGAGTCGCGTCTTCTAAAACCCGACTGTCAGCAACCAATTTCTTCCTGCTCATTTGCACGATTTCTCTCTCGTCCTCATCTTCGTCTTCGCCTTCGCTGCTACTCCAAAAGACCTCGTCGCCACATCCCCAACCAGTAGTGCCAATCGCATCGATTTCCACATCAAGGTCAAAAGACCCTAGAACCATCGACATCTGCGACGGCGGTCGGTTGAAATCTACATCCTGCCGAGCGTGCATCCACTTAAAAGGATCTGCGTCACTTTCGTATCCATGTCGTAGTTCGCCTTCTGCTGCTGGTGGAGTGGGAGGAAGAAGTGCGCGAGTGTCGATATTTTTAACGAGTCCAGGAGAAGGAAGATGACTGTTTGATTGGCCGCTTTCTGGGTATTTGGTGCTCGTAGCACGTTTTGCTATGACACCATGGGAAGACAGTCTTGCGGGAACGACAGGCTTCGCCTTCGGACGCGGTCGTGTAAGGGCACTTGGCGCAGATGTGCGGCGGTCTTTCCAAGCTGGCGGCTTGCCTTCTTGTTGCCTGACCGGAACTTCGTTCTCCCTCCCTGACGTAGGATGGTGGGACGTTGGTGACGCGTTGACGCTCAGACTCTGAGTTTGCGTGTTTTTCTTCTTCATGCCCGCAACATTGGAAGGACGGCCACGCATGTGCCGATGTTGTGTAGGTACATTAGGATCGAAGAAAGTGTCCGCTAACACTCGTTTCATGTCGTTCTTGTGCGCAGCGCCTGGTGCGAGAGGCGGTGCCATGTTCATCCTTCTGTTATCTTCTTCAGCCTCCGAAAAAGCAGGCTTTTGGGTGGATATATGCGCCTTTTTCATACTTGCCTTCGACTTGTATTTCACCTTTACCTCGCGCCGCTCTTTGGGGAATTCAACCGGCGAAGATGCTCTCGAAACGAACGGACTGGCAAGAAGGGCAGGCGCGACGGGCGATGAGGCGGAGAAGACTAGCTTTGGCTTCGCTTTTGACTTGGACTTAGACTTGGGTTGAGACTTGGGTAACGTCAAGAGGTCGAGTTTTGGCGGGTTTGCCTGGCCAGTGGTTTGAAGGGTTGGAACTGGGAGAGACGCACGCGAGGACCGGGCCTTGTGGGTGTGGGGTGGGCGAGAATCTCTGCTACTCGCGCGCGAACGCGACGAAGTAGAAGATCGGGAAGTTGACCTGCTTTGTCGCCTTTTCGAGCGTAGATTTGTGGTCGGAGGTACTATACCCCCTGAGGTCAAGGTCACTGAGACCAAAGTCCTCGATCTATAGAGAAGTTGGCGCATATATGCACTCAAAGTAAAATTTCTTACGATTGACGATGCGATTTTCCCGAACGGAATCTTGGACGATTCTCTGCATTCTCCTTGAGGTTTCGTGAGGTGGTACGATTGGCTGCTTTATGGTCGTCGGGCAACTCTACTGGAGGCGACAGAGTCTGGCCGGTGGTATTCGGAACAGGCGAAAAAGTTGGAGAGTATTGCGGTTTTGAAGAGGGCAGCTTGAAGGCCTGACTCTGGCCCTCCAGCGTTGGATGGGGAGTCTCGAAAGCAGACTAGACATGAGACCTTGTCAACTTCGAAAACCTCAGAGGGCACATAGACGTACCATTACGCCCTTTTTTCTTTTCTTGGGTGAAGGTCCAGCCTGTGCGTTGATGCTGGACGTGCGGCCGCGCTTGCGCCCATGAACGTCGTCGCTGGCGTCGTCTGTCAGGGCGACCCTCTCGGATGCGGTCAGGGTTGTCATCGCGCGTGACGTCAACTTGCCGCGTCGCGGTCAACATAAGTCCAAGCACAGCCAAACACAAGTTCCACGTCTCGTCATCGTCGTCTCCATCCAGGACAACAGCCACCTCACCACCGACCACCATGGTCGTAAACCGCAAGCAGCCCGCTGCACCGGCGCCCGCATCGCGCTCATCATCTTCACAACCAATACCGACGAAGAAACAGCCCAGGCCACCCCCACCAAGTTCAACATCGAATGGCAACAGTACGGATGTCAGTGTTCATGTCACCTCTTTTTCTTTCCAACTTGGAGTCTTGTCGTTGGGTGCAAGCTGTGAACCGAAGCGGTTGAGAGCCGCATACTCGAGTAATTGCCAACTTTCACACAACTGTGCTGACTCCAAACCATTCAACCTTCTCTAACTCTGCGTCCGAACTGTTCTAACATAGCATATACAGACACGTAAAGCTGCTCCAGTACCAGCAAAGCAGAAACCTTCAGCTTCAAAACAGCAGAAGCCAGTGGTACGTGGGTCTTGTGATCTCTGTTTTCAACGTTTGACACTTTCTTAGAAACAACGGCCAAAGTCTTTCTTAGACCGCCTCTTCTTGCTCTCACTCGCCCTTTTCACCGCTTATTCTTTCCACACATGTCGACCGAATCCTATCTTCAACTCGCCGTCACCTTACACGCCGGAACCAGCACTCTGCACCTCTTTGTCAAACTATCGCACCTACTTCCTCGAACCCTACGTCCTCCCACCCCTCAAATGCACCCTTACTTTTACCCGAACTGTCTCGGAACCATACGTCGCTTCCGCCCAGACCCACCTGGAACCTTACCTCGCCCCGGTCCAACATGTCGTCACCACCACAAAGCCATACATCGTACGAACGTACACAATCGCCAAGGACCTATGGCAGAAGACGCTCGTACCTCTGTATATGGATACGTTGAAGCCGTATTATGAAGCAGCCATCGTACCGAGATACGTGCGCTACGTCCAACCACAGTTGGAGCCTCTCCAGAAGAAAGCTTCGGCATATTTCGCACACTACGTCTCCAAACCTATCTCTAGGCAATACGCCGCTCTCAATCTGAAGGGTCACGAGCTCTACGTTCTCCATGTTCGACCTTACGTCCGTGTTGTTCAGCCACATGCGAGGCGAATTGTCGAAACGACCTCTACCTACGTCGTGGGATTGCACCAAGCCTACGGCGAGCACGTCCACCCAATCGTGGAAGATGCGTGGATTACGGCACGACCCCTGCTCTGCACGGCTTGGAAGCACTTCAAGGCCTTTGCTATCCAGGCCACCGACATCAGCGGCGCTTTGATCAAGAGAGGTCTGGCAGAACTGGGTGTCGCGAGGAAGGCGTACGTCGACCCGCATGTCAGCAAGATCTGGGACAAGGTTGCTGAAGGCAATGCGTCTGTTGAGACGAAGGAAACACCGGTTGTTGAAGACTTACCGGATATCCAGACGGCAGAGCCCATTCCGGAGCCTACACGCGTCGTCTCTGCCGAAAGTCCTTCGATCCCCGTTCCGGTTCAAACCACTGTCGAATCGGAGCAGGAGCCTCCGGTTGTCGTCGAGCCTGAGCCCCCGGTAGCTACTCCCGAGGAAACAGTTGAAGTCCCCACGAAGAACGTCGAAAGGACCAAGGCAGGTGTGATTCCTGTCGTTCCAGAGGTGGAGGAAACTCCCTCCCCGCCTAAGGTTCCCGCCAGCCCTTCTCCCAGTTCCCCTTCGGTCACCCCAGAACCCGACTCCGACCTCGACCTCGACGACTTCCTTCGCGACATTGGTGTCCCCTCCTCGGATCCCGCACCGCCCGCAGATCAGCCCGAAAGCGACGTGGATATTGACCTGTCCATCGAACAAACTGAACCCGCGCCGCCTGAGGACCCTGTCTCCGAGGCAGAGCGTCTCGCGGCTGTCGCGGCGAAACGGGCCGGCATCACCGCGCGACACGACAAGTGGTTCACCAAGCTCGACGAAGGCGTGGCCAAGGGCTATGTCGAAGTGCAGGAGGCCATTGCGGCAGTGAGGAACCGGGCGGTTACGTATGTCCATGAGATGGCTGGAAAGATCAAGGTGCAGGTTGAGAAGAAGTCGGAGGGAGAAGACGAGGACGAGAGGCCGCTTGGTGTGGATGTTATTAATGGGGTACAGAAAGATGGCGAACGTCTCCTTTTGGGTCTCTCGGGCTGGCTACGGAAGGCTGAGGCGAGGAGTATCGATTGGAAGGTATCTGGTCGTGCAGAGGCTGACGCTACCATCAAGCAGCGCGAAGAGGAGACGAAGGAGATGCGCGAGGCAATGGTGAAAAGGGAGAAAGAGAAGTGGGCACAGGTCATTGGCAAGGTTGAGGAGCGTTTTGGCGAAATTGTAAGGAGGCTCGAGAGCGATGTGCATGACTGGTATGTTGGGATTCGGAAGAGTGAAGGCGCTGAGGTAAGCGGGAATCTACGTTCTGAAGGTGGTTAGATCCGGAAGGCTGAATAATGTTTTTGCAGGTCATGAGGATCTACACGGACGTGAAGTCAATTGCTCAGAAGGCTCAGGGTGATCTTGGTTTGGACTACGCCTGGCTCGAGGACGTCACATACAACGATTGGCAGCGGTACCACGAGCTTATGCGAAGTACGTATTCCGACTATCCTTCGCTCTTACCCCTAACGCTCGATTTATTCAGTCCCTGAACGCTTCTTACAAACGGCCAAGGAGATGCAGGAGGGCACTTCCACTGAACCTGCTGCTCCTGAGGACCCACTAATCCCTGCACTCGATGCTCTCAATGCGGACCTTCAGGACGTTGTTCGCGGATTCCATTTCTCACTGGCCAATACTCGCAGCCGAGCTACTCGTGCCTTTAGCCTGAGGGCTGCTGGCACTGAGGATGAGGAGAGCGAAGGCTTTTTCTCTGTGAAGGATGGCGAGAAACGGAGGGATGACCTCCGGGGCGTGGATCTCGGCTCAGTGAAGAAGGGCGTCAAAGAAGGAACGATTGCGAAGAAGGTCGGTGAAGGCGCAGGCGTGTTGGGCGTTAAGGAACAGGCCGAAGAAGTCAAGATCCTGCCTATTGACGACACACCGAAGCGCACCGAAGAAGATGGCGCTTTTGACGCGTCGACAGTCGTGATTGGCAAGGACAAAGTCCAAATCGAACAGGCCCTCAAGGACGTTCCTCTGGAGACACCTGCGGAGGTTCGCCACGAAGAGCTATAGGAGGATTAATATGATATAATGCAAGTTAAGTTATGGTGATAGATTATAAGCATGGTGTACTATGGATGTTGAGCATCTTCGCAATTTCACTTTTTCATCCCCTACACAATCATTTTCGTCGTTCTTGCGGTTAAATTGGCTTTCTTCAACATTTCATGTATGATGTTCATTTAACTCTGGTTCCCTTTTCTATTATACAAGATACCAATACAGCTTCATACGTAGGCGTTCTCGGCTTCGCCTGCAATAATCGCTACGATCTGGGTTTGAACACCCGTCTTCATTTGAGCAGTTTCAGACTAGACAGGGGATTGGTTGGACATTTCCTCAGGTCCAAGATGATGCCCAGACTTTGTGCAGTCGACGTTTATGTAAAGCAAGGGTGGGCGGCACCGCATTGATGCTCGACAGCCGACCCATCTACTGCTCCGTATGTCATGCGTACGCTCAAAATTAGAAATAATCTCACTGCCTCTCTTGATGTTCTCACACGCACGCGCGACCTGACAGGTCAATCCTTGCTCTGCATAGGGTGCCAAACGGGCCTCGCTTAGTTACGCTTCATCTCTCCTGATACTTTGATTTAGAATATGGCATTCGTCCATTCACCCCAAGATATCTCAGTGTACCTCGCCCACGTAAGGCACTTTTTTTACGTTTATTTCCGTACAAAAGAGAAACTGGAGTCCCGAGCTCAGATGCTGCAAAGAGCGTCCACAAGCACAAACAAGAGTCAACTTCCTCGATGCTTCTCCCGACCGACGCCGGCATCCGAATTTCCGAATCAAGGCGAAGCGCCCTCGAACACGAAGCGCTCACAGCACAGAGTGCATATCCAAGCGTCCAGCGCTGACACGAGGTTACTTACCTCGCTGAGCTGTCATATTTCAGCGCTCCGAAACCGGAACCGCGACGTGGGCTCAATACACCCCGTCGGTGATCCCATTTGGGTTTCTGTCTCTGCATGATAGCCTCGTGCTTGCAAGGTGCTCATACGGGTATAGAGGCTGTGATGACTGCTCACAGGGGCGCTTCTGATAGTGGTAAGGTTTCTCAGTTTTTTACTATTCTGGGAACCCCGCCTGTTACTCAGTTGTCATCCCACTGCGACAAGCGCCCGTATTTTCGGCGGTGGTTCCTATTCCTGTACCACGCTTCAGTTCTGCGTTGCTTTGGAATTTGGGTGATGACAGCCTTCTCCGAGCGTCGAGTAGTGCGGTGCGTATCCTGATAGAAGCACGCTCTCCGGGCGGGTCGGGAAATGTAGTCGGAGCGTAGATGTCACCATGATCGAGAGGCGTCAGCATTCCTTACCTTTCCCCTGTGGATGGTTTCGAGATGGTAGTTGCGGCATACCTTACAGTAGCCACAGGTCAAGTTGAAAATTTCTAAACTCCAGTTGTACTATGATCAACACTTTGCATTCCGTTCGTGTGCATGACTATGCAAGCTAAAAATAGGCCGCTCGCACCCCCAAGTAGCAAGCGCCCGCAAGAGCGCTTCCCCTTATTAGATGGATTCCGATTTTTTACTACGCAGCTTAGTAGAATGTCATGTTGCCTGGCTGCGTCTACTCTTCTCCTCAAACCGGGTTTGGCCTGTTAGTTGAGAATGGAAGGTGAATCAATCCCGTACACCATCGGATCTGTCAAAAGAGAACCAGATGACATACGTGGTGCTTGTTCTCTCTGGGTGACTAGAATGAGCGAGACTACCCGCTACCAGCGTTGAAATGGTTGCAAGCAGATATTTTAAGGACAGTAGAAAAGATATGGGTAGACACATCGGCGATGTCTCTCACCCGTGTGGGCACAATAATTATGACATTTAACAAAGTATCAAGTAGCAGTTAAGCCAGCCCCTCGAGAGGCTGTCCTCATCCATACGCAAAGTCCCGAAAATGTAAGGCTCTTGATCGCCCTCGAAGAAATTTGATACCAGCCATCGACGTCGGGAATTCCTTTCAACCCCCCCAATGCAAGAAAATAATTCTCATGTCGTGGAGCAGACGATCTGCAGTTGCACGATTAGGCGCTGCATGTCACTACTTCCAGCGAGCTGCCAGTAGATCCTACCTGGATCCAGCTGCCTCCGTGAAACACTTCCATACGTATTCTATCCGTCTCCGAGTCATTGCGCAAGATCACGACTTGACAATAAATTTGATAAATGAACGCAAGTGCAAAATAATTATTCTTTTTCTTATCGATATCACTTTTCGTGATACCCGGCAGAAGATATCCTTAGGACCTCGAACAGGCGTAGGGGTTTTCCCAGCAATTTGGTGCGAGTTTTTCTGCGTCACAGGTCGACGGCGATCACAGTCGAGCAGAAAGCGGGCGATTTGGTCCCGCTTTGGTTCCGCCCGACGGAAATGGGAATCGAGGCGGCAACGAAGGCGAGCCATAGCCAAGTCAATTTGATTTTGTGGGGCGAAGAGCCCCAGGTCGATAGGGGTGTCCGAACTCGCGCCTGGGAAATCATGAGGTACGGTCCCCACGCCTCGATCCGAAAGGTTACTCTAACTCCCTGACAACCGTATTTTCTTTGGCTTCCGTCCTTCCAGAGCCCCTTCTGTTTGTGTATCGCACTAAACAGGTTCGATCGGCCTCGTTACTCGCGTTCTTGCACGGTTACACATTTAATTTAATTTTGGCTACGACACGAACCAGTGCCAACTTGGCCAACGGAAGGCCAGTCGGTTCGCATACTCCACAGCCCTACAGTCGAATCTAGTATCCTGGGCCTGATCAGCGTTCACTGAGCGCCTTGCAGCCTTGGCTCATCTACCTAAAGTCCTGCTGGTGGACCTGTGCCTTGACCGCCTCGAAATCTGTGTCCTTCTTACGCCCTCCGAGAGTTTGCACAAAGTCTTTCTCTTTAGGTTCATCTCCGCGAATGTGACGGGTTCCGTCACCTTTGGCGCGCTTCGGGGCTCGCTCCGGGCTGTAGTCGAACCTGCAATTGTGTGGCGTTCGTGACTGTTTCTAGTGTTTACGGTTCGGTGATGACTCCGGCGCATCTTGGAAAAACTCGCATCGAGTCTGATTGATCTCCAAGGAGTTGTTTGGACTGATAGACCTTGCGATTGGGAGCACTTCTTTGCGGCTCATTCTTAGTCGGATGTGGTCAGTGATCGCTAACCAAAGATTACTCCGGTGCGCAGGACTTCTAACTCCAATTCTGGTCCAGCGAGTATGCCCAAAAACGCGACGGCAAATTGGAATGAAACTTCACTTCGGTCCAGAATTATGCTTTGGGTTTGCTAGCACATGGCACCTTTGTCATCAGCCTTAACTGAGATTGTGGACGGTTTCACAGTTCACCCTCCGTGAACATCGCCTCGTCAAGCGCCCTTTGGCCTCTTTCTTGTGCCCACATCTTTCCCGAGTGCCCTGTGGTTCAGCGTGGATCCCCTGCCAATACACTGAGTCAAAAAGGCTCAGTACGGACTCCCATTCACTCCAGTGCAGTCTTGGATTGGATGCAAGTTTCTGCATTAAACTGATGGAATGATATCCCACTTGACGACAGCCATTTCTGCCGACAGCATGGTACCATCTCCTTACCGGACTGAGAGTTCTCTACTTCTCTCTTTGAAACCCCTCAAATCATCGCAGGCTTAACATAGTATGTTCCGATGCCACCCTATGCCCTTCGGGATAAATTCGACTCCTCACTTGCTGAGATGGACAAAGCTAGCCGTTGGCCTATTGTCTATGGTACGCGGCCGGAAATCTCATTTCCTGCTGGTTAATACTCGTCAACGCCTTTGGGGAGTTGCCTGGCCGCCTTTATGCTCTAATGATCCCGGACCCTCGACGAAATTTCTTTATCTCAGTGGCACGGGGCCCGTCCTTTCTCCATTGACATCATTCGCCTTTGCTAGATGCGGCCATCCAGATTGCTATCGATATCTCGCAACTGTCATAACTCGTAGAATGGGCAAGCTTGTTATTCTTGCAGACTTATCGACGGTCATGAGGGCTACGACGGACTCATTTTCTTCCCAAAAGGCCCCAGTCATCATGATTCATGATTGTACTCAATTGGCTTCGGGAGCACCCTCAAATTAAAAGGCGTCATTGACAATAGACAAGCTCAAAGTCACCTTGACGAGGGCTAGCTCAGGAATTATGAACGATGTATGCCCCAGGAGGATCAGACCAGGGTTGAACGTTGAACGTTGGGCATTGTTGGATCATTTCGGAGTGCGGGAGTCTAGATGAGGGCGGGACGGCCGTCCTCAAGTAAGCCACTCTTCCAGTCGGGCAGGCACGCCAGCTGATAACTATCAATAGGAGCCACATATCTGCCCGAATTTAAAGAGTAACTACTCCGGAAAAAGCGCAAGGAGGAGCTCGTCAAAAAGGACGAAAAGGCCTGTACTAATCAGCCTGACACCCGTCTGACTCTCTTGAACGGCCGTTGATTCAGAGAGATAGGACTCGCGTCCTTGGCGTTCCTAGTTCAGCGCCCACAGAGGACCTTATACCCTCCCAGCGGAGAAGATCGATCATCCACATACGAGATTGTATGATGGAGAACTCGTCGAAATTCAGGGTCAAACCTACAGCCCTGCGTACGGAACGTGTCCGCTTTCCCCTCCCTCCGCCTCGCGACAACCTTCGCCTCTGCAAAAATAGTCCCGTCGACCCTTGCGGCGTCGCGGCGTCGTAAATCGTGGCCTTGATTGCTACGCACGCGAGCGAGTACGACGTCGATGTCGAGACATTTTGGGAGACCTCAGACCCCCAGCTCGCGTGGATGGGCGCGTCTCGACGCGCCCGTCCTCAATCCCAATCGAGCGAAGCACCCCTCCGGATCACCACCTCCTCCCGAGGGCTGTTCCAAGAGCCGTTAGGAAGGAAGGACGCACCTTGATGGGCCTATGGATCCGGGGGGATGGAAATTCAAAATCTGGGGATGGTGGTGAGTTGAATGCACACATACAGCTTGCGCACACACGGCCAAGCCTTGAAAAAGGAATACCAACCTCTTGCGTGTGGGTACGTTCATGAACGCTATTGAGTCGTTTTTGTGCAGAAAACTTAGGACTTTCAAATTGGAATTAGAGTCCTTGGGATCTTTCCTTCTCGTCTTTCTGATCCTTTACAATCGTGACACGGCGCACCTAGTCTTTTCGGGTCGCCGTCCTGCGATGGCGACGGATGGTTTCGGCCGGGCAGACGAGGTCCACAGATCGTTTTCCGGTGTCACAGCACGAGACCGAGATATACCACTCACCCAGCGCCGGACGGAAATGGAGCAGGTCGATATTTGGAACAGATTCCCGAGAAAATACTAAAGCTATGACACTAGACACATATATGAGAAAGTACATGGGACCTACAAGTATTAAAGGGACAGAAAAGAAGATGGGGTTCTCTCGTTCGGCGGTTGACACCATCTAAATTTTGTCCATCTTCAAGAAAGCTTTCAAGAAAAGAAAAAAGAAAACAAGTAGATGGCGAGAAATTTGTGGGACCAATGGGAAGCTTCCGTCTTAAGCTTCTTCGTCAGCAGCTCTCCACCTGAGGTTGCTTTCATAGAAATCGAATAGCTGGGAATAAAAGTCAGAAAAGTTAAGAAACACCCGACATTTGACTCGCCTTTTGAGGGAAACGCTCTCGGCAAAGCTCTGTCTTCTCCATAGCTGTTTCCCCAGTGTTGCTATATCATGCCAAAGTGAGTGACAGCGGTTCAGATAGTGCCCCAGTGAAAACTCACAGGGTGAAATAGGCGACCAACGTGCCAGACATATTTTCCACCGTGTCGACTTTCTTGATGAGACCCTCCCAGTCGTCCAGATGCATGTACTGCTCCATGCTAGAGATCGCCTTCGGCCGTTCCTCCTCTGAACTCTCCGGGCGTTTCTTGCTCGTCTTGGAAGCGCTCTGCGCCGCATTCGCATTCTTCCGCGCCTTCTTTGGCGCCCGTGTCTCAGGCGGGTCGACGTCCATCTCGACGTCCGAGTCCACCTTCTGGGAGATGGACTTCCTACCCCGTTTCTTCGCGGTGGTCGTCACACCGGCGTCAGAGCTGTCGTCTGCGGTCACGGACTTGCGGGGCTTCTTCGGTGACGCCGTCTTCTCCTTCTCCTTCTTGTCGAGGGACTTGCGGAATGCGTTTTTCTTTTTGTTCGGGTTCTTCGCCCAGAACTCGTCTACGAGGTCCTTAGCGTTGCTGATGTTTACATTGAGCATTTGAAGGATGCAAGCGGATAGGAGGACCTACCCAGCGTCGTTCTCGTCGACCCAGCTGTTGTCCTCAGGCCCATACCCTTTCCACTTGACGAAATACCCTATACGGCCCTAAAACGCGTTATAACGCGTCATCCAGGTTAGAAATGAGCCACATTAAGGTTGGAGGCTACTCACATCAGGGAAATATCCGCGTTTCGCGTCAAGGACTTCTTCAATCTCGTATTCCTCGCCATTTTCACTTCCATCGTCGCCAGACTGGGCGTCGTCGGTGGTAGCTCCCTCCTTGGCGTTTTTCCTAGGTAGAGGGTGGGTAGAGTCCTCGCTCTCTGAGCCTGAAGCAGCAGCCATGGTAAGTTGGGAAGGAGGTGTTCAATGGCTGGTTGGAAGACGAGGTGGCAGCGCTGACGCAGGAAGCAAACACCGTGCGAACGAAAGTTGGCCACTAACAATTTGAACAACAAACAACGAGGACTCCATGCACGACGAGCTGCCTGCCTCCTACACGAGGCATTAGGAGACAGTAGAACTGATGTATCGCTAGGAGATCATCACACCAGTTCGAGAATTTCATTGGAAAAAGAGCACATTCGAGAAAAATTAGGCAAGTTACAATGGTCTACAGCTACCAAAAACAAAAATACCCTCATCTTCTTCGGCTGGGACTGGCGCTGCGTCCCCGTCCAGATCTGCCTTTCTTGGGGCCTGTAGGTGGTGGCCGAACAAACGCATAATCGCATTGGATGACTTGCTCGAGTAGAGGTGTTCCTGAGGCACCGTCGATTGCAGCTTGAGCCTCCGTCATTGTCTCGTATTCGACCAGCGCGTAGCCCTAGAAGTCGGGAATGGAGGAAACGAAGAACATGGGAGTCAGGGGTCTGAAAACCGAAGAACAAGGAAGACGCGTACCTTGACATAACCCGTACGACGATCGAGGTTCAAATGCAGGTTTTTGATCTCGCCAAACTCTCCAAACTTGTCCTGCAGGTCCTCCTCTGTCGCCTCCTCGTGAACGTTTGTTACAAGGACAATCCATCCTTCTACAGCTAAGGTTTGGTGAGCCAAAAGGCGGTCTTTGAACGAACAAACAACGAACATCGAGCCGCTCGGGTATCGGACTCCTTGGTCTGCGCGCTCTCTACACGATCGTATGTTTGTTCAGCAGCAATAGTGCTGTCGTTTCCTCCTACAGTTCTTGACAATGGGGATGAGTTGGACGTGGATGCAACAAATTCATACCTGAATTTTGGAAACCTCTGCCCCGTCTCCTTACTGCACCCCCAGACGCCACTGGCAGGATAGATTAGACCAGAGCATATAAATATGATAAATTGCCGCGTACCGTCATCGATATTCATCTCATCGTCGGACATTTTGGTGTGTTGGTATTGGAGTCGAATGGAGGGCGGGAGGCGTGACAAATGTCACATCCCGACAACTGAATCGGCCGGCCGGCGCCGCCCGCGGTCATTTGATCTGGCGTGATTGGACACACTGGTCGTGGAGACGACTCGCTCTTTCCTGCCATGCAGATCGCTACAGTGGCTGGCGCCGAGCAACGGCCTACGCTGATGCATGGTGATATATTGACTCAAATACGCGCTCGCGCCTCCTGCGTCTTTCCGGGATGTCCACCAGAGGATTCCCAGTATGTATCGAGATCCTGTCGCCGGAGGAGTCTAACATACATAACTTTCGAGGCCGTAAGTCGTTATATCTCACACAAAGGGAACAGCGGAAGCCAAAAGGCTGCTGGTGGGCTTGTCAGCCGAGTTTTGTTTGTGTGTCGTTCATTTGATCCCGATTTCTGCATCTCGAGTTCCACGAGCTGCAGTCCTTGAGACTGTCCGCTCCGTGCCTGACCCAGGTTTTTTTTGAACATGTAAACAATTGCCCTTCTGGAGTTGATCGCGGTAGATCGCGATTTCCTCTTGACCCAACTTGGCCCCTGCATCTTGTTTCACGGTTCCCTGGCAGTTCCTACGCGTTCACACACTTGGTTGATTCACGGACCGAAATCTCATCCACTGTCCACATATTAAAAGCGCGTCGATTCGGCGACAAGAACTCCATCTTCTCCCCAAAAATCCACCGGCCTTCCTTCGTGTTGCTTCCGTCGTCCGAGTCCGCTTAGTTCGTCATGCACGCCGTTCCTCTCATCAACCACCCATGCACCCTATGTTGTAGGCCCACTTCGATGTGGTGCAGCCGCTGCCAGAGTGCGTGGTACTGCTCTCCAGAACACATCCACCAGGACTGGCCACGCCACCGCCGCGAATGCATTCCCGCCATGAGCCCTACGAGCTCGTACAATGTGAATATGATCGCAACACCACCTCCTGCCGAGCCGCAGCTTGTCACCGTGTCCGCTATTTTGTTCTCTCCGGAGGAAGGTGGGTACGAGGCCCATATTACACAACATTTTGCTGATTGACGCCACTGTTCACTCAGAGCGCCCACGAATCGTCACTGTCAATTGCCGGCCCTCCCCGAAAGCATCACAAGGAATGTGCCCCATCCCCGTTCTCGACGCTTATTTCGGCGACAACCAAATCCAATCCATTGTTTTAACACAAGGACTGAACGGCGAACCACTCCGATTCCCCTTGCATCTTTGGTATGCACCTCAGCTCCTCCAAAAGGGTAACCCGGTCAATCGGGCTATCTTCCACATCACGTCTGGAGCTGCTGAAAAGCCCTGGGCTGGTCCGGTCGTCGTCCTCAAGTTTAACGGCTCGCGCCGTCAAGGCTACTCTGACGCAGGCTCGAATGACCTCCCCGCCCTTTCGGCTTATTTCCTTTCGTACAAGTAACTTGCGACCCTGTTACCCGTGAGTTCAGTCTAACGTACCGGATCACCTCCTCGCTAATCGCCTATTCATGATTCAGGGAAACACCAGGCGATATCCATCTTGTAGATTTGACTCCGTCATCTCTCCGCTCCTATTCTGACATTGTCTCCCTACCGTGTCACCCACTGTACTCATTGTAGCATACTTGTCTTGACCTCTCATCGTAGATCTAATAGAAGTTCCCTTTCTCCTGAGTGTTGAAACACCTCATCGTCATTCTTCGTCATTCCCCGGTTTCCATGAGCCTTTGCTCACGGGATTTACCCTTCGCACGGGATATCCACCATCGGGTACCCTAGCGCGCGCTCTCTCCCAAAATTAGATTGAACAGTTTGGCGCGGACATCAGCTAAGGCATCATCTCAAATCATAGAGACCGTGTACTCAGATGAAGATTCCGAATCTCGTGATAGGCTTATAGCCTATATCTGATTAAGATCTTACATCACCTTGTGGGCAACGGTTGTAATCTCTGTGTTCAGGAGAGCCAGAGCCTGCGTTGCGTCCGTATCTATCAAAGCTTTTTGTTGTTGTAAGTCGTCATCTTTACACGCCGCGCGACCGTGCCTATGATCGGAAGGAAGGAAGGAACGCTTCAGCGCTTCAAAGTTACTTAGAGTTTGAAACCTCCTTTGTCAGTTGACGATCGACCGGCGTCAAGTGGATTTGAAGTGGCCATTCTACGACTTTAACCCTTCCGAGCATAGAAACGTGTCTACAAGAGTCATTTGTACGGCAATTTTTCGCTACTATATTTACGCGCCATCGAGATTCCCGTACAGTCAAATTGAAGTGTGAGCGAGTTGTGTATGATGACTCCTCCACTTGAAATTTATTTCATCCAGGTGAGCTTACCACGAATGCCCGTCGGAAGTTTATAAGAATGCAAACTGTTCGAAGCTTTTGTGCCTTGAGATTTAATGTGGCGCTCGGGATTTCGTGAATCTGCCTCCTAGAGGATAATGGAATGCCATAGCTTTCATGGTCACGGTGATGTGGAGCGGACTTGGACGAAATTCAACTCGATCGTGACCCCTAACCCTAAATCAAGTCAGAACAACCGTGCTCGACAAATGGATCTGCTCTTTCCACCACACCATGATATCCTTCACTTCATTCCCGGCCACGTTTCAACAATCGAGCTATGCACACACTCGTCATCATCCGGACACGAAGGAGGACATGATGGATGTGGACGACCTCCAAGACTTTGGCGTACAAGACTCCAAATTGACGTGCCCAGGCGAATACCTAACGTCCTCGCAAGCATTCATGCGGTCAGTAATCGCGCTCAAATTATCTTTTGACCGCCTCCTCAAACTGACTAGCTGCTTTTGCGCAACAGTGGGCATGGAACATACGTGGACAACGAGGAGGTCATTGCATCCGTCGCAGGCACTGTTGAACGCGTAAACAAACTAGTCACCGTCCGGGGAATTCGCAGTCGGTGAGAACGGAGATGCTGCACGATTGCGTCTACATCTGCATCTATCATTCTTATATCAGACCTGCTCCAGATACAATCCGGAGGTGGGAGACCTTGTGGTAGGGCGGATAACAGAGGTACCGTCTATCTTTCTGGCTCTCGAGACATCGTCTAGAGTTGACCTCGCTACAGGTACAGCCCAGGAGATGGAAAGTCGACGCAAACTCGAGACAGGACGCTGTCCTCATGCTGTCTTCAGTGAACTTGCCAGGCGGCGTACAAGTAAGCATATTGCTCATTCATCATTCTTACCCTGTCAGAACTGACGTCGTCACTGCTTTTTATGAAATTTTAGCGCCGTAAATTAGAAAGTGATGAACTGCAAATGCGAGGCTTTTTTGAGGAAGGCGATCTGCTGGTAGCCGAGGTGCAGGCATTTTTTGCTGATGGTGCTATGTCGCTACATACCCGATCCCTCAAATATGGCAAGGTATGAAGAAAAAAATCTTGCACCAGAAGCTTAACTGACGACGCTCCGGACAGCTTCGAAACGGACAACTCGTCGCTGTTCCTCCTATTTTGGTTCGCCGCCTCAAATCACATTTTCTATCATTACCATGTGGAGTCGATCTTATTCTTGGGCTGAACGGGTACATATGGGTGAGCAAACACGTAAAACAAAACGAGCAAGAAGGAGAGGAAGGGTTTGATGCCGAGGCGGTGTACTCCAACGTTAACGATGTATGTTGTTTCCCTCGTGTTGGCTAAATTAGCGGACTTACTGTGCGGTCCTAAGGATATCGATGTCTCAACTCGGACCGCAATCTCGAGAGTTACGAACATCGTTCGTATCCTAGCCTCACACTTCATCCCTCTCACGGACACTCTTCTTCTCGAGGCGTATGAATGGACCGTAGAACACGAAGCAGAGGCCACGAGCACTCTCCAGGAAGACTTCGGCGATGCGTTGGTCGCTTCTGTCACAACTGGTCAATAAATTTGTTGCGCATCTATGTCTGAGTTTGTGTGAGAACTTACCAAGCAACTACCGTGGAAGGAGATACGCGGCGAGCAAGCCTGTACGTGCTTACTCACCGTACTCGTCACTTTCTTCATCGTCTATTCCACCTTCCTCTTCTGTCTCCTCTTCTTCGCCCTCATCATCCTCGTCGTCGTCATCAATACTCTCGTTGACATTTTCATCGTTCTCATCGTCGTCATCGTCGTCATCTTCTTCAGCTGGTTGTGCTTGAGGAGCTTGATTCGGATGTTGTTGAGCCTGGGGATTGTTGTTCGACGCGCCACTAGCCATTTTGCGAGCCTGCATTGCCCTTTTGGCTTCTTCCTTTGCTTCGTCGACTGGCAGCAGTTCTTCGAGGGCCAGATCCTTCCATCGGAGAGAGCCGTTGACTCCACCGCCACCGTATCTCATGTCCTCAAATAAAGCGCGGGAGTGTGGATCGTAGATTGGGCGTGGTTTCGCTGCAGGGTGCTTCTTGTGATTTGGGTTTCCGTATGGGTATGAGGGGTGCATTTGAGATGGTAGGACTGGGAATACATATTAAACACGGCCGCCAGAAGGGTAGAGGAATAGTGTCCCCACTGTCTGACTCGTCGGGATTCGGAGGTACCATGTGAGTTGGGACTTCTATGTCTGAAAAGAAACAGGTTAGACCATGTCTTTCTGTGTCCAAACATGGAGCTCACCATCATCTGAGAGGTCGCCTTTGATGTATTCCGACGTCTCAATCGTATCAATGATTAGGAGGTCGTAGTTGGTCATATGAACATAACTATAGGTCAAGTCCTGCAAGTTAGAGGTGAGAGATGGTTTCCGAGCAAACTTCTAACAGTTCTGACAGTCATCTTTCTGAAAACTTGATGTTGGACAGGAGATGGTGAACGTGGATGGTAAGCCGGACGTTGTGCTGAATCCTGATCCTGACGCGGTTCGACATCTCACGCGTTGTGTGGCGAGATCCTCCACAAATATTAGGCACCGGCATACTGTGTCCGGCCCGGTAACGGGTCACACCAGGAAACGGGTCAAATGCTGATTTCTCGACGACGACAAGAGTTTTCTCTTCAGTTCTTTTGCTATTTAGATTTCAGAAGAGTAGCTACGGCAAGCATAAATATGTGGACATTTGGCGGCCATTCAATACCGAAAAATTGCTCGCAGCTGGCCAAAAATGAGAACAGTACAACTGCAAGTGCTATCGGAAACGGCCACCCTGGTCACAGAAAGAGCCCTCTAGCCGTATAAATGCACACGAAGTATCTACTAGTCCACTATTATCTCTTTATAGGCATTCCGGACTGCAAAGAGTGTAGTAGACTGCATACTTTCACCAAATGGTGAAGAGTTCTCCCAAAACTGCATATTTGACACATCTTTTGGCCCTCATTTATTTCCAGAATTCGGTCTCTCTTTCCAACATTTCCCTCTAATTCTGTACAGTAGGATATCCTCTTCCTGAATTTTAGCATCTGCGGGTCACCAGTCAATTACCTCTTGGTAAAATAGGTGCTGACCCGTTACCTTGGACTTACTGATTTTGGACTCAGCCTCGGAGAATATCCATTACATTTTATATGCCCCACTTGCGGTAGTAAGCATGTACCCTACTTACTCACAGGAAGTATGGGCACACGAGAAAAAAAGTTCGAAGATGTTTACTGGCGAATTGCGTCCAGGAGAGTGAATATGCGCCAGAGTGACCCGTTACCGGGCCGGACACAGTATCGGCACGTGATGCTCCCACGCTCTCATGGCCTAAAACGGTTGCCATCCTCCGTCCACCATACGTTGATCTGGCTCTTAAGTTTCTATCAACTACGTCCAACTTTTGGTGCCTGTTTGAACTCCACAATTTTTGGGCCGTATGGCGGTGCAGCGAAAATTCAGAGTCTCACCAGCGGCCAAAGACCTCCAAAACACTTCCTCCGCATGGGAAGTCACCTAGATCTATGTCTTCTTTCTCTCGTCTCTTCTCCTATAGGCAATATGGCTCCAGGGCTGAGAGTTTGGTTTCCTCGGTCCCTCGTGCTCTATTCTCAGCGAACATATGTCCTGATTCTTTTTCTACCACTTGACATACACCTGCGGATGCAGTGAACGAAGTCGGATGGTTCCATCAAGTCCTCTGGACGCTTGTGGTTGGCTGACGCCGCCTTTAGGCACCAGCGCTCATGATTGGCACATCGGTATTTTTCCGACATTCTCCAACGGATGGAAGCGGGTGGACAGGTGTAACTCTGTGACAGGCCACAGATTGAAGCTCCTTCGAAGCTCCATTACCTCTAGTGGACGATTAGTTTTTTTTTTTCTCAAGCTGTGTCTTTACATGACGTTGATGTCCTCTGGGAGGTATATTACTTCCGTTTGTCCTGTCTCTGGACCTGCACGAGTGGGACGGCGGCCTTCGGATTCCCTGCAAGATGTCGTGTCTGGGATATCTGACAGGCATAGGGAACGATCTCAACGTTACAGGCTGTATTATGGGAAGGCATAGGACCATCTCTCTCAGAAGATTCAGCTGCGATTGAGCGCCGTGATTACTTTCTCTGACGGATAGAACATCCAGGACTCTGTTACTGGCCTGTACACCTTCGGACCAGAGCGTGGCAACCCCAAGCACATACAATGCAATTTGGATAAAGGAGGCCTTCTCAATCAACCCTTTTGGCAAGTCGGCGCAAAGGCACGGTGAGCCGGAAGATTAGATATCACTTTTTGAAACCACCATATCTTTGGCCTACTTACGGTATGAGAATGCCTGTTTCTGCTCTTGTCAAACCCACGGTTCAGTTCTGGAAGCATAATATCGTCTCCATGGTGTGCGAATTTTCGGCACGATAGTATTTATACCACTTCTTTTCGGTATTTTCGAGTTCAAAAAGATGCATTGAAGTTGACCGAAGGGGAGCAACCAGGTAGCGCAGTTCCGGATAGCTTTCTGCTCCCCTAACAGGGAAGTCCACGCAATTGGTGTAGAGCGTCTGACATCACTTTCTGATAAGATGTGTCGTTGTTGAAAAACAGATGTCAGTCTGACTAAGTACAATTCGGACCGAAACTCAGTGCCCGCTGGAAGAAATCTAACGTCGTTACCACAGCTGCAGTCGGCGGTGCAAGACCTGCTCGACAGACTTTGGTTCTCGCATTGACTCAGGTCCCTATCGCAGAAGTCAAAGTGTACACCGCCGTTGGGAAAACTTTTCTTACCCCTTCAATCTAGCTCGACCGCAGCCCGAGGACAACCTCACGTCGACTAGACAGCCTGAGTTCGCGAATATTTTTGTCTCTGCCCTATCGACCGCCTTGTTAGGTTTTAAGCCTATGAATGATCATTAGAAAGACACCTTATCACGAGCTGGGTACAGGAGTCCAAGAGTACGTATTGTCAGGGTGATCTATTCTCAAGCAGTCCCGTGCCGAGTTCCTGTATTCGTCGCCGTTCGCCGTGTCATTCGGAAGTTCCCTAGAGCGCTTCTTTTGAAAGTCCGACAATTGACTGTGTGCGTGGCAGGCGCGACATCGCGAGACTGGGGACCACCGTGGATGCGGATCGTAGTGTTCTCTGACGTATTCACGGTCGACTAAAATAGGTAGCAATCTCCGGATAAAACTCAAGAGTCAAATCTCCAACGGTCGGGAAGATAATGTAGCCATGAAGAGCCACGAAGCACATGGGTATTGTTTTCCAATGCTTCAGCACCCGATAACATAGAAACTTGGCGATGTGCCTCCCAATGACACGATGAACGCCAGCAGCCTTAACGGCAAAGGACGATGTCACGGAGGCGGGAGTAGTCTTATGTCAGCTTGTGTGGCGCACAGTGTCAAGAGGGGTCAAAAATAGAAATCCTTGAATCCCGAAGCGTCTCGAAGGATATTACAAATCAATTCATTTTGTTCGAGAGATAGGGGCAGAGCGTGCGCAATGAGTACATGGGACATTACCAGGAGACTTGGGCGCACTGAAAGTCAACTAGTAACGCCCAGGACGATAAGGTTACGGAAGCTACGTGTCTACACCAGCTTCTGAAGGGCCAAGAAGTTCGGAGTGCCCAAGCCTGTAATCTACATCACACAAATGTGCATGAGAAGCCTGAGAAAAACAGGTAATGCCATGCTGTGCTCACCGGATCCCACCCCTTCCCAGCAGTAAATCCTGGAGCGAATATAGTCCTTAAGAGAAAGAATCGACCATGAAAAATAAGATACTCCACATACCAGCCGTACCGCACCCTGGGTTTGAGCCCGAGGTGATATCGGTGAAGCCTGAGACTGCGGTAGAATAGATGAGAGGGTTGATGAAGCCCAACGAGGGTTTTCCGGTGAAAAGGCGGAAATCGTTCAAGAGAGAGAAAACTCCAGCCACAGTAGGCGAGCTGGCGCTAGTACCGCCGACTGAGGAAACCCGGCCGCCGACCACGACTTGGAACCCCTGGCCTTGCGCTGACACGTCAGGATAAGCCCGACCGGTTTTGCTACGATTTTTCATATGAGTATGAACGTTACCAGACATCTAGGTAAGAAGGTGGCCATACTTGAAGAGCCCGTTGAACTTCGTTCCGAGTCCGGTCAGGAAGGTGGAAACAGCAGTGGCTTGGTAGGAGGGCTGTGCAAAGTATCTGGAAAACCCACCACCTGAGAAGCTGACTGCGACTTCCGGGTTGACTCTGATGGTGGCACCAACCGCAGTGACAAAGGGGCACCTAGGCGCAGCCTTGGAATGGCATAAGGCTCCGAACAGGATGAATGGAACTCACGAAGCTGGGAAGGCAGGTTGGAATAACACGGTTTCCTTTCCATCGTTTGTCTTGCAGTCGCCGCCACCCACGCTTTCAAAGGCCGCCAATGAGTTTGTTTCGTTTACCAAGTAAGGGTGAATACGGCGAACCCGAAATCTCCGCTAGAAAAGAAGACGGTGGTGCCGCGCGAACCCAGCGCCGCGAACATGCTGCAAACCCGCGTGGCATAATCAAGCGGAACCTAGACAAGGTTCTCTGGTAAATATAAAGCAATGTTATTACTGTACCCGTGCTCACAGTTTGCTCGTCGTCTCCATATGATGTAGTCAAAGTTTGAGGGATCGTGCTTTGGGCAAGGAGGAAGTTGAGGAAATCAAGATATGGTTCATTCGTGTTGGTCGGCGTCTCAGAGTCAGGCTTGAAAGGGGGTGATCCTCCAGTGCTTATGGATCTACGTATGAGCCAACGCGATGGGAGACAACAAAGAAGACGTACCTATAATAGATGTTCGGAGTCGGGAAGGACATGCCGGTGGTATATTGAATGTCGAGATTAGCCTTACATGAAGTGGGGTCGTTATTAGAAGAGGTTATGATTAGGTCTCCGCGACGTCGCTTACCTCCACTCCGGGATCGCTCTGGTCATCCAAACCTCCGTTAATGGGAGTGACAGTGAATGAAGAACCGACAGCGTCTGTTCGGAATCGTCTGAAGAAGGTCTATAATGGTCCAATCAGTGAACAACAGGCAACTCATATGCCATATAACATGAAAGGTACCTGGAGGTCAGCCTTGTTAGCGAACTCTTTGAGATACCCGGCCACTCCGAGTTTGTTGACGTTGGTAGCACTCGGTACATATTCACTCGTGTTGTAGAGAGCCCTCAAGCACGCAGGTGTGATCGTCGTGGAGCAGCTGGCTGGGACCGTGGCAGCAGGGGTGAGGCCTGCAGCGACTTTGTCCAGGGAAAGTGGCTTGATGCCGGGCTGCAGGAAGCTGGTCGTCCGCATGCTACGGAGCGTGCCGAAGTAGGTAGTAGGGGCGATGACGTCGATGTGCGAATGCAGTTCCTTGGGCAGAGAGTAGCTCATGGCTCTGACAACTTCCTCACCTGAGGGCCCGTGCTGGTAGACGCCGTACTCAGTGTTGAGCAGACGCTCGGCTTGCTCGACGGAGACGCGGACCGTGATCCAGTCGCCGGCGGAGGTGCGGTCAGCTTCGTCGATGCCGTGGTGGGCAAGCCATTCGTCAACAACTTCGACAGAGTCACGGTGCGGGGCTGAAAACGCCTCGACTTCTTCCTTGCTCAGATGTTGGGCGTATCTGTGCAGACTTTAAGACACTCATCGCGGAATTTTCCTTCTGGGGCGTACCTCGCATGTGATGGATCACTTATTTCCATCAGGTTGGCAATGAGGGTGTCGATGCCGTCCTGCTTCAAACCAATCTTCATGTCGAAAAGGTGGCCGCCTGGGGCAGGTGCCTTGTACTGCCATCCCTTAGGAGTCTCTACCCAAGCATGCTTCTCAGCGACATCGTCCCACCGTCGGAGGAGTTTGGCAGAGCAAATATGCGCAAGAGCCAGGAGGAAGACGGGGCCCGACGACAACAACATGGTAGGAGAGTCACAGGCGTCAGTGATGGGGGGCAGAGGACGTCGAGGCTTCTTCACGCCGCTGTGGTGTAATTTATACATTGACTCGCGCTTCTCGAACGACGACCGGAAAGCCCGTTATCTTGCCTTTTCGCATGATCGTCCCACAAGCGTGAACGCGACACGAGGGCATCGCCTGTGCTCTCAACGCAGCCTGCGAGTGGTGCATCTGGTACTGTGACTGCTGTCTCGATGGCTACACTCGACACTGCGTGAACGAACGCATGTTTCCTTGCGGATAGCGCTCGGAACACCTGCTTCTGGTCCGCTAAAGCATGCCATTTGTCCCTGCTATAATTACCGTGGACATGGATAGCCTGATACTGGGTGAGCGGAGTGAATGAAATTAGCGATGTAACACGTACTTTTCTGCAGGTGGTATCACAACAGGCTATTATTAGCTCGCCGCCACATGCTACGTTCTTCCAGGTGCTAGAAATAGACCATCGTCGCTTTTCTCGACGCGAGGAGCTTCACGAGTGTGGGCTGTGCGAAATGTGCTTCCAATACATGAGATCAAGGTCCCATTATCCCTCAGGTCGGACAGTCCGGACAAAACCCCATCCAAGTTTTGGGCACACAAGGAGTACGGTGCAAGGTCTACATCGAGACGCAATCAAATCTTCAAAAATACAAAGGCGCTTACAGTGCCTGCGTACTAGATCAGAAGGCGAGTCCGACAATAGATTGACACCAGAGGTCACAAGATAAATCCGCGAATATAGCCCGGTGTGCTATAATTCCACGTCAAGCTAAAATAGACCACGAAGAAGGTCAGGTGCTCATTCAACGAATAGTATTTCTGCCCCTGCTTACCCTCCGTTAAGCGATGTCGTTCCAGCAATAGTACAGATATAAGTATGTCGTCGAAAAGGGCGTGGCCTAGCGGCATCATCGTTAGCTTGGATTTAGGTTGTGATCTACTCGGTCGGATATATTGACGGGCGGGTGTGAATTCGGCGTATAATATGCTTGAATCGTGGCGATGCCGGCACTGAGGTGTATAATCAATTTCTGCTTAAAGTATAACGGTGGTGTTGGGATGGATCACTCACAGAATACGTTCCAGATGATGGAAAACCGGGACAAGACCACATCATCTCGCGTTTCCCTCCCGAGTCCCAAGTGAAGAGATACTACGAAAGGTTTAAATTGACACATTTCTTGTTTTCAAGCAAAAAAAAAAAACGCTTACTACTCCTTTCGAGACGGAGAACTTGGAAAAGATCCGAAAGAGTGGGTACTCATGCTTCCGAATCGAAACAGCATTGGCCTCAAACCGAAAAGTTGCTGGCCCGCTCGTGGTTCTAAATATAACGCACATGTCAGTGAGGACACCTCATCCCGTAAAACTCATTCCGGACACCCACCTGATCCCTCCAACGTACGCCCCGTCCTCCGTCCCGCCTCTCCGGACGGACGTTATGATGCTACCGGGGTTAAATGGGTCAAACCCGACGGCAATGTGGTATAGCGGCTGCTGGTCCGCAGAGTCTGAGGGTGGGAGGAGGAGCATGGAGCTGCTGCTGACGCTCAGGCGAGAGAAAGTGTAGGTGACGGGATGGTCTGGGGTTCGGGCGACGTCGTATCTGTTCCGCAATCAGTTCGGTGTGGTTTGGGTAGAGTTGTTGGGGGAAGAACGTACGGTGGAGGCAGCTCCGAGGCCTCTGTGTTTCCCAAGCCGTCCTCCGATGCGTTGACTGGCACGGACATGCTGGTTCTTATCGAATTTCGGTAGGTTACAGGTGATGGGGCTTCATTCGTAGAAGGGCCTTCGTTCGTAGGCAGCTCTTCAGCCCGCGAATGCACCACAGGGCTTGCAGGTGCAGGTGTCGGTGTGCGGGTGACCGTTGGTGAGAACCGTGCACGGAACAGCATAGACGTGTTCTGAAGACTTTACGGTTAATCTTCGCAAGTCATTATCAATTCTTGACTAACGTGATACAAGAGTGTTTCCCCATTGACAGAAACTCAATCGGAGGCCATCGATGATAAGAGGTATGTACTTCGTGATGAACATCATAAAGATAGCGGGATTTGCTTGGCGTGACTTTGTTGACTCCAGATGAGTTTTCGGAAAGTGGTATAAAAATTGGTGAAAAGGGAAATACGGAGCGCATTCAAGCGTATTCAAGGCAGTACGACGATTTTATTCCTTCTCTGAGTACGGGGTGAATTTCTGTGATTTTTTTTTGTAAACGATTTTCTTCACCTTGCCCATATTCCTACACTTTTTTTGAGGATAAGGTGTTTTTATGCAGCACCGGAACCAACTACAAAACTCCATCGGCCTCTGGGTTGCGCAATGGAATTGGTGAGCACTTGACCTCTTTACCCAGTGGATTTAGTCAAACCACTCGTTGAAGAAGCTAGTCATCGGGGAATTCTCGGAGTATGCAAGTTGACCGAACGGTGTTCAGTCAGCCATGAATCCAAGTAAACTTGCTGACGAAAACGTCGACAGGAGTGGATGTACTGGGAAGAAGTGACAGAACCACAAGATACCGTATTTTTTCTTTCTCTTGCTGCGCAATCCCTATTACAAGGATGGGTAACGGTATGAATGGCTGCCGAGGAAAAGATAGTACCTTTTGGGAAGTATCTTGACCGTTGCTTCGAGGACTTCACTCCTAATTGCCTAGTGAGTTTATCCGAAGATGCTATCTAATCCATGCATCGAAGACCAGCAAGCAGGGTCCTACTAAACCCGTACTGTCAGTCGTTCAGTTGGTTGACGGTCGTCTTGTGTTTCGTGGAACTGGGCCCTCCTGTAGCGGAGCCTTGGCAACAGAAGCCATGGGGTATTCACCACTAAACGCTAAACCTATGTAGGAGACCAAGACAGGTGCAACGATGCTCTTCTGGTGACGACGGCGAACACCGAGGAGAAAATGCCTTCGACTTCGAGAGATTTTCTTGCAGAGCAAGCAACGATATCTTGCGGTATCTTGTGGGCAAAGAACCGAGACAAAAGCGAAAGTATGTCCTAACTGAGCTGAATTAGTGGCCGGATCATTGAGGGATCTCGGGGCGGTCGTGTTGACAGATTTTCATCAAGGTGACGAGGTCAGAAAATAGTAGAGGTGCTGCGCAATGGCATTGAGGATATAAACGGTCCTAAGTAGACGGTAGATATTCGCACTCGAGCGCCAGTCAGAGCAGTCCTTTCAAGACGGAAATGACAAAGCAGAGCATCACGAAGATCCAAAATCGAAGAAGTTGCCAACCTTCAAGGTCGAAAGACAAAAATACTATGAAACAAAAGATGTCGCCCAGAAAGACAATTAGAATGTGAGATTGTCCAATTTCTGTGAGAAGGAATTAATGAGGTGAGTCAGTGTGATTGGGAGTAGGAGAGAAAAAGGATGCCGGTTCTGGAAGATGCGAGCGGAGTTGGGATTCTGCTCCAAAAGGCAGGTGTTCCCCACGTGCCTAACGGGACCCACGCAAAAACGGGACTTGGCAACTTGAAGTTGACTAACACCTTGTATTCACCCGGTCTCCGTCGTTGTAAACGGCGAGCACCCACTCTCGACATCGTCTGCACCAGACACCTGACGCTCATCCGTACTCTTGGTTCGTGCTAGTACGAGTTCTTTATTGAACTGCTGTCCTCATGCAAGAAGCTGATGAACAAGGTGCGGCGTTCCCTTTTGTTCACAATTTGCTCAAGCTCACGAATGAGGCTTCCTAGATACATGTCGCATATGCAGCGCACCTGCGGAGCCCGACCAGCCCCTCTTTCATCCATGCAAATGCTCGGGCACAATCCGCTACATCCACCAGGATTGGTGAGCACCAAAGACTCCACTTAGTCCGCAAGTCGTCTGATAGTGACTATCGCAGCTTGACAACATGGCTCGCGCATAGCAAGAAGAAAAACTGCGATGTCTGCAAGCACCCGTACTCATTCACGAAAGGTATGCCCAAGAAGCTCGACGTGCGACGTGTTCTGACAGTGCTGTGTGCTGTGTCTAGTTTACGCGCCCGACATGCCGTCATCTCTCCCACCCATCCTTCTCATCAGACGCCTACTCCAACACATCTTCTCGGGAATAATCTTCTCCATGCGAGCTATCGCTGTTGCTTCTATCTGGTTAGGCGTTCTTCCGTGGGTAACTGTATGGACGTGGAGGATGTACTTCTCAATGGGAGAATCAACGTATGTGGTCAATATATCATTCAGATATGCTTCCTGACGTTTAGCCTCATCTCAACGTAGTGCCTGGTGGATAAGCGATCGTCCGCGACCTCCAACCCCCGACACACATCCTTTCTATAATAAGATCCGTTATGAATCCACCTCGCCACCCCCAAAGACCCTTTTCGCTCGAGTCACTTCTCACCCCGTCTGGCTCGCCCTCTCTGCCGATATCTTTACCGGGCAGATCATCGCATCTCTCATTGTGCTTACATTCGTGGCTGTCTTCCTCCTCCGAGAATGGATATCGCAGAATGCTCGTCCAGGTGTTTTCGAAGACGAGGAACCCTTGCCTGAAGACCCAGCCGCTGTACCTCCTCAAGATGAACAGCCTGGCCGAAGAGATGCCCCTCTGCGTCTAGTATTTCCACCTCAGCAAGCTCGAAGAGCGTTGCAGCCACTCCCACCTGCCCTACGGGCTGAGCCGCCGCGACCCGCAAATAACCCTAACTTGCCTGCTCCTAGAATGGACCCACTGCTGCTTATGGACACAGAGAATCAGCGTCCACGAAACTTCAATCCAGATGATGCTGCGAATCCTGATCGTTGGCAATTAGAAAATAACGGCGAGTTGCACCATAGACGGCAGAAGAAGAAAAAGGAGAAGGCAAGGCAGACAGATGGTGACGAGGGACGGCGGCATCGTCGAAAGACGACCGATTCAGGGGATGAGGCGCAGATGGAAGTGGAGTTGATGAAGAGGAAGTTGTTCCACAAGAGGATACATGTTGCACGAACGTCTGCAGCCAGGAGACGTGTGTATACGAAGCGAGGAACACCTCTTCCACCGCCACCGTCGCCTCCAATTATGCCTCTACCGTTGCCACCTGCTTCATCAGCGTCGACATCGACTAGTTCGCCACAACAGTCGACGTTCGATTTTACGTTTAAGCCGCCGGCTTCAACCACTGATACGACAGAGCCGGGACCCTCTATCACAGGGTCGAGCAATTCCGCAGATAAATTTAGAACACTCTTTAGGACGCCAGAGAATCCTGCACCTTCAAGTACCCCTGGCATCGGTTCTGTGACACATTTATATGTTCCTCCTTCCGGCCCGCCCTCCTCGTCCTCATTCTTCCTTCCTCCGCCAAGCACCTTCTCGACAAATGCGACATATGCACCCTCTTCGTCGTCCTCGTCATCTTCGTCGTCGCCTTTTCCGTCCGTCACCCTCCAACCTCCGAGCGGCACCATACCCTTCTCACTAGCCCAGTGGCCAGCATCGTCTCCATCTCCTTCGTTGCCCGCTGAGGCTGAACCCGAACCCGAACCCGAACCGCTGCAGGGGCTGCCAGTACCTGCACATTTTTCATTACCACCACCTCCATACCCTGGCCCCGCTTATCCTACGAGACCACCGTTGCCAACCGCGCCTCTGCACTGGTCGGCATCAGGGTCCAGCTCGCCCTTCGTTTACTCGCCCGGTACGGAGAGCCCGAATCTTGCGACCTACCGCGCTCCAGAGGAGCTGGAGGCAGAAGCGGGCCCGTCAAATATTCCTGGTGGGTACTTCGATGCCGGGCCGTCTCGTCAAAATGGAGAGAGAGGCGAGTGGGAGGTCCACGTCAACGGGCATGGAGGAGAGGAGCGGGATTCGGACGAGGAGGAGGATAATCGCTCCCTCCCGTCATCGGACGAGGATATGGAGGCGGAGCGGAATCGCTACTTCAAGGCCGCGGAAGAGGAGCACGGCACGGTGCCTGACGTCGTACGTGTGCCGTCGATGGGCGCGCGGGTGCCGATACTTAGAAGACCAGAATCAGGCTCGGACACGGAGGACGAGTCAGACGACGGTGAATTCGAGCTGAACGAGGTGGATGACGGTATTCCGGGTTTGCATGACGAAGATGAAGACGAGCAGGACGAGGAGGTGCAGGACGAGGACATGTTCGAGTTTGAGGAGGGGGAGCCGTGGGAGGACGTTGAGGTTATTGAGGGACAGGCAGGGAATTTTGTACAGGATGCGGCTGCTGGTGCGCAGCAGCAACAGCAGGGAGCGCAAGGGCAGGATGGACAGCAGGCGGACGCGGATAATGCTGCGTTGGACAACGACGAGGCCGATGGGGGTGTTGAGGATGATATGGAGGGAGCGATGGAAGGTACGTCGAGATGAATTAACTTGAGGGACGCCCATTGATCTTTGAGTAGCTATTGGCATGAGAGGGCCGATATATGGCGTTTTCCAGAACGTGAGTTTATCTCTGTTCGTTCTGCTTTTTATCGAGCTGATCATTCGGATTATAGGCCGCCCTCATGATTTTCGTCTTGGATACTGCCATCGGCCTATGCATCTGGGTACCATTTACAATAGGCAAAACCGCCGCCCTGCTATCCGTAAGCGATAGACTTTCTCAATTTTGAATCGTACTCATCATCTGCCTATCACCTCCAGTTGGACCCCCGTCGTCTACTACAAGTGCTACACCTGCCCATCCGTGCGATGCGTCTCATCACAGACCCCATCGTGGACCTCGTTGCCTTCGTTATCTTCAGACTCATCATGCCACGCGTCCTCAACGGTTTCTCGTTGATCTTCCGGGTTATTATGTTCTTCGTGTCGAACTCGATTGGACAGTTCGTGCCAGAGGAGGCAACAATTGGCATGTCGGAGTTTTCTTCGAAAATCGTATGTCATCGCGTCAATTGTCGCAAAAAAGGATCTCTGACCTGCGCCATATTTTCAGTGGAATCATTCGGCTGAATTCTTGAACCAACCGCTTGAAGTCTTTACAGCGTGGACGAATCCCAGCAACCTAACCAAAGAGCACCTCTCAGAAAATTCAACGTCGATACTCATGTCCATCCCTGACCATCTTGGATTCACTGAACCGTATTTCGAGGCATTAGGTAGCGAAGTCCGCGAGTTCGCAACCAAGACGCAGACCACCTGGATTACGCTTGCCCTTGGAACTGGGCCTTCCAACAGGGCTTTCGCGATTTTCCTGGGATACATTGTCGTCACTCTGCTGTTCTCGATTTACCTCAATATCTTGACGGTTGGGAATGCGAAGACGGCTGGTATTGCAGTGAGGAATGCGGTTCGTCAGCAGCTGCTTGTTCTCAAGGTTAGTGCTTTTTTGTTTCTGTATTCGTGTCCTGGGTTTGCTGACTATTTTTGTTTTGTAGGTCGCTGCCTTCATCGTCATCGAGCTTGTTGTCTTCCCACTTGGCTGCGGAATTGTGCTGGATCTATGCACTGTTTGGCTCTTCCCAGAGGCCAATATCCACTCTCGGATTGCATTCTTCAGTCAAGCTCCTCTGACCGCCATGTTCTACCACTGGATTGCCGGCACCATGTTCATGTGAGTTCCATCGCATTTCAACTCTTTCAGTGCCTAACGTCGAAGTTGTTCTAGGTACACCTTTGCCGTTCTCCTCTCCGGATGTCGGTCTGTTATGCGTCCAGGTGCTATGTGGTTCATCAAGGATCCTCAAGACCAGAACTCGCACCCTATTCGTGATATCCTCGATCGTCCTACATTAGTTCAGTTGCGCAAGATTTTTGTTAGTGGACTCATGTACTCGTTTGTCGTTGCTTGTGTTGTTGGAAGCATTGCGGGTCTGTTACTTGTGGGCACACATTCAATCATGCCGTTCAGGTGGAAGAATCGGTATGCCCTCCAACAGCACATATTCTGTATTGTGCTCTGACAATTTGTTTCTTAGCGAGCCACTATCCAACGTTCCTGTCGACCTTCTCTTCCTACACCTTGTCCTTCCCTATACGATGCACTACTTCCGACCTAAACGAGCTGTCAAGGAGGTTGCCACAGTGATCTGGAAAGCACTCGCGACTCGCCTCCGCCTCACCTCATACTTCTTCGGCGGACGTCATCCAGTGGAAGAACACACGCCCGACCGTTGGGTCGACAACCTCATCCGCCCAGAAGTATACGTCGCACACGAGGACACCGTCCCGGACGGCTCCTTCCGGCGGGTGCCAGCAACCGACCACCTCGCCCTGCCTCGCGACATGCGCGCCACTGCCGCGGTCCATGCCGACGGGACACCCTTGGACGATGCCGCCCGCGAGCTGATGGCCGCACAGGACGCCGAAGTGGAGAAGGCGAAGCACATCGTCGCGGACGACTACATGGTCGTGTACATCCCACCCCACTTCCGGTGGCGCGTCATCACGTTTATCGTCCTCCTCTGGCTCGTCGGCGCCGTCATGGTCGGCTTCGCCGTGGCCATGCCCATCCAGCTCGGCAGGAGCTTCTTCCGGCTGTTCACGCCCAAGGATGTGCATGACGGGTACTCGCTCATCGTCGGCTTCTACCTCGTGTGGATGTGCTACCTTATCGCGCGGGCGGTTGATCGGCTGGACAAGAGGAGGCAGAGGCGGGGCGGGGATGGGCCGAAGGCGGACCTGGCGGTGCTAGTGCTGAAGAGGGGCTTTCTGTGGGTGGCGAAGACGCTGTATATGGTGTTTTTCTTGGGGATCGTCATCCCGATCTTGCTGGCGGTGGTCATTGATTTGTATGTTGTGTACCCGCTGCGTTTCGAGCTGGACCCGGACTTGGTACCGAGGATACGCGTGGTGGACTCGTGGGCGCTTGGGCTGCTGTATGCGAAGATTGGGATGTATGTCCTTAGGTTGCAGGGCCCGAACAGGATCACGAGGGGGTTGCAGCATGTAAGTCTCAACTTTTAGCTGGATTCCCTTGCTGTTTACTGATTTCTTTCGGCCCGCCTTTTAGATCACGGCCCTTGGATGGACGCATCCACACCCTGTGATGGCGACGAGGGAGGTGATCGCCCCGCTGATGGGCGGGTTCTTGGGCATGATACTCTTCCCGGGTGTCCTCTTCCGTACTTTGCAGCATTTCTTCCCGAGTGTCAACCTCGACAACAGGTTCATGTGTAAGTCAGGGTCCCACTTCATGTCTACCCAATCCTAACTTTTTCCACTCTTAGTCATGCACGTCTATCCATGGGTCTTCATCCTCGTCGGTGGCGCACGCTCTGCGATACAGCTCTACGAAATCATGCTCGGGTGGTCGCAGTCGATAAGGGACAAGGAGTTCCTCGTCGAGATGAGGCTGAAGAACCATGAGCCCGAGGAGGAGAAAGCCAAGGAGCAAGAGGAGAATGGGAAGCCAGACGAAGGTACCGAGCAGGAGGAGAACGGCCCACAGGCGAACGGAGAAGGGGCAGAGAGAGCGGAGAGGGCAGGACCAGAAGACCACCTGGCGCAGCTGGAACGCGTGGAAAGGGCTGTGGATGCCATCGCGGCGCGCACGGAGGAGCTGGCCCAACGCGTCGCGGAGTTTAGGGAGGCACATGAGGCTGCGGTGGCTGAGATGGAGGGGCATGCCGTCCCGGGTCGTGCGCATGAGCTGCTATAGTCGACGGGGAGGGTGCTTAAGTTCATATACATAGTTCTTTTTTGTTATTGTTGTCGATGCATAAGTTATATTTTAGTGCGCGTGCATAGTACTAGTATTTAGATCTTGGAAGCTAGCTTGTAAGTAATTACCACTCAATTTCACATTTAACCAGTGAAAACGGCGCGTTGCAGGATGTGTTGCCAATCGCCCTTTCTGACCTCGATGAAAGACCTTGACTTCGTTACAATTAAAAGATAGCCTCCAGACGCTAAGCGTTATTTCCGTGTCGCTTGGCCAGGCAGAGGACAGAATGGGCCAGAAACGTCGAGTTCAGGTGCCCCGACACTCCATAACGTAAATCTTGAATAGCTCTTCACTAGAGCTAGTCATATCATTGATAAGAACTCACTCGCATAAAACAATGAGGTATCAACGAGCCGGAAATAGATTATAAAAATACAGTATACAACAGCAAGAGAGGAAATAATATGATGCGCAGAAACCCTGAACCCTAAGCTCCAAAACCATAGAGCGTGCGTCCTGACCGCTTGAGGGCGTACACGACGTCGAGGGCGGTGACGGTCTTGCGCTTCGCGTGCTCGGTGTATGTTACTGAGTCACGGATGACCTGGATGAGTAAGAAAGAGAAAGCAATGAGTCAGGATAAGGAAGGAATGGAGAGGAGAGGAAGGGTAGCAGGCAGACGCACATTCTCGAGGAAGATCTTGAGGACACCACGCGTCTCTTCGTAGATGAGGCCGGAGATACGTTTCACACCACCTCGACGGGCGAGGCGGCGGATGGCGGGCTTGGTGATGCCCTGGATGTTGTCGCGCAGGATCTTGCGGTGGCGCTTGGCTCCGCCCTTTCCGAGGCCCTATAGATTGGACAATGCCACAGTCAACTCAAGTTCTTGAGTCATCCAGAGGACAACGCACCTTTCCGCCTTTGCCGCGTCCAGACATATCTTAGTAGTGGGGTGGGGAGTGTGGTGCTGGTGGTGTTGGTGGTGGTGGGTGCTCAGAAGCGTGGGATGGAGGGACACGGCTCCGCCCAGCCGGTTATATACCACCGCGCGGTGGCTGTGCTGCTTTTACCGTTTGTTGATTGTTGGTGAGGCGCGAGGGTCACGTGCGATACGCGCCCGCGTTGGTATATAACCGGCAGCCCAATTTGGAGTGTGCCCCAACTCGCCCCTTGCACCGCTACCACCACCACTGTCACCAACAACCACCAAACGCATTTTATCATCGTCTCCAATGGCCCGCACTAAGCAAACTGCACGCAAGTCTACTGGTGGCAAGGCCCCTCGTAAGCAACTCGCTGCCAAGTCGTCGGCGCGTAAGACCGCTGTAAGTACCCTTCAGTATTCTTATCGTCGACTTCATACTTAACGTGCTCGTAGGCCGCTGCTGGTGGTGTGAAGAAGCCCCATCGCTTCCGCCCCGGAACCGTCGCCCTCCGTGAAATTCGTCGTTACCAAAAGTCGACCGAGCTGCTCATCCGCAAGCTCCCTTTCCAACGTCTCGTTCGTGAAATCGCTCAGGACTTCAAGGTACTTTGTCCTTGCTATGACTCGTACAACATACCACTGACTCACCATGAATAGACTGACCTGCGCTTTCAATCATCCGCCGTCATGGCCCTCCAAGAAGCCGCCGAGGCCTATCTCGTCTCCCTCTTCGAGGACACCAACTTGGCCGCTATCCACGCTAAGCGTGTTACCATCCAGCCCAAGGATCTCGCTCTCGCCCGCAGATTGCGCGGCGAACGGTCATAGAGGAGGGGATTGGGTTCTTTGGTTTTCGGTTTTTCTTTAGCTTGATTCTATTGTAATTCTAGTGTATTTTCTTATTTATATTTCCTTGCATTCTCCTGCTCTTCTGCGTGATTATGCTATCCTGAACCGTTGACGCTCTGCAATTCGCTCTTTGAAGGGCCTGAGGCATTGAAGCTTGAGGTTTGAAAGTTTCATAAAACAAGGTGGGTCAATTGCCTATCCTGTAGTATGTCTAACTTGTCTGATCTTTACAACATCTTTTTTCGTTTCTTCAGCTCTATGCCTTGTCTACTGCGATGCAGCAATAGACCATCGGTGTTTCGGACTTCACCATATTGTTGCAGACCTTCATGTAGGCTGTGTAGCGAATGCCCTTGCTGTCGGAACGACTGAGAATGCCGCGGAGGCTTTGCTCAATCGCATTCTGTTTGTCTCTGTCGTCGTGGGTCCACGGTGAGCACTGGGTTCTGCGCAGTCGACAGACGATCTGACGAGAAAGGCGAGACAGTGCCCAAATAAGGAAGGAGTGCGTCATCCCGGACGTCCCCACGATTGCTGCGCAGCACAGCAGGCCTTCTCTCCCCGTCTCTCTTGTGTCTTTCAGACGTACGTTCTTCATTTCTACAACACTTACTCGTGCTTAGTAGCCTACAAGGTGCGCCAGAAGATGGCCAAATCACCACGGTTACGAATATGTCTTAGGCGCTCGCACATGGGGCCGCCGAGCAGTCGGCCAGCCGTCTCCAATGGAATGCCCCGATCGCTTTATTACGCAGCAGCAGCAACTGATCTGCCCTGCTCCCCTCTCTCCTTGGCTTGCCGCGTTCCGCCTCATCGCCCCCCAGACAAATCCTTCATAAACCTCGCAGGTCGAGTAGCTGCTTCCTTCCTCCATTCCCTTGCTGGTCACTCGCTTTCTGATTCCGCCTCTTGTCGTTGTTCCGCTTTCTGAAGAGGACATAGGCGTCTCACATCCCCTTGTTATCGACTATCGACTATCGACTATCGACCAGCATTGTTATTGTTCCGCTAAAGATGCTCCTCCCTTCATCATCAACATCCTTCTGTCTCGCAGCTTCTGCTGTTGCTGCCTCACTATCTCTCCCTACCTCCGCCGCCCCTCAAGTCAATGCACCCTCTGGATCAAGCATGGCCCTCAGACGGAGGGCCCCTTCTCCCAAGACCGTCGAAGAGTGGGGTGTTTGGGCCAAGGCCCACCGCGAAGGGCTGCAGGCCAAGTACGGGAACCAGAAATCGAAGCGGGGTACTGGGACAAATCTGTACGTCTTGTCTTGGCCCTTTACGAAAGGGCTGCGGGGTACTCAGAAGCTTACTTCTTCGTTTGTTTGTTTGTCATCCCAGACTAACGAACCAGAACGGCGACTCGAGGTATGCAATGACGTCTTACCCTGGACCATCTGGATTCATGTACTCACTCTTCTCTTGTCCGCAGCTACTTTGGCTCATTAGCCATCGGCACACCTCCAGTATCCTACAACGTCATCCTCGACACCGGCTCCGCGTACGTCTCCACTGATTCAGTAAGTCCAACCTCCTGCTAAACTCCTTCCAGCGACCTCTGGGTAGCCGACTCCGCCTGCCTAACCGGCTGCGCCTCCGTGCCGACCTTCAACCCCTCCTCCTCCAGCACCTTCGTCAACGCCTCCACCGTCTTCTCCATCACCTACGGCTCCGGCCAGGCAGCGGGCACCCTCGGCACGGACGTCGTCCAGATGGCCGGCTTCTCGGTCACGAACCAGGTGTTCGCGGTGTGCAACCAGGTGTCCCAAGGGTTGTTGACGAACCCGGTGAGTGGGTTGTTGGGCCTGGCGTTCCAGACGATTGCGGCGAGTCGCGCGGAGCCGTTCTGGCAGACGTTGGTGGCGAGTGGGGCGTGGGATGAGCCGCTCATGGCGTTCCATTTGACGAGGTAGGTTGGCTTTTTTTTTTCTTCTTCAGCCCGCTCGTTACTTATGTTTACTTAGGTTCATCAACGCGACAGACGTCGAGTCCGAAGAACCCGGCGGCTCCTTCTCGATGGGCTACACCAACACGAGCCTCTACACCGGCGACATCGACTACGTCAGCATGCCCGTGCAGGGCTCGTACTGGATCCTGCCCATGACAGAGCTGCAGGTCAACGGCAACGCCGTGTCGCTACCGTCCGGGCAGCAGTCGTACGCCGCCATCGACACGGGCACGACGCTCGTCGGCGGCCCGGCGGCGTACATCGCAGAGATATTTGCACAGATACCCGGGTCGCAGGCGGGGACGGGGAATTTTGAGAGTTATTATACTTATCGTGCGTTCTTTTCATCCCCGTTTTTCCGCGCCGTAGCAGTGGGGTCCAACGTCGTGTTGAATTTGTTTAGCCTGCGACACGACGGTCAATGTGACGATCTCGTTTGGGGGCACGCGCAGCTGGACGATCAGCCCAGCCGACTTCCAGCTCTCGCGACTCTCAAGAACAACATGCCTCGGCGCATTCTTCGAGCTCCAGACAGGCAGCTCCGCACCCTCCTGGATCGTCGGCGACACCTTCCTCGTACGTCCTCCTCTTAACCAAACCAAGCCTTAACTCAACCTGCAAATTCCACAGAAAAATGTCTACTCGGTCTTCCGCTACAACCCCCTTTCCATCGGGTTCGCCGAGCTCTCCACGACCGCGCTGGCAAGGAACGGCGTCGACGAGGCCGCACCCAGCGCGACCATCGGCTCCGCAGCCGCCACCGTCTCCGCCACGCGCAGCCCGACGTCCAACGCCGCCGCAGGGAGCACGGCGACGATCGGCCACCATGCGAGCGTCGTCTCGAGGGCGATGGTTGTCGCCCCGGTGTTGGTCTGGTCGGTCATGAGCCTGTTTACGGGGTTTCTGGTGTAGGGTAGGGGATGATTTAGGCGGGGTGGGGGTGGGTGGGTGAAGATACTGAAACTTACTTACGAACGGACAAATGGGATGGACATTTGCATACATGTACAATACGCATACAACTCGCTCTGTACTCTTACCTTCCTTACCTTAGATAATACATGAAAAACACTGCGTGGGCACTTTTGTCCTGCAGCATGGAATCCCAGGCAGAAAGATAGCTAATGTGCACTGCCCCTTGCATTCACAAAAACTACTTTACTTTTTCTATATTAGTCAAGATAAGATTAACTGTCTCGCAATGCAGAGAGCTGTCTCGATAACAAGCCCCATGGTCCATGACTCTAGATCTTGCAAGAGGGCCCCCACACCCAATATTAGAACGTCCACGTCAATGAGTGGGGAGAAAAAAGGGCTACTTCAAGGTAACGACCAATCACCCATGTAAGCATTAGCTGGCTACCCGTTCTGCTCTTTTGTCTGCCTCTATTTTTGTCGTCTCTGCCCGGAGGTATCGCCAGTACGAAGGTCCGTAGTAGTAGTACACCACGCCAAACGCGGCACCTCCAAGGTGAGCCCAGTGGTCAAACATTCTAACACATCATGTAAGGGCCAATTAAGCAAGAAAAAGAGAGCAAAACGAACCTCCACCCCCGAAGAATCCCAATCGTATCCAACAGCATCAGCCCACCAACTCCATACTGGATGTTAATCGGGTACGTAGGCGGGATGAACAACGCGACCTGAGACTCCGGAAACGCGAGTGCCGTCACCGTCACCGCAGCGTAGATGGCACCAGATGCGCCGAGGCTGGGTAGGATGTCCGGAACGGCCTTCTTCGCGGCGGTCTGTGCTGTCGAGGCAGATGCAGCGGCGACCGCACCTGCCCAAGTCTCCGTCTTTGCTGCAGTGTTGGCGGATGTTGCGTATTGAGCAACGAGGCGCGGATACCGGAATTTGGCGTTGACGACGTGCGAGACGAGGCCGGAGAAGAGGCCGGCTAGATGGTGGGTGAGATTGGGGATGGTGCGTAGAAATTATGATGAGTTACCAGAGATGAAGAATCCAAGGAAGTGGTAGGCGCTTGTTGACTCTAGAGTGTCGGGTTGGGCCTTATCCTGCTCTCGCAGGAAATAGTAATAGGCAGCAGAACCTTTAATGTTGTAAGGTTCAGTCCATGTAATGGAGCTTTTCTGGTCCGAATACGCACCGAAGCTCTCCAAAGCCAAACAGTTGAACAGGAGATGCAGAGCTGATCGATGACTACAAAATCATCATGAGTAAATAAAAAAAATCTGATATTGGAGCCAAGGAGCACACCTAAAGATACTCGTCAAGAGGGTAAATGACAGACCCGATAGAGGATAGTGCATGAAACTTCTCGTCATATACGGTTGCCACCGCTTAACCTTCCATGCGGCCCACACAGCAGCGTTGAGCAGACAGATTTTCCAGCATAACCGCTTTCCTTCTGAGGCGTCTGCGTACGGCTGCATAACCGAGACGCAGGCAAGGTTTATCCACGGTCGAATAAGCACTGGTAGCTGCTGTACAGTGCTCTGAATATTGCCGAGGGTTTCACGAAGGCCCTGTGGAGAATTGATATGAGCTCCAGTTTCCTCCAGCTTCCTGACGACGCGACACTGACTTGTATTAGCTCGACGTTTTGCGCACGCTTCAGATCCGTGTTCGTGATAGTTTTGACGCTCCAGACAGGAGATAACGTCGTCATTCGCTCAGTCCATCGTAAAGTTTCGACGGTTGTTTGCGAGGCGGCAATTGAGATGGCCAGAAATGAGGTCGCAGTCACGAACTTTAGAAAATGTGAGTGCGCGAACGCAGACGCTAAGGGCACCGAAGACTCACGGCGACTTGCCATATAACACCAGGCTTTCCAACTTTCTTCACAAAAGTGGGTCCGTCGTCAATAACAATCCTTTCCGTCGATTCTCGTATTGACTGAGCTCCTTCTTGTCGAACACACAACGAAGGTCGCAGCGAGGCGCGTAGAGCATGACTAGTTGATAATGAGCGTAGAGGTAAAAATGCAGATTTACGAAGAATATTTGGAGGGGTTCTTAGTGGCTGGCATCGAAGGTGCGTCCAGAGCATCGAGGTGTAAGCCAACAGAGACGGTGCACTCACTGCCGATGACGATGCGTAACCCACCGAGCGAGCTAGGGTTAAGGTTTATCTTATCTTATCTTATCTTCTCATCTGCAGTGATCAGTCCACTACATTGCTGGCAGGGCCAGATTTTCCCTGTTGGAAAATGTAATCTTCTGTTTTTAAATTTTAGAGCTTCGAAAATGCATTACCATATGGAGTACCGAGAACCTAAATGGAGTACCGCCGGTACTCCAAAAGGAATGCATTTTCACGACCCCAATATTTAAAAACAGAAGATTCCTGACGATAACATCTGGCCCTGCCAGCAGTGCTAGTCCTGCTTGAGAACGGTCACTTTCTTCTTGCTTTCTTCTAGAACTCGCGTTTCGGCTTATGTGAATTTCTTCTGTCCAGTGTATCGTACTGGTACCAATATCAGGATCTCTCGTGAATGTGAGTCTCCTGTCGGACACTCGGACTGATCCATGAGACAAAGATAAGTAATTGGTCATTCTGCCCTTTCGCAATTGCAGCCTTGGGCCAGGATACAGTCATCCACTGGCTAACGATACACCCAAAATGGAAAACCGTTTGCACTCGAAAAAAAGTCCACGCACAGCGATGAATAGTGTTTTAGCTACGAGACATTGTCCGTCTGCATACAATACAAAAAAAACTGAATAAAAAGGGCCAGAAACGGTGGAGATATCGACGAAACCGCGGAGAGATGGGAAAAATGTCCACATCAGCCAATGAGACACCAGGCCGGCAACGTGACAGGCATGTGACACAAGATCCGAGATAAGACACCTACTCGGCCTTGTCAGTATCCTCGTCTTCCTCGCTCGACTCTGCCGCTGAACCACCCAAAAAATCCTTCAACTTCGGTGGGGGGACACACTTGGGAACAAATCCCATCTTGGGCTTTGGGGATTTGAATGTCGAAGCACGTCCAGTCCGGACTGCATTTGCTCTTGTCTTCGCCTTCTCCCACGCTGCCACAGCCTTCTTGTGCTTCTCGGCCTCCTGTTCCTTGAGCGCCTTCCGCCCCTCTTCCTCCTTGTCCCACTTTGCCTTCGCTGCCTGATATGCAGCTCGGGCGTCCTTCCTCTCAGCCTTGTCCCGCGCCTCAAGTCGTTTGCGCTTCTCATGCTCCTGCCGTGCCTCGTAAAACTCGTCCCCAGTTAGAAGACGGCCCAGACCATCGGCCTTGAGCGTCTCCTTCCCAGTGCGTCCACCCTTCTTCTTCTCTTCCTGATGCTGAAGCTGAGATTTCGCTTTGCCACAGTACACCTCGTTGAGCAGATTGTTCGCCTGGAGCTCAATGTTCCGGCTTGCAAGCTTGCTGTTTGTGTCATGAGATTCACGGAGGGCTGCCAGCAGGAGAACTTCTGTCTCGGTCTGTGGTTGAATCGACAGGAGGGGTGGTGGTGCGGGAACATGAGTAGGGATGGTGTGAGGGATGGTGGTGGGCATGGCGTCGTCAGATGTGATGAGTGTGGTTGAAATGAGGTGAGCCAGCTTGGTTTGTGATAGACCAGCAACCGCTTCGTTGATCGCTGCATGTTTGGTGCCACTTCCAGATGGAGGTACCTCGGAGATTGTACCAGATTCGACGTCAGATGATACGGCCAGCTTGCGGAACATGGTCGCAAGAACGTTGATGGCTGGGTCGGTTGATACGAGCGGCAAGGTAGCTTCAGACGAAGTTTCCTTGCTAGGAGCAAGCATGTCAGGAGTAACGACATCGGGGTTGAATGGCCACACGCCAGTCTTGCGAAATGCTGCCTTGACGTTGTCCTCGGTGAGTGCTCGCACGTGTGCCCTGCTGTAGATCTCGAGAAAATTCTTCTTATCCATCGCAATCCCATACTTTCGTAGCCATCCGTCCCGTTCCTCACCAATGCAGCGCTTCAAGACCGCAAATATCACGACGTCAAGCCCCTGATAGATGTGGGTGGTGTGAGAAGGATAGCAAATGACGAGGATAAGGTGTTCACGTGCATAAAGCAGGAAGGCGACAGTATAGTGAGAATTGTGGCCATTGACCAAGAGAAGGCGATACTCTCCTTGCTTGACTTTGTCCTTTGTTGCCTTATCGAAGATCTTGATCCACTCTGCACCGATCTCTCCGTCCGTCCAGCCCTTCTTCTGGTAGCCAAGCCTGCAATTAAATATCATGATTAGATCCAGAAAAGGTGAGTCATGACAAAATGAGAGGAGAACTTACGTCGCATTTAGAGGGTTATTGTCACCCCATCCAACTTGGAGGGCCTCACCCTTGAAAATAACGGTAGGAGGAATAGCTGTGCCGTCAGCACAGATGGTGACCAGAACGGTGGTGTTTTCGCGAGTCCCACCACGTTGCTGATATTGTGGCCCCTTTCCATGGGCTGGAGCAATGACGCGCTCGCTTTCCTCGCCGCGGTTCTGTATGCCGATCTCATCAGTTCCAAAGGTGGTCTCAGGCCGGATGTTGTATTTCTTGATCGTCTCGTTGAGTAGGGCCCAGTACTGCTTGTTGGCTGTCGGATTGGCACCACGGCCTCGCTTGTCCTCAAGAGGGTGAGAGTCTTTCATCTTGAGACGGTCGGAGTGTCGCTGCACAAAGCGTGTGGTCCAGTTTTGACCCACACCCTCGACTGGGAAGTTCTTGCGTTTGCGGGCATGGCAAATCATATCGACATGCTCCTTGAGACGTCTATGACTGAGTGGCCATCCACGTGCAGCCATGTCCAGGATAAATTCGACGACAACATCTTCTTCACCCTTCGAGAGCCATGAACGGGTGGCATTGGCCTGGACTCGAGTTAGCCCACCATCAGCCAGTCGACTAAGGGTCATATGACTGAGACGGATTCGATCTCCGGTCTCCTCGAAGTAAAGCTGTTCGAAATCTTTGCAGATAGTGCGCAGCCCTCGACAGGCACGATGGTCTGGCTTCTCGAGCTCAGCACGGTAGGCCTCGACTGCACGTGACATCAACGCTTCATGAGCACGCTTTGCCTCCTGTTGCCGCTGGGCTAGCGACTTGGGACGGCCAACCATAGTAAGAAGTAGGACAAGCAGTTGAGTGGGGAATACGATGTTATTGTGGTGGAATTCAATTTTTTTTGGCTTAAAAGCGCTGGACATGCTTTGTGCATGTTGAACAACCATATATCACGTAGTTCTCGCAGTAAGACAGTGCCAACGTTGCCCCCAGTCATGCAAAGATGCTTCCGTTTGACTTGACTTGTATCACATTAATTAAAATTAACATCCGTTGGCTCTAATTCCCGCTCATAGGTGCTCCCACCTTCGTCTATAAATTCAGAACCCAGGATTTCGGTTGGAACACAGAAGCATTCAGAAGAATCTTTAGTTCTCAGACGGTTAATTTATTTACGAAACACGTTACAAGGACACCTTTACAGTGCTTCTTCTCACTACAACTTGTTTTGTGCTTCTAGATATCACCGTTCTTGCAGGAGAGTGAAATCGGGTTTGGGTGTATCACCGGCTGATTATGTAACATTAGCCGGTGGATGACTGTACTGGTATACAGAAGGATCCAGAATGAGATTTTTCACAGTGTGAATGATGTATGAGGGGAACTAGCCTCTGCGCAACTTCAATTTACCGTAGAACAAGCAGATGTTTCGAGGGGTTTCTGAACATCCCTGCATTATTTATTTTCCTCCTATAATTACCACTTTCCCATCTCATTCCAATGTTCCATTGAATTCGGCGCCGGCTTCCAAGCTAGAACTCGAGGACTCGCGTTCATACTAAGGTGTCGGTCAGTCAGGCTTATATATGCCATACCCAGTCCCTCAACACTCTGACAGTTCTAGAATTAATAATCGAACAGGTGGACGTAGAATATCAGGGGCACTTTGCGATATGACTTGCGACAAGTTGGCGCTCCTCGGTCGGCAAAACCCGGCGGCTCACCGGCTACCCATGGCGGCTTCAATACGGGAGACCGAGTATTAGCAAGGGAACCGTCCTTAACCGTCCATATCCGCCACGCGTTATAGACGAACTGGAAGAGAAATGTTTCAGCCGTGTCATAGCCGATTTCGGAGGGCATTTCGTGCTAAAAAAGGAAATTTCTCAGAGGATGCGGCGCCATGAGGCTGGATTGCGCTGAAAAGTGAGATGCTGACCTTCCCCTTTCAAATTCACTCCAAATCAAGGCCAGAAATGAGACCTTTGATGCTGAGAAAGGTGAGATGTTACTGGCAACCAAACGACAAGCTTCTGATATAGTGCATCCTGGGATCTCGAGACAGACTCAGAGATGGTTGGTTTGGTACAGAACCGGCTTTCCTGGATCAGCGTTGAAGCCGGACGGACTGCCCAGGTGTGTGGTGTGTGATAAAGTGTCCAGCAAAGCTCATTATAGTTTATTCGAATCAGGCAGAAGAAGTCCAACTCCGCGGCAGCCATGACAGTCGTCGTGCAAAGCAGTTCAAACAAGATCGTCGCTTCATTGACTTGCCATTCTCGTACTATCACATATCACAATTGAAGGTCCATGTGTACACACACCGAAGAGGCCTGTTCATTCCTTGATCCGTCTCAGACCATTTAAATTCATTCAGAGCAATCCACTTCGTCGACATCTCCTGATTTCAGTGTAGATGACGCTGCTGGAGTCCTGAAGGACTCAGATGCCAAGGCGGCAGCGATCGCAAACATGGGGGAACCGTTCGCGAACCAGCTCCTGGGTGGACCCCAACCTGAAAATAAAGGTGTAAGGTTAACTAACCGCGGTAAATTCTGGACATACCTTTTGGAGCATTCGTCGCGGCACGGGTGCCTTGCGCGCTCGTGAGACGCACTTAAAGCACAGTCTTTCCCATTACAATCGATCTGAGGATTGTGTTAGGATAGTCATGAAATTAAGTGTCAAAGTCGGAGAAACGAGCGTACCTTCTGTCGCTTCTCAAGGACTTCATGCTGGCATGAATATCCTAGCATGATATGTAGTAAATAACACATGTGGGGTGAAGTTTGTTTTGAATGGTGCGTTGTCGGGGCACGAAAGATACTAAGTGGATTGCTTGAGGGTGGCTTAAGTAGTTCCCCTCGCTATCTGAGAGCGATGAGTCCAATGAGCGAGGGGGGAAGTATGCGGTGTGTGATTACCTTTGCCACCTCTGAATCTTGTCGGCAGAAGCGTCTCTGAAAGGGATAGACGGATTGGAGTTTCGGAGACTCGGAGATCAAAGGCAAGGACAGACGTCGAGGTCCTATGCCAAAATCGATGGCATCAGGGTTCATTCACATAGCCTTCGAAATCGACGATGTCGATTATCAAGTCTTATGGCAAAAGGAAGGAAAGGACCATTCGCCCCAAGACCCCTGCCACACACGCTAGCTGACGACATACGGTTGGACTTCGTTGCTCCGACATGATGCAGTGTAGGAGACCTATGAGAGGAAAACATGGTTCGAATAACAAGCGACAGATGTATTTGTGCAATCATTCCGTACCCACGCCCAACACCAGTGACCTTGCAAAGTAATGTGCTAGAGCCAGCCGCACAGTTTTCAGTCGCTCGAGGACTTCTTTTTCGCTTCGGGCTGCCATAACACGTATTAACACCGAGAGATAATCATCACCTGCCCCTTGAGATGCCCGCACGAAGATTTCTTCGAGTCTCTGCAATAAGAGAGAAGTCGATGAAGACGAGAATAACAGCTCGGGTGCTGAGGCCAAATGGTAAGCGTAAGTTTGGCAACTTGTTTGACTGTGAGAAGAGCCTAAACGTACCGTATCCCAAGAGTGGTATCGCGTCACACAGCACAACAGCCCACCAAGCAGTTGGTGCCACGTCCCCGACGAAGATGGCAATAAGATCGTCTGCCGCATCTCGGTATTCTTGCTTTTCTAGCAGCTCATGGAACCGAGCATATCTGACAACGAATACCAGACGGTGCACGAAGACACCCTGGACAGTCGATTGAGACCCCAGTTCTTGCACAGAGGGTGCGATTGCTAACGCATACTTGGTGAAATTTGATGGGCCTTCTTGTGGGGTTAGCTTCAGAAATCTATCGAAGGTCATGGAACGGAACCCTACCGCTGGTAATATATTCATCCAGAACACTATCCACGACGCGGCCCAAACCCCTCCAATCCTCGGCTGATATGCAGTACGAGACGGCTAGTCCATAGTCCTTATCTTCAACCAATGTTTGAGCAGCAATCTGAGTAATATGCAATAAATAAAACTCGAGAAAGGCAAGACAAAAACAAGGAAAAACACATACTCTGCAAACAGTGCGTCGCACGTTCTCGCGTTGATACTGGAAGCAGGTCTTGTTTACATCTTTCAGAACTCCGACAACATCGCCCGCCCGAATCCTACTATCCACTCGGATGTCTGAATTTTGCTCGTGCAGCCGAAGTGGCACACGAAGTAAGACTTCGTCAGCTCGGCATTTCCCAATGTGTTCGCAAGAATACATGTAGTCGACAGTTATGCGCCACAAAGCTGGGTCTGAATGGAGATAATCCGCGTACGCCAAGACGTGGTGGTCACGCAGTGAGACTCCTGATCTACCAAGAGAGAATATATTTGATGAGATGCAGAAAGAGATAAGAATATCCTTACTCTTCGTCTCCATCTTGCTCAATCAGCTGCAAGATCTCCATGAAATCTACCAGGTGACCAGATAGCCAGGGATCCAGGCTAGAGGCATGCTGCAAGGCCTCCGCCGCTTGGCCCGAAAAAAGAGCAGCATGTATCATGTCTTCCGAATCGGTGGGATCTGGGGGCATTTCGGCGATCACTTGCGAAACCACGTCTCTGTAAATATTGGCTACTTCAGAACACGGAGAGGTGCAAGGAAAACAGAGACTTACGGCAGCTCCTGTCGTCTCATTCTGGGGTCTACAAAGACCGCCCAGGCTACGCAGGCTTCCTTCCAATCCGCTCCCAAATCTTCACACACCCGCTGAATCACATCGGGCCTGCCCTCCAGGATGCCAACAATACTACTGAGTTTGTCCCACCAATTGTCGAACTCATCAAACCGGTCTTCTTCAGGAACTTTATCCATCTCTATTCTGAGTGCCTTCACTTTGTCACCCCATCGCCGGAGAGAATACGCAAAATCTCGTTCGGATGAGAAGCTCACAAGCCGAGGTTGTGATTCGATAAGAGGAACGAGGGTACTTGTGATTCGTTGGAGTTTGGTCGATGGATGTTGATCTAGAACCCCCAGGAAAAAGAGCGAAGCCTTCGAGAGTCCCCGTAAGACAGCTCTGAGCCATGTGAGCGTCGCCCCACACGACCAGTGGTTTTGGCTCACCTTGTCAAGTACGGCCAAAAGGCTTCATCCTCCCAAGGGCGGTCCAGCGTACTCAAATAGTCTCCTTCCTCAGTCGATGGTTCGATAAAATGAGTGTTCAGCCACTCCATTAACTCGTCTGCCACAGGTGCTTGGTCATAACCAAATTCGGGCAAATACAGAATCACAAATAGTGAGAGGGAAGTGAACAGGCTGCGATAATGATCGCTACTGAACTGTAGCGGGCCTTCTTCTGGTGCTATTGAGGTCTGTTTGTATCGTAAGCTTGCTTCAGAGGTACCGTCGACAAGAAGACCCACCGAAGCGTGTCTCCAGCATTCTTGGACATGGACGACGTAGTCGACAGCGAGTTTTCGTATTACCGTGTAGTATTCTTCGCTCTGGGCCCTAGTGTGACGTTGTTACTTTGGATGCACACTGCAAAGGTTAACGAGGGATGCCAATGGTAACTCACCAGTCAGGGCCTCGACTAGCGGCATCCTTCAAAAGGTTTTGAAGAGCAGCAAAAACGATTGAAGTATCTGTTAGGAACTAGAGATGGTATCAGTCACTTTACCATCCGTACTCAATGAACGACGTACCAAACGCCTTTCGGAAGAAGGAACAGTGTTTCGTCCGGCAAAGTAAATCGGCTGGTCCTCATCCACAGCATGTCTTTGATCCGCGGTGGGAAGGGCCTACAGTTCAAAGATTGTTAGCTCGAATGTAAGCTTCGTTGTGTAACCCTTGATACCGCGTTCTGAACGAAAACCGCAAAAGCGTTATCGGCTGGTGAGAGTGTAGCCGCAAGCGTCTGTCCCGACTTTTCAAGTTCTTCTGATTGACCCGCCTCAACGAGAGGTGGTGCAAGGTTCAGGTGTTCGATGGTGAGCATAAGCGGAGAACGTGGAGCCAGAAGTTGAGGGAAAACAAGCACGGAGCCAGTTTAACGCGGAATTCTCGCTGAACAATAATATATTACGTAATCGAAGCTGCTTCGGACGCGCCAAACACTGCGTTCTTCCTTTACGGCCAGTTTCCAACAGCTTTCCGCTAAACTTCTTCAAAGCTCCGTCAATGCCTGAAAATATCCTCATGTTTGTCGCATACTTAATAGAGCTCCGCAATTACACTCTACTGGTGTTACGTCTTTCCTCCATGAGTCCTTTTCACTCGTATTCCTTCCATTTTGATGCCGCTGAACCGACATGTACTACTCAATCTTCTTTCAGTTAAATATGCGAAATCCGTTTTGAGAGAAATAAAACCTCTATATACGTTTCTGTGGAATATGTTAGGAGACAACCTGCTGTGAGAACTTAGAAGCCAGTACGAGCACGACATCGGTCTCCGAACTAGGTTTGCCATAACGCATGGTTTTTGGACGCCCTCGAGTTGTGTCGACCAAAAGCGGATCTGCTAATTCTCGAAGTGAGTCATGCTTTCCAACCGCTCTTCTAACAATTTGGAATGGATCCATGCGGCACGGTTGGCCAAAAAAAACCCTCCCACTCACGGTTACATGAGGGAACAGTCTTGTCGAAGAGAACAAAAGGGTCAACTCTTTTAACAAGAGAACCTTGTGATGCTGACATGGCGGTCTTAATGCTGACGATCTTATCAAAGAATCAGATACCGCGACGACGGGTCGACATTCCTGTCGGACTTGTCCTCAAGTTAACCGATCAACGTCCCTCGAACTTTCCATCTTCCTCTTTCAAGAAGGTCGACTTGGAAAGTCCACCATCTACCTCGATTAAAGACACGTCGAACCGATGCTTCCATGTCAAGTATATCGCCGCCCAGTGCAGAAGAAAGATGGTCCTTGGGTTTTCCCGTCAACTGTGTAGGTTGCACCTGTGTCGGTCCATCCCACATCTCGATTCTTGCCCTTGATATCATCTACATTGTCTACCTGAAGAAGGCTACTGAACCGCCGTTCGAACCTCCAATTTTCAGGTGTAAGGACGACCAAAGAATACCTGTCCCCTCGTCGAACTAGGTTTGAATCACACGATCTGGCCCTTCACAGCCCCGCGAGCAGAAGGCCTGCTGGCATATATTCAGCGATACCTCGAGGTGGAACGGTAAGAACTGCGCGCATGGGGCTAGACAAGCTGTCTGTAAAGGGGGCCAACATACTAGAGTTCCTGTCTCAGCGGCGGTTATGTGCGTGTTGAATCCCAAAACACCTACACTGCGTACTCAACGCACCGAACACGTTGCAGGCCGGCTTACCCATTCTATACACTCGTCCTGGCACTGATATTCCTGTACGAGCCTCCAACTCAAAATTATGCCCACAGGGAGCCAAATGTCGTCACGGCCGGTGCCTTTACTCCAATGGAAGGAGGCGCAGCAAACCTTCTGCGATAGCCTATACACTCGTGGGCTAGCTCAAACGGTTCATTCGAAGAACGTCTCCTATCCGACCTAGAAGTCTTGGACTTCAGATACGACAAAAAATCGTGGCGGCTTACTGCAGTCAGACAGCCGAGATGACGACTTAGCTATATCCTACTCCGAGTCAACAGGACTGGGAGAACCTCTCTGGCTCGAGGCGGTGCTAGTGAGTGGAGTTCTTGGCTTCAAGTTGTGTAAGGGACAAGATTTTGCCCAAATTCTGGTTGCAAATCCGCCACACGACAAACCCCACTGCAGTTCATCCTTCTGCGAAGCTATGGCTGAAAAGGTTTCTTTCCTCATGTCCACAGAGCACACGAGGGCCATCTCACCCCAGTATTTAACATCGACAACATGATACGGTTTCAGCAAACCTAGGCTAGCCCACTCACGCGAGGTACCTTCCCCCAGTTTCTTTACGGCCGCCTCCTGTTCCGCGCCACGGCCTTGGGTTATATGACGAAACCCTTCAAGGAGACGTACATCAGCAGTCTTCTAGCTAGAACGAGATTTTCGGAATTCCACACCGCCGAACACCGTGCCTATTGACTTTTATTGACAGTGGCGATGAAGCGCTTGGAAAATCTCGCTGAGAGGACGGCACGCTGAGGATGGCACTCAGATGAGGAGCTTAAAATGTACTCGTTCGCTCGGCCACCATAAAAATGGCATTTCTTTTGTCGAACATATACATGTACACAACGCAGATACACAGTAGAGCAATAAGGCTCCGTCCCTTCTTAGATCCATAGATGGATAACGATACCGATTTCATGTCGCCTCACAAATCCTCGGTGCCAGCCCAGAGTTCTGAATCCGTGGTGTCGTATTCCTCGATGGTTATCACGGGCACAAGCTTCCGAACGTCCATCTTCCCCAGAAAACCGGCACGAGGTGTCAGTTGCCACCGCTCGGGCTCCGTCTTGATGTCCTCCAGGAGGTCGCTGACGAACATCTCCCCGTCGACGTCGAGAGGGTGGAGTTTAACGCTCCAACCTAGATAGATACGGTGCATGCCCTCGGCATCACCGTCGTCCTCGCTACTATCATCGTCCGATGCATAGAGATGGTTCAGCGAACGCAAATAGAGAACGATGCCTGTGGAATGACGGTAGGAAATGTCGTAGTTCTGTAGCATCTCCATTGTGCACCCTCGTCGAAGGAGCTTGAGAGTATCAGGAGGATCATCTGCTGGTGTATCGTATTCTTCCGGACTAACAAAGACGGTCGGAGGTGTCCAGTGTGGCAAAACATATCGAGGCAGTCTTGCATCATCCTCTTCATCGTCGCTTTCGTTTTCTTCAATTTCGTTAGCATCGTCATTTTCGCTATCAAACCCGTCCTCTTCGCCGATCCCGACATCGCTGTCGCTTGAATCAAAGAAAATAGTTCGTCGAAGCGGCGTTCGCCCGTAATAACGCGGGGGATTCATAGTGAGAATTTCCACTTCTGACGATTCAGAGCTAGAGTCCTCGTCCTCGTCATCACGGCCGTCCTCTTCGTCTGTCTCACTTGAAGGAAAAATTCCCTTCCATGGGTCTTCGTCAATGGCTTCTTCAGGAGGTCTACCCAATGACCCAGGAGAAGACGGCTTCGCACTTCGTAGAGCCGTCGCGATCGCTTTGACCATGAAGACTGGTACGGGGCGACGTTTAACAACTGCTCTGCACGAAGGACAGGATTTAGTTCGCATGAGGGTGTACTGCGGGTCGGTCAGTTCATCAGGTTCGATATCCATGTCATCGAGGGTTGGTGGCGCTTTTCGGAACCACTCTTGAAGGCAGTACAGGCATAGAATGTGCCCACACGGTGCAAGCCTATCATTTGGGGTCAGAATACTGCGATGGGATTAGAAGGCCTACGTACGCGAAGGGTTTGTCTGGCAGATCCATACAAATCTGGCATTGAACCGATGATTCGATCGTTGACAAAAGCTAGAGACAGAAAGATGAGGATTTCACCGCTCGACATCGCTTTTTGGCGTACCTCCTCGCGTTTAGCGTGGTCGCTTCTGACCCTAGTAACTTCTGACTCCTTCTCTTGCAAAGTCTGGAACGTGGTCTTCCTCAGCAAATGATTTTATCCGAGAATAAGACGGCATACCAGCGTCAATGCATTTATTTCGGATTTTGTTTCTTCCAATATCTGCAATGGGCCACTGCGTTAGCGCAAGGAAGCATCCATGTTTACTGCACCATGAACCTTGGTCTGCTTCTTGCATGACTTCTTGCTCTCGTACAGGGCGGCCTTCAATGTTTCTATTTCCTTTCTCATTCTCTCGTATTCAGCAACGGCTATTGGTCCTGTGTAAGAAGACTCTCGATCTTCCTCGTATTGCGCTCGAGATAGACGCGACTCGTGTTGGTGATGATAGGGGTGCCGTGTTATGAGAGCTTTCCCCTTTTTCTGTGACGAGAATGGCCGCAAGTCAGATTCCAGCGGTGGTGGATGGGATAATGCAGAGAATACACGGGAAGAGGACATGTGGGGTGGTGATTGGATTCGAAGTGCACTCATCTCCGCGTTCCTGTTCTCAGATTGATCGGAATGCCGCGAAATGTTGATGGACGAAGTAGACTTCTTTCTCTTGACCGGACGTGTGGGATGGAGGGTGGAAAGGATAGAAGCATCGTTCGTCTCATGCCGGTGCGTGTGACCTAGACTTGTATCACAGGACGAGCTGCCGGGAGAGGACAGGTTTCGGCGGTGAAGTTCAGTTCTATTGATAGTCACGAACTCGTCGAGGGCGGCCTCAGTGATAGATCTAGAGGGGGTTTGAAAGAGCTGAGCTACTCGTTTGCGGATTGCCTCGCTACCGGACGCCCTTCTGCTCGACGTCCGAGTATCGCTGAACGAATGGAATCCTTGACGCCCATCCTCCATTGTGCTGCAGGGCCAGTCTTCTTATTAACTCGGCTCGTCGGTGAGCCTGGGATTTGGCCACTTGGAACACGAAGTAAGCGCCAAGTTACTTCAAACTTCAAATACATGGAACTCACATAGAATCGACGCCTATTCCTTCGTCGTCGGGCGATATGGGCAGAAGCAGAGTGGAGGCAGACGGAAATGGCATCAAAGCGCCATTGTGATTCCAGGAACGCGATAGTCACAGGTCACAAAAGCCCTTGGAGATAAGATTAGATTGATTTCCAGACATTTTCATCGGGCGCTCCAGACAATCTCAGCACGGCCGAAAACAACTTCGATTTCAAAATTTCTATTCCAACCGAACTCTGACTCGAACCACCATCTACCTACAGACAATGCCCACAAACTCGGGTCGTGTCCTCCTCGCATACTCTGGCGGTCTGGGTAGGTTGCTCTCATCAATTGCATTACCTCTCAATCCTCATCATGTCGTCTAGATACGTCCTGCATTCTAGCATGGTTGATTGAACAGGGCTATGAGGTCTATGCCTTTATGGCCGATGTTGGACAAGAGGAAGTATGTCGTATCAGTAGTTCATCACTCATAAGTCACTCATCATGTCTCCAGGACTTCGCCGCTGCTGAGAAGAAGGCCCTCAAAGTCGGCGCCAAAAAGTTCTTCCTAGAGGTACATAGATGATTTTCATATACCTGAACGACCGAAAAGCCTAACTCTCGTCCTAGGATCTGAAGCGCGAGTTTGTCACTGAACTTATCTACCCTGCCGTCCAAGCCAACTGTATCTATGAGGTACGTTGATTGCTAGCGATGCGTCACAGAATTGATCTGATAGGTGTTATGACAGAACGTATATCTCCTCGGTACCTCTTTGGCACGACCAGTAATTGCTCGAGGCATGATCGCCATTGCTGAACGCGAAGGTTGCGAGTAAGTCATATTTAGAGACTCTTGGCATTCTCTATGTTCATACTCAGATATTTCGTAGCTATGTCTCGCACGGATGCACAGGCAAAGGGAACGACCAAGTCCGATTCGAGCTGGCCTTCTACGGGCTTAAACCAGATATCAAAGTCATTGCGCCATGGCGTATTCCTGGTCCGTGTCCAACCTGAAGATATATTTATGTGGTCTCACTTCCTTTCACAGAATTCTACAATCGTTTCCCTGGCCGTCAAGCCCTCCTCCAATACGCCGATCAAAAGGATATCCCCGTCGTCCAAACCGCGGCCAAGCCCTGGTCAACAGATGAAAACCTGTTCCACATCTCATACGAAGCTGGTATCCTCGAAGATCCCAACACCACTCCCCCTGTCGACATGTGGAAGCTGACCACCGCCCCTGAGGATGCCCCCACCCAACCCGAACGCATTTCTATCGAATTCAAAGGTGGTCTTCCCGTCAAGGTGTCCGTCCCAGAGCAGGGCAAGGAATACACCGATGGCGTCGAGATCTTCCTCGCTCTCAATGCTCTTGGCCGGAAGCACGGCATCGGTCGCATCGACATCGTCGAGAACCGCTTTATCGGCGTCAAGTCGCGTGGCTGCTACGAGTCCCCTGGCGCAACGATCCTGCGCGTCGCACACGTCGACCTCGAGGGCCTTACGCTCGACAGGAATGTTCGTGCTCTCAGGGACCAGTTCGTCACGATCGAGTTCAGCAGGATCCTCTACAACGGCCACTTCTTCACGCCTGAGCGTGAATTTGTCACGAGCTCGATACCGACGAGCCAGCGGACTGTCAACGGTCTTGTCAGGATCAAGCTGTACAAGGGCAACGTCGTCGTTGAGGGACGTGAGTCCTCCGAGGTAAGATAGCGGTTTAGATATCCGGATGATTCGATATTTGAAGCTGATTTGGACTATCAGGGTCTCTACGATGAGCAGCAATCGTCCATGGACGAGCTTGGTGGTTTCGAGCCTACAGACACCTCTGGCTTCATCCAGATCGAGTCAATCAGAATCAAGAAGTATGCGTCCCTTCTATGTACAACAAAATTGGCGTCTAACCCCTAATTCACTAGGTGGGCACAGGCCAACATCCGCAAGGGTCAAGCTGGTGTTACCCCTCAAGACGTGTACGGCAGCAGGGTCTAATGCTAGTATCTGCTGTTGCTTTCTGTGAGCCTGATGCCAGCATTGGAAAAAGCGCATTATACAATGTGTAATTTTAGGGAATGTAATAGAATAACATGAACAGCTTCTATTGGAGTGCTTTACTAATATGTGTAAGGTGCTTTCAGGTCTATGTAGGGTTGTTCAAGGTCTAGGGTCCTAGTAGAGGCGGAGGGCCGGATAGGCAAGTCGTGGCGTAATCGCATCGTGGACCGTTCGGGGGAGGGAGTTGGGATTGCAGCGTCAACGATGTAAGGTCATTAAACACCAGAGGTAGTGGACTGGCTGCGTCGTCGGCATTGCCGGTGGCGGCCCGAAATTCGCATGCCTCGTCGCACGACCGTCTGAGGGAGTGCCGTGCCGGATAGGCTTCCCCAGCCTGTAATAACACAGCATCGCGGCCGATGAAGAGGACAACGCCGATCTGGGTGGCCGGGCGATAAAGTCTCTCTCCAGAGGTAACAATGGAGATGCGAAGGACCACAGAAACCCGCAAGTTGTCCAAGTTGTGTATAGGCTCGACGGTCCGACGGCAAGCTCAAAAACGAGGTTGGCATCCTCCCGAGGGTGGCGTAACGTTATCGAAGCTTCTCCTTTGAGACCTCCAACTCAACGACGCTTCTGCAGGCTGCCAGAGGGATAACGTGGTCCCTGTTGCCCACTGCCAGGAGGTCGTTCTCGTTCGTGTGGAAAAACATCACACCCATTTTCGTAGCGCGTTCCGCATCGACTGTGATACAGAGAAACTTCTCGTGCTGAGGGACATGACCTGGAAATAGAAATGAGGGTTACCGTGGGATATCAAGTCAGACACAACGTACTTGTGAAGAAGTTCTTCCTACGTTGGAGGAGCGGGATGGTGTGTTCTGGCCCTTCAGGAATACCATATTTCTCTACAGCTCTTGAGGTCAGGATGCATGCAAAGAAAAAAAAAAGAGAAATACGCACGAATATATGGCCATTCGTCCATCGTTGTCCTATATATCAGGGTCTGCAGCTTGCCCATGTTCAATATTCGCTTGTGAAAGGATGCGACACCCTGTAGCAAGGCATGAGGCAAATTGAGCAGAAGGAAACGAATACGAACAGGTATGCTGTGCGAGAGCCTTGCCTTGACCCACCACACCTCCTGTAACCTGCCATCCACCAAATCCGGAAGAGACAGCAGTTCGAAACGATGCCCGGGGTCCGCAAGGCAGCGCTCGGACAACGATTGCAGAGTCTCTTTCTTGAAGAACCGCAACTATTCGACCCAGACCACCACCACCCGAGCAATAAGGTGGAAGAAGAACAGCAATCAAACGGTCTCGTCAGTGTACGAAAAATACAAAAACAAGATGACACACGTACCACGTCCGAAACGCGTACAAAACCATCCGGCATAATCCTAAACCCGTAATCTCTTGCAGCGTGCCGAAGGAGCCATGCCAGCGTGAGGGTGAAGACCGTCTCGGGCGACTTGTCCGTTGATAGCTGATACTCTTCGCTGGTTCTGAGGAACTCTTGAGTTACCTTCGCACCGTCCACCTCTTTCACGACAACCTTTGGGAGATGTCGCGACGATTTCGACACAGGAGTGGAGACCGTGACCGAGGTTTGCAGTTTGGCTTGCGCATTCGGTATTTCCGCGCTGAAAGCAGAAGTCGATGGGGCTGACACCTCGGGCGTCGTAGGCAGGTCCTGCTGCGTATTTTCCACCCTCTTCCTCAACCCAATGACACCCGGTCGGAATATCTTGACCGACTGACCGCTCGGGAGGCGTGACTCCGAGTTCGAGAGCTTCAGAGGCGAATATGTTCCCGTTGGCTTGCTGGACATCATCGTCCTATGCCCGACTTCGCTATGGGCAAGCATGGCACCCATTCTTGTCGTATTCCCAGAAGTCAAAGAAGAGGAAAGTGTGAAAGGGCCAAATGGTGAACGACATCGAGTTTGAGCGTGTCGAAGTCGTCCAGCACAGTGCATGTCGCGGAGGTACGCGACTCTGACACACTTGCGACGACGAGCAGCACGCGTATGGTGACCACCCGTCCAGTTCTAGCAACAAAAATGAGAGGAAATGTGTCGAACCCCAGCTGTGGAAGGGCGGAGCGTCATGCCAGGGAATAACTCATCGGAAACAAAATTTGGGTGTGAACTGGGAAACACCTTATTGGCTGGAAGTCACGTGTATTGACGCGTTGCACGCGATAGCGTCCGAGTTTTCAGAATGACAAACGAACACGATTCGATAGCAAATAATTACATAGCAATGTGCAGAAACTCTCTACAGGCCTACCGATGCAGGCGTTTTTTATTTTACAAACTTCTCTTCACCAGGTGAATTGTTCTAGGCGATCCTTGGTTTCTTCGCCTCCCTTCTGCCATTCGCCTCAGCAATCTTGGCAGGGCTAAGCGCCGGAGTGGATGACCGTGTGTTGTATCCCGATCCGGGCGCGCTGGGAGGAGCGGATGCGATACCTAGTTTCTTCCGAAGTTGTTGCAGCCACTTCCCGCCGTCGGCACCGTCGAATAAATAAACGTGGCTATTGACACCCAAAGAAAGGATTAAAAAATATAAGCGCTCGGCGGTAAAACTCGGATACGAATCAAGAAACGAGAGAAATTTGACCCACCTGTCACCGATCCGCCTTGGAGGCAAAGGCAGCCTGAACTCTGCATCCTGGCCCGAAGACGACGCCCTCTTCTTTAAATTGCTCACTCTCGGCGGTTGCAATCGTCCAGCCCCATTAACGCCGCTTCTCGAGCCTATAATAGGTGCTGTCTCTGCGGGGGCTGGCGTAGGAGGAGGCAGCTCCCATCCCAACTCATTGCAGAGGTGCAGGACGATATCATCTGCATTCCCGAGTAGCACAATCTGTTGATACAAAGCGGATACCGTCAGAAAACTATAAATGAAAGGAAACTCGGCACAGCCCCAAGTAAACGAGCGAGTTAAATGAGCAGGGAAAATGGGTGTTCGTGGAGAGGGGTAGGGATGCAGGTAGGTGTTCGGACACTCACGTCTGGGTTTATGTGCCGAATGGGTGTCTTGTTGATAAGGATCTGCATAATATTTCATGCAAACTCGGATTAGATGTGCTTCTTACTTTTCTCTTATCTCCCCTTCTAGCTATCAAACTCACCTGCGGTATCGAATGCGGCAGATGCGCTGTAGGGAGAGTTTCGAGTGCCGGTGTCAGTAGGGGACATTGATAGGGCGATAGAAAGAAGCCAAGGTCCGTGAGTGAAGGAAGGAGGGTGAGAGAAGAGTGTAAAAGGATACAGAGGCCTAGATCTTCTAAACACTCACATAGTATCTCTGCCACGGGTGAAACCTTCAGAGACGTTCCGATTACCAGGAGCAAGTCGACCTTCCACCGGTCTTCAGCCAGCGAGCGATCAAAGTCGTCGTTCAATTTCTCGCCGAAGAATGTAATATCGGGCTTTGAGTGACGGTGGTCAAGTCAGCATTCCACCTCTACACCCGCAAACTCCGGACTACAAGGAGAGCGAGGTTCCGCAAATCCTTGAGGACCTCGTTTCACTCACTTTCATAATTCCCGGCGGGTACTCTGGCGCATCGCTCTCATCCTCCTCCTCGCTGTCCCACTCGCCTTTTGCCTTTTTCTTGCTCACTTTCTTGTGCTTCACGGGCACTGCTGCCGGGCCATTATTGCACACCGTGCAGAGTGGGACCCGCTGGCTCATGATCTCCCCCTCTATCTCCGGTCCGGGGACACGCCGGCGGCACTGTAAACAACTCGCGGTGGCAAAGGAACCGTGGCATTGGAGCACCTTCTTTACACCAGCAAGGGTCTCGAGGGTGTCAATGTTCTGGGTGTAGTTCTGCGCATAGTTACGCATGACCGGGTAAGAGAAGCGTGCTAAGATTGAGTTGAGGTACACCCCTGACGAGGACTCTGCTTACCCGAAGTAGCTGTCATAGATGACGCCCGGAGAATGGTCAGCGCAGTAGAAGCGAGATTTGATCCCGCAGTGCGAGATAGATCGATCTGCGACGTACTTTGCCTTGATCTTCGACGACTTTGATAAATCGGTGGCATGGGGAAGGCACAAAGTTCGCGGGATAGATTTGACTGTTTACCTTTTGAGTGACCGACTTCGTGAAGGGCATGGAAGGGAAACAACCTTGCAAATGAGCTTCGAGAAGAGAACGAAGAGAACGCCGGTGTTCAACGCGGATTGTCTGGCATTGTTTTGGGTAACTTACTAGAAAACTAAAAATAATGGGTTCCACGGCTGAAGTTATTTAAACGGAGCACTTACCGGAAGGGTTTTCTTTGAAGTACTGAATGTCAAACCTGGTAGATGTAAGCTAAGCTTCGAGCCAGTTGGTTGTAGGGCGACTTACATTTGCTGCGGGTCGTCTAAATCGTAGTCTCCCTTGTTCTTCAACGATGCATACAAACCATCACGCGAACGGAAGTCGGGAATTCCACACGAAACACCTGCACTTGTGAGATTTCGCTGACTTGTTGACTTGTGGACCTACTAATTCCAGCGCCTGTTAAGATGAGGATCCGCTGTGACTTGCGGATGAGCTCGAGCGCGTCTTCGATCGTGTTGTATTCGGGCAGCTTCTCGCGCTTCTGAAGCCTGTGCCGAACGGGAGGTCAAGGATCATCCATGAGCCTAATGTCATAATCTCACGTGTGGGCGATCACGACGCGAAGGAAATAGAGCATCGTTCTAGGGCGTCTGTTTCTCAGTTCTGGGCACTGAGAACACGAGTTAGCAGAACTGTAGGACTTTGGAAAGAGGGATCCTACCAAGTCTATCCCAAAAGCCTGCAAGAGCTTGACGATGGGAATATTACGCGTCCGAACGTATTCTTGCATAAACGCAGTTTCACCTAACGCCATCGAGGTCGTCATTTTCCCAATAGGCGAGGAACGCACGACGCACCGTATTCTTTAAGGAGGTGCATCATCTCCTTTATATCTTCTTTGGACCAGGTTTGCTGTTCTACAAGTAGAAATAAATCGATCAGCGCGGCACTTTACAAATAAGGCAAGAAGAACCTTGAGTCTTGAGCGGCGTGTTGGAACCTGAGCGGCTCGGAAACTCGTGCGCGCCGCCATCGTCTTCGTCGTGCGACGAGTCTTCCTCTTGGCTATCCTGGTCTATTTGCATTTCTGTATGCGCATCGTCGCCCTCGTCGTCATGCTCTTCTGGACCAAGCACTTCGAGGATATCTTCAATCGTCTCTGTATCGGCATCGACCTCCTCGGAGGCAGCGAGGAAGACCTTGACCTGGAAGAGTAGAATCTTATTGTCGGCTGAGAAAGTGCGGGCATGAAGGTCGCCGACGGGGTCAGCGTGCTGTGACTCGTGTACAATACTTTCGGAATTGAGCGGTGGAGGTGGATCTTGGGGACACGAGTGAGTGCTATAATGAGATTGTGCCAAGTATGTGGTGTAAACGTCCACACCTGCGTTAGGATTTGACATCGATTACTTGTGGGTAGACAAATGCCCCTTTACCCTGAAAAAAGAATAGATTGAAGGGTCAAATAGAATTGGTTTCCGGGATTCGGGGTGCGTGCTGGGTGTGGACTCTGGACAAGGTGCAGCTATAATCACGTTCCCCATTTGGTTGAGCGACAAGCAATGGCAAGCTCCCGGGCCGTTTCCCCCCGAAGAGCCTCGCCTCTCCGAGTCGCACCGTCACGAACATACTGCAAGTGACCTCGACGGCCTTCTAAGGCGACCATAAAGGAAATCTTCTTCCCAACTTCGTTCGCTCAACCTCGACGCGTACAAGGAGGTCTACGGCTCACCAGCTCACCGAGAAAAAACGTTGTCTATCAGGTGAGTGCATTGTGGATCCAGCGATTCAACGAACCCTGGCTTATCGACACAAAAGCGCAACCGCATATGTCCAAGCCCTTTTTCTGTCAGATCGCTGATGTGCCACCTTCCTTATGACACAGCGCTTCGTGCTTGTTGGACACCTCCCGGTAAATTCTGTTTGGCAGGGGACCGGGGAGGCATCGTGTCCTAAGGTGTCCTACAGCCGCATCAGGCCAGAAGGTTCAATTGGGCGGACGCGGGTGAGCTCGGTATCGCCTCGTTGCGCCCTCAGAGTCAGATCAAATTCAAACCTTACCGCTATCAGCCCCAGTCTAGGCTGCCATCACCCGATCGCCTACCTCTCGGGGAGGCTTCCAGGACAGTCGAAGATAAAACCAGCGCCCTTTTAACCCGCCATGGAACCCAGCTGGCACTCTCAGACGTACCCCAGTCTTCGCTCAAAGCCTAAGATGCCTTCTTTCGACACCTACAACGCAAAGACAACCAGCATCAGCGTATGTCTCTTCACCTTATCTGTTCTGCTCCTCCTCTTCGTCGTCTCATATTTGAGTGTCGATGCAGTACCCATGGCCCGCCACCGTCAACGGCGTTGAGCGCATTGCACTTTCTGCCCAGGGTGACCTCCAACGAGTGCTGAGGTACGCGCCATCTCACTTCACCGGTATCTTTTTTTTTCTACTGCCGTTCTGATCAACAATCACCTCCCTTCCGCGATCATATCACCAGCTCGTTCTTCGCCCGCCCAATCGTCATCGCCCTCGTGTACTCCCACACTATGCGACAGGCCTCGCTCCAGTCCGCACTCGAGCCGGTGGCGCAACCCACACCTGCAATCATTGCTTCTGCCTCGCCGACCTCGCCTATCATCCAGACGCGCCAGGTGCACCTCCAGTGCGCAGGCAAGATCGTATGCACGGCGACCTCGACCGTGCGCATCACGTCACCGGAGTGCGCCCATCTGTTCCTCCAGGAGAAATACGCCATCGGACAGATGTTCCGCCGTCTGGAGAAGGTGCCTGCGTTCGAGCTGCTCTCAGTCGGCCTGGGTGCAGTGACGGATGACCAGGAGAAGGAGAAGGGCGGCTTGAAAATGTCGACGTCGACGTCCATGCCCACGTCCATCTCGATGAGTTCGCTCAATGGCAACCCTCCCGCCAGCCTCGCGAACCAGCTCTGGAGGAAGTACACGCTCATCATCCCCAATTTCGAGTGCGAGATCCTTGAGGTGTTCCCCGACAGGAATATGTTCCTCGGCGGCGAGAAGTGGCTGACGGGCGAGGAGAACGAGGAGAAACAGGCCGTAACGGAGCTGCTTTCCTCCATGAAGACTGGCGACGTTGCCTCGACTGTCAACCGCGGTCTGCAGGCCACCGTTGTCGTCGGGTTCCTGCTCATGCTGGCGTTCGAACTCTCCATGTACGCTGGGGGACGATGGAGCAATTGTTGAGGATTTCGCGTCTCGATACCACTTTTAGGATACCTTCCCTGTTCTCCGCTTTATTTCTGCTTGCTTTTCTGTACTGTTGGACGTCGTACGTATTGTACTCCTTAGATTTCTTTACGGCTCCATGTTATCCTTGAAGAACATTTACGCCTCGTTGTAGAACATTTTTCTATGATTTATGTATTTGAATGGCACTCGAATCTCCTGGCACCATAACGGAACCGCTACGTGTGTTTTTCACCTTCTCAATAAAAAGGCCAACTGCACCCTGCGTTCATCTGCGCCGAACGGGACATCAGAGGGAGAGACCTTGAGTTCTGACTCCTGCATGATCCGTATCTCTCAAGGAGCGCGTGATGTAGGGTAGGCTTCAATGAAATCATACTGAGCTTCTGCACTTAGATCCGCGCCATCGTGCTCGCTAGACTCAACCATTTAATGAAATACTAGTACTTAGAGAGGTATGTACGGTGGAGAGGGAGCCACTGGCAGAGAAGCTAATCCAGAAGCATGACGAGCCTTACATCAAAAAACCCGCATCGATGTGCGGGCTTTTGTCACTTGATCCACACTCAAAAAACGAGCGCAAGGCCAGGTGCTGTCCGTCTCGCCCGACCTTCTAGGACCACCAACCCTTTCAAAAGGAGACCAGAAAATGCTCCGTCGATCTTATGAGTCAGAGCCAACGGGGAGCGAGGATCCAGGAACCGATGAATCGCGAGCGGAAGACCAGGATGCAACCTACGCGTAACTATAGACCAGAGGGGTAATCGAATACAGCAAAAGACCTCAACGATATTCCAACGGTTGCCCAAGAGCGAAGGTGGGAGAGAGACGCATCGGTGGTCGGGATACATTTACAACCATATTTCGGATGTATCCGTTTTTGGTAAGCTGATGCCCAAATTAGGGGGAGGCGCTTGCCGTCGGCTGCGTCGATTTCGTGAAGACAGTGGACAAGTTCTGTTCCATTCTTACAGACTATAATTCATTAAACCTCCGTAACCGATGAGGCTAGCAGTACACTGAATTAATCTGCAGCCATCATGCCCCCCAGTCCGGGTCGTATCGGCAGAGAGTATCTCGACAATGGTTTTATTGGTGACTTCTTACAGCAAGATTTTTGGTGACCACGATCATGGATCTTTCCGTGGTTGTTGCTTTTCTTAACTGACCGTAGGGCAGAAATGTAAGTTCAATTAGCAAGTTCGCATCAGAGTTCGCCACACACCGTTCTAATAAGTCGCACGACACCAAGATTCCAAACTAGTAAATGTCCAACTCGTAATCACGATGGAAAGTAACACGATTGTGGCTCTGGGTTAGAGGAAAATTGTCTCGAACAATCCGACGAAGAGCTACATCCAACATTCTTTCACATTGCTCTCTTGAGTCGGAATAACCGTGATTCCAGAACTCTTCATCCGAAGTTGAATTATGCGAACCACTCCTAGCATCTGCTTCCTCTTGGGAATTGGACGACTCCTCATCTGGAGACTCGTAATACCCTTGATTCACATCGGCTTCCGAGTTCCACGAGAACCTGGCAGAAAGGAAGACATCCATTCGGTGGCTGGAATGCGAGAGGAGCCGGTTTAGCGCACGATCAACCAAATCCCAGTCAGGCTCGCTGAAAATACTGCTTGGGTCGTCCCATCCTTGGGAGGCGACATAGAGGGTGAGGTACAGCTTGCGGAGGTGATTGTTCGTTGGCACTACAGAGTGTAACATGCTTGAGAAACGATTGAAAGGCCACTGAGTCCGGTCATCGCTGTCTTTGTCGTCGTCTGCATCAAGATCTCTCCACGTTGGCTGATCAGTCACGACGTCGACGTCTAGAACTCGTAAATTAGTCAATGCGCCCAAGTCTACCACGCCCATGAAGAGTTGGTGGCCTGCAATTTCAAGGATTGATTAGACAGTGTATACGAATTAGAAGGTCACATACCGTCCAACGACCCGGTCTTCAGATGGAGCTCCTCGAGAGAAGCTGATGCAGCACTGATAACCGAGCGCTCGACTCCAATATGTCGACCCAGAGGTAGCGTAGAAAGGAAAAGGCATGCACCGTTGGGGTCAATTGAGGCGGGTTCCGTGCCTTGCACCTTGCGAGTCGTTCGACGGCCTTGGAGGAGTTTGAATACTTCAGCCATTGCGTGGGCCTGCTTAACACCTGAGCCGTGACAACGTTATGGTCCGAAATTCTACTTCCATCCAGTTCAATTCGTCGGAGTCTGTTGCATTTCAGGAACATTCGAAGGGGTATTGTCATGTCTGCTATCTTGACTCTAAAGACGAATGGCGCAATGAACGGATCCCAATAACGAGCTACGAAGCGTTCATCGACCGGGAGAGGTTCTCCGTATAGTCCTGGACCCAGCAGCGTTATTTTGTTTAGCCTTCTTGCCGTCGCAATGGCTTGTAAGAGCTGTAGGAGTACGCGGCCTGCGTCGTCTGTCATCCATGAGAAATCCCGGCGCTCAAGTTTCAACGAAAGGTAAAGGATGTAAGTCGCGATAGTTGGGTTGTTCCTGAGGATCTCGTTGAGCGTCTTCCAGCGTTCTGGTTTGGACCAGAGGTTGCGGATATTGATGGTACCGAATAGATGCTGTTGGCAGCGTCGACGGAAGATAGATAAAGCAAGGGCACAGTTGGCGAACGTCCGGGTCGGACGTTCCCAAAATTCAACGGCACCGGGTATCTCGTCGACAATTAGGTCGATAAGTTCTTGTGGCAAACGTCCTCTGGAGTTCATGGTGTAGAAGCAAGACGAGTATTACCATATTTGTTCTTCGAACATTGAAGCTTCTTCCTCACTGGCACCACACCACCTCCAGAAGCTTTGCACAAATCCTTGACCGAGACTGTACCAGAGCGGCCCATCTCGTCATGCTTCATAACAGTGACCTTATGTCTTGGAAATATTTGCGAGACACGATGGGCCGTTCACACTGTGTGGTCTCCAAAGTCACTTCGGTAGTCAGTTGTGTAGCTGATTTTCTTCACTAGTATTCTACTTGAATAATGTCCAACGTATGTGCCTGATGAAAGGTGGCCTGGTTGTGGTCTTGAGTCGCAGGAAATTTATCCCGAACAATCCTTTCCAAAGCTATCTCACAAAGTCTTTCACAACCTTCCGAAGATCCGGAACGACTGTTACACCAGAACTCTTCATCGGAGTCATAGGAAGCATTCCGTTCAGGAACGTTATTTGAGCCCACTTCTGAGGACCGATCGTCGTCGTCGCTTGAATGGATCGAAAGACATTCATCGGCGTCCGAGTTCCAGTGAAACGAGGGAAAAGGTAAAAGCCGAGTCGGCGGTTGGCATCCTTGGAGTGCGAGAGCCATCTAGCAATGGCTCTGTCGACTATTTTCCAGTTCAGGTTGTCGATGATGTCGCTGGGCTCGGACTGAGATTCGTAGGAGACGCATAGATTTAGGCGCACCTCCCGGAGTCGATCGTTCGTGGGAGAGATGCTTGAAAAGCCTTCCAGGGGGTAGTCCTCACTTGGTTTGTCGGGATATCTGCCGTCGGGGTTCCTCCGCTCAATTCTATCATTGGAAGAGACATCTATATCCATTACTTGTAGTTGTGTCGCTTGGCTAAAATTAAATTTGTCCACGTAGGATCCGCAAGCTGGCCAGTCAAAAAAAAGATTGAGTAGGACGCAGACACAGGTCGAAGGGATCTTACATACCACCGTGGCCATCTAGGAAAGGTTCAGGGACTGCATGTGGTTTGGGGGTACATCTTCCTCCCTAGCAAGCCGCATCACTTGCAGGGCCCCTCCTGCTCTAACAGCCAGCAAAAGTTGTGGGAGGATTGGACCAACAGGGTCCGTAGCCCAAGAATCATCTTCCAGTGTAGGTGAAAGGTCTCGAATGTACGTCGCGATTCAAGGGTTGAGCTGGATGAGGCGATCCAACGTCTTCCAGCGTTTAATCTTCTTCCAGTAGATCAGGAGAAAGGAAATGTCGATCGCGTAGAAGATATGCCGCTGGCAGGCTGAACGGAAGGACTTGGAGACGAGAGAACATTTAGAGCGGAATATGTGAGTCGGCGTCCATATTGGAGATTTGTAGAAGGAAGGCTGCTTTGCAACTACCTGGTCGATGATTGCGTCTATAAGCTTTGCGGAAGAGGTTTCACGGGCGTTCGAGGTTGATAAACTGAGTTGGTCTTCATGGTGGTAATGGACAGAAAAGACTCTGACTTGATGGGTACCACGCCATTCAGTTTCCACTTTCACAGTCATGTCGTTCCTCCCAAAATTCATCGACCTCTCACACAACCTATCTTCTGGGACCCAAATCTACCCCGGGGATCCCTCGTTCTCTTACACTCCGCATGCAACGCACGAGAAGGACGGGTACGCAGTTCAGCGGCTTTCGCTCGGCACGCACACAGGGACGCATATCGACGCCCCATACCACTTCCTCGCCGACGGCAAGACGATAGAGGACGTGCCTCTCAACAAGGTCGTCGGAGGACTCGTCCTGATTGATCTGGCCGATACGAACTTGAGGGAACGCCAGAAGATATGGTGGGAGCAGCTCGTGCCGCATGCGGAGGGCATACAAGAGGGTTCCATCGTGTTGATCAACACGGGCTGGTCGAAGGCGCACTACGGGACGGAGACGTATCTCGCGCACCCATATCTCGCCCCAGAAGTCGCGCATGAGCTGCTGGCAAGAGGCGTTCGCGTCGTTGGTACCGACACTCTGAACCCAGACGAAACGCCGGGTCCGGACGGCAAGGAAGGACCAGATGGGTTCGGGTTTCACCAGGCCTTCCTCGGTGCTGACGGTGTCATTGCTGAGAATCTGACCAACTTGGAGGAGCTCGCAGAGGCGCTGAAGACAAGCGGAGACGAGGAGAGGTGGATCGTTAGTCTGATTCCGCTCAAGTTGGTCGGAGCGGACGGGTCGCCCGTACGAGCCTGTGCGTTCAACGTGCCAAAGTAGACCCGTGAGCGGGCGTGATTATCTCCCATCTCTCTCGCTATGTCCTGAAGACCTACTGTACAGGTTTTATCTACGCGAGGGCAAGACGGACCTTATGTCCCATCTGTCCCAGTCAGGCAAGTCCATGACGAAGATGAAAGGCACAGCCGCCTCGAGGCAGCTCGACGCTGCAACGAGGTGATATTAGAGGATGGTAGAGTCCTAACGGTACATCTATGGCAACTGTCAGAATTTCCGGGATTGTCTACATAAACGGGTGCGGGGTGCCCTCCGTCCAGACAGCCCAGTGCGGTTTTTCGAGTGCCCTTCCCCTCTCCAAGTCTACTAGAGCCTGCTTTTGAAGATGCCTGTGTACCGCAGCGCTTACCTCTACTCTCTGCCTGGGTACGAACAGTATGAGGGTGTGTCATGTTTCGTTACATATGCCTTTTCTCGTCATGCTGATCGAATACCAGCAACACGCCTCGAGGCAGACTACTTCACATCCTCTTCACATTTCTCCCATCACGCGGCATACGGAACCTACCAATCCCAGACCATCAACCCCTCGGTCACACAATCCTCTCCATATCCAACACCTGCCTCTCCTATCAGCAACAACACCCTTCAAACCCCTCCTCTCGCCACCAAGCCCAAACGGAGCAACCGCGCGCGCCGGAAAGACCCCAACCACATCCCGCGCCCGCGCAACGCGTTCATCATCTTCCGCTCCTCTTTCATCGCCAACCAGAACCAGCAGCGCGACGCCGCCCCGCGCGAGTCGCAGAATGAGATCAGCAAGCAGGCCGCGGCCGTCTGGAACAGGATGACCCCGGAGGAGAGGAAGCCCTTTGTGCACCAGGCGATGCTCGAGAAGGCCGAGCACCAGCTCAAGTATCCTGGCTACACTTACTCTCCGGGCCGGGTGTCCGGGAAGGGCAAGAGCAAGCAGGGTACGGATGCACCTTCGCCCTCGCCTGTACCTTCGTCGCCGACGTCGTGTGGGAGCCCGGAGACGCCCCAGCAGCCGTTTGTGTTCGCCTCTCCTGGACAGGTCTACGATAGCACGCCCTACAACGTCTCCTATGTAGACACTGCTGCTTCGGTGAAAGAAAAGGTCTGTTATCCTCGTTCTTTGTTTCTTATTTATGTTCATGCTCATGCCCAACCCGCAGCTCGACATCACTGCGAGACCCTTCAACTACAACGCCATCGACTCGCAGTTCGCTGGCATTCACGAATACACCACCACCACCACCACCACCACCACCACCACCACTACCACCACTACCACCAACGACGACGCGCCGCGCGCTTTCCCTTCCGCGACACAGCCCCTTGAGGTCGAGGACGACGACCACCTGACCATGTACTTCCCCTACGTCACCCCCTTCGCCTTCCCCACTTCCGACCCCATCCACTCGCCTCCTACATCGTCACTTTCGGATCCAGAGCTCGCTCTTCCGCCCCCCGACGCGTTTTATTCCATGTTCAATTCGTATTTTAAGCGGAGCAGTGACTTGGAGCCGTTTGATTTTGGGGATCTGCCAATGGAGGGTGGGGCTGGGCGGTACGCGCAGGGCGGGGATGACAGTGGGTGGTGGTGTTCCGTTCAGGCGCAGCAGGAGCTGGCGCAGACGGTGGAGATGGGGTTGTTTTTTGACTACCAAGGTTATATGACTGGTTCTCTATGATTCTTTTCTCCTTGTTGGTCTACGCAAGCAGTATTTATGTCTTTAAGACCTAAATAAACTCATGTGGAATATTGGGCACAGCTAATTTACATGTTTCACTTCTTCAAGAGACACAACCCAAATCCTTGTAGTCAGCCAGCACGCAGAAGATTCAACAGGGAATCACCACTGTCGATATGGCATGCATCCTCCTCAAGAAATCACACCAACGAGATGATTAACCATGTTCATATATTGCATGGGGCATAGAGAAAAAAAAAGAAAAACGCGATACACTATACAGATACAATAATAATCATGCAAATAAAAAACCCTAAACAAGAGACCCGTCCATCCCTCTATGACCGTTCGCCGCGCAGTCTGCGAGCAAGAGCGAGGTCCTTGGGTTGGATGGTGACACGCTTAGCGTGGATAGCGGCCAAGTTGGTGTCTTCGAAGAGGGAGACGAGGTACGCCTCTGCGGCTTCTTGGAGGGCCATGACAGCGGATGATTGGAAGCGCAGGTCAGTCTGTGTTGTATTGAGTCAGTGGCATGTTGTACGAGTCATAGCAAGGGACAAAGTACCTTGAAGTCCTGAGCGATTTCACGAACGAGGCGCTGGAAGGGGAGCTTGCGGATGAGCAGCTCGGTCGACTTTTGGTAACGACGGATTTCACGGAGAGCGACGGTTCCGGGGCGGAAGCGATGGGGCTTCTTCACACCACCAGCGGCGGCCTATAGAGTATTCTTGATGAGGATGAAGTCGATGAAGAAAAAGTGATGGATACTTACAGCGGTCTTACGTGCCGACGACTTGGCAGCGAGCTGCTTACGAGGGGCCTTGCCACCAGTAGACTTGCGGGCAGTTTGCTTAGTGCGAGCCATTGCAGACGGTGATGATAAAGTGTGGTTGGTGGTTGTTGGTAGTGGTGGTGACGACGAGGTCGGTGTCGGTGATGGTGGGCGGTGGGGAAAGTTGGGGCCTGAGTCCAAATTAGGCTCTGGGTTATATACGAACGCGGGCGCGTCTCCCACGTGACTTCTCGCGCCTGTCCACAATCAACAAACGGGAAATACAGCACAGCCACCGCCCGCCTGTATATAACCGGCCGGGCTCAGTGTCGTGACTCCCTCCATCTGCTCCCACCACCATCACCACCACCACTCAACTTCACCACCCACCCCACCAACCACTTATCTAAACATGTCTGGACGCGGCAAAGGCGGAAAGGTGCGTTGGATTTGGAGATAGTCGTTGGCGACGAGTGCTTACAGTGACACCTGACTTTAGGGACTCGGAAAGGGAGGTGCTAAGCGCCATCGCAAGATTCTTCGCGACAACATCCAGGGTGAGTAGCTTGAAAGAAACAGAGTTGGGTCTTGGAACTGACGATGCCACCAGGTATCACCAAGCCTGCCATTCGTCGTCTCGCCCGTCGAGGTGGTGTCAAGCGTATTTCCGGTCTTATCTACGAAGAGACCCGCGGTGTTCTCAAGATCTTCCTCGAGAACGTGAGGGTTTACCACGATTTAAGTTTCATTGGACTGGTTCCTAACGCGATACTTCCCAGGTCATCCGCGACTCAGTAACATACACAGAGCATGCTAAGCGCAAGACGGTGACCGCCCTCGACGTCGTATACGCTCTGAAACGGTCAGGGCGCACGCTGTATGGTTTCGGTGCTTAGACGCTGGTGTGGATCTAGTCTGTTTGCTATTCTGTAACCCTACTGTACTTTTATTCTATTTATCTTTCTCTTTCTCATCTGTATGGCCCTGATGGTTGAGTTGGCTCCCACGTGCCTAGGATACTCGGAGAGTAGGCATTCATCTGGAAACGCGATTGACGAACCTCCGTCGATCTTCCGCGCCCGACATAATGCCCTTCCCAATTTCCCGGGGAATCGCCGTTGCATATAGGTGTGTTGGCTGCTCGCACTCGCGTTCTCGTCTGCCGGCTCTGACGACCACCCTCAGCAGCCACAAAAAGCCCCGGCACACAGCCATCAGAGAATGCACCTTCCAAATGAGACCCTCACCGCCATCTTCAATGAGCTCCCGTCGCCGACACTCGCCCTCGTCGCGCGCGTCAGCCCCAGATTCAACGCCGTCGCAGAGCGCATCCTCTACTCCTCCGTCTCCATCGCCGATCTCATATCGGACGCATCGCCCTTTCCCCTCAGGACCCTCTGGTGGTGCGAGGCCATGTGCAGGAGGGCACACCTCGTGGACAGCGCAAGGAAGCTGCAGATTAGGTGGCAGGCGGACCCGTCGACGCCGCCCCAGCGCTACGAGCACCTCGCAAGCGCCTGCGAGCGCCTCGGAGAGGTCGTCCGCGTCCTCGCCGCACTCGAGACGCTCGACATCTTCCTCGGACC